GAATTGCCAAAAAGCTCTCACGTATCTCATTTGAAAGAATGCAGTTTAACTTGAAACTTTACACTATTGATAAAGTTAGTGCATGAAAAATTTCATGCATGTGCATATTTTAGTACTACATCAAATTTATTTCTAGCGTTATAAAACTCTTTATGAATTACATTCATTTAGTTTCATCACATTAATCAACATCTATTATCATTGCTATTAATAATATTTATTGTATAAAAATAATATTTAATTTTTTGAACACGAGACTAATTTACTAATTAAACACCAATGCTTCGACCCTTTATATAAAATAAAAATAATATCTACATTTTTACTATAAAATCTTTATTTAACATATATTTTATCTTCATTATTTATTAATTTTTAGATATATTAAGATTAATAAAATGCATTATAATACAGCAAACAAAAAAAAAAAAAATATATATATATATATATATATATATATATATATATATATATAATTCTTTTGTATTTTAGAAAAATTTTGTGTCAAAATATCAACGCGATATTCAGATAAGGATATAATCATTTTGTTCTAGATCTAAATTTTTAATTATTTAATTAAATATTAATGTACCTATATACATGCATATAGTGATTAAAGATTAATATATCTAAAGATTAATGAGCTAAAGAGCAGAAATGCGCATTGAATAAAAATTACTATAAAAGATGTAGGTGTTTTGTTTGACGTAAAGCTTAGGCAGAGGCGTCGGTGCTAATTGGCAGCCAACAGCCTCACTTTCACAAAAATTATGTACTGGGTATGTCTTGATTGCCATACCCCGCCACGTCGACTTTAAGCCGACATGACGCGCTATTGAAGTAGCGAGCACCCTTTTTGATCGGTCCGCTGCTCGTCCGCAGCTTATGAACACTTCGTATCGAAAACTAAATGCGAGATAAAGATAGCTCGGTAAGCCATCTGCTGCACGCTTCAGGAACTAATATTCTGATATACTTTAACTTCTCTTTTAGATTCAATCTACAATATTTATTATTAATTTATTCCAAAAGAAATATTCTTATTATATTTTTAAGGTGTATATTAACAAATTAAGTACAGCTAACATCAAAAAGATATATAAAATGTTATATAAATTTAAAATATTAATCTAAATATGGCTATATTTATATATTAAAAATCAATTGATACAAAGTTTCGCTCGTATATTGTAAATACAACTAGTGATAGATAAAAAGGCCAACTTATCGAGCAATTATTAGAGTTGTTCTGTCAAATAAAATTTATTCCATGTATAAACTAAATATAAAACATTATGTGAAAGCTACAAACATTCTATACTCAAACTTAAGCGAAAATTGCAATTATTATAAAAGAAGCGTTTTAACCGCACGCGGTCTTCCTTAGTATTATATTATAGTAATCAATTACTGTAATACATATAATACTAAGGAAGACCGCGTGCGGTTGAAACGCTTCTTTTATAATAATTGTAATTTTCGCTTAAGTTCGAGTATAGAATATTTGTAGCTTTCACATAATGTTTTATATTTAGTTTATACATGGAATAAATTTTATTTGACAGAACAACTTTAATAATTGCCCGACAAGTTGGCCTTTTTATCTATCACTAGTTGTATTTATATATTAAGTTTTGTAATTTTTTCAGTGTTATATTTATTTTTTAAACTTATATTAAACTTGTTATTTATAAAAAATGAATCAATAACATTTTATATATATACTTGCAAGCTTGTTTTATCGAGTATATATGAGATACACGAGAAGTGAAATCACTAAATTGTATCAATTTATATACATTGTGCATAATATTATTATAATGATTCTCAAAAAGTTTTAATTATTTAATTATATTTTAGAATATTATTAAACGTATTTAAATCAGTAAAAATGTAACAATAAGCTAATTAATTACCGGATTTAAATTGATTTATTAAAGAATTTCATTACGAAGCAATGTTTTCATTACGAAGCATTGACTAAACGATGAAGTTAATCGTGCACTTAAATATAAACATTAGTTGAACTCGTTCGAAAGAGCAGTCCACAATTAATTAAAGCAGTATAATACGAGAATAGTAATCAATTTAACTGCAACCTGCGAAAAGGATTTTTATTACATGACTGATTTATCAACATTGCGTGCTGATGACAAAGTTTGCATAAATCCACATGTATATATCATAAATATGTATAGGTATTTTACATCGTATCTTTTTTATAGCTGCACGTTAAATTTGTAGTGAGCGAATGTAACGTTGATCATAAAGACTGTTAATTAACCGAATCGCCAATTAACCAAACGACGTGATTTTTAAGCAAAGTTCTGTTAATTTATATTTGTTTTATTTTGTTATACATATATCACCTATTTGTTTATTTTCTTTTTGTTTTTGTTTGTTTTGTTATTTTTTAATTTTCATTTTTAATTAATTGTGCTATATTATATATATATACTAGCATATTTTACGATAATACTTTTCCTTAGATAGAAATATCTTTTTTTCTCGTGGGACTGCAGTTGAATTTTACTTCGTATCTAGATACGTAAAGGTTAAAATTATACATGCAGCTAGCGTATCATTCGGCCTTCATTCTATAACATAGTCCGTTAAAGGGTTAATATGTTAATGAGATACAAAAGTATACATTTGAAACATGTTTCGGGCTAAATGCCAAAATATTTTAAATGTAAAACTAAATTGCAAGTCATAATTTGATTTTTTACCGTGTACATTATTTTGCATGTACTAGTACTGATCCTAAAAAATGTACATTTTTGTACATTGGATTTATATTTATTTTATATATACTTATTAAATATAATAAAAAAATATCTTTAATATATTAAACTATGATTATATAAAACGTACAAGATTATGTGTGGTTATTAAGGCTAATTTGAATAAGTATTTATTTTAATACTGCCAAATGAATCATTTATTCGAAACTAATAATATTTATTTGATACGAAAAATATTTATTTGATATAAGAAAATCCTTTTTAAAACAAATATAAATATTTATATTTATTTCGAATAAATGATTCATTTGGCAGTATTGAACTAAATATGTATTAATTTAATCATTTTTGCAGTGTATACTTTAATTGGAAAAATTCGATAGATTTTCATGAGACAAACATTGCATGTTAATATATAACAAGTATAATATTTTCAAGGATTTTTTCAAGGATCTTATTTTTCAAGATCGCGCGCGTGGTAGCTATGAATCGATATGAAGGTAGACTAAAAGATGGAAACTAGTTTTACAAAATGTACTTTACACTTGACTTCCTTTTCAATGCTTGTGAATTCCGAGGTACCTTTCGGAAACCTAAAGCATTTCTTAAAAATTACGGGAACCACAAACGGGATGTACGTGATATGTTTGCGAATGCCGAACATCAATTTTTCTCACGATGTCGAATATTTTTATCACCTACACCGCGAATCAGCGTCTCTGTGAAATTCACGCTCTCTGATATATATATTTTAGGATATTAAATCGAGTAATGTATAGACGGATTAAATCGTAAATTTTCCTTTTTTCTACGCGAACACGTGGTAAAAGTTGCTGACTCGTTCATGACCATCGCAGTTCTTTATTTAGATTCTTATCATGCTTACTCTAAAAAAACTTCTATATACATGTTAGAAAATTCTTTTATCGTCATCCATATCCGAGAAGTTTTCGAACAAAACTTGAGAAGGCGTGGAAACATGATATTGAATAAAAGCTTTTCTTTTCGAAATAAAAGAGCGAGATATTTTTTATAACATATGTTGTGAATTATTATAATGCGTAATGTATTACATCACCAGTTTATCATTTAAGTCATTTAAATAATGACAGAGCTTTTTAAATAATCAAAAATTTACATATTAAAATAATTAGATTGGAATTATTGGCTTATATCATAATTTAATAATTTTAAACATTGATAACGACAAAATGTAATGAATAATATGCAAATTTATGTATGTCAGTATTTTTTCAATTTCACGATTGTTGAATTCTATAGAAAAAAATGGTTTAATTGATATTTGAATGAAACACATCACATCAATCTTGTTCTCACTCAAGCAATTTTATTTCTCACTGTAACAATCTGAAATCTAAGACCCAGCCGGGGTTAGAGGTCCAAATAGATTGTAAGAAAATCTATTGCCCAAAGAGGATAATCTCTATTTATCAACGTAAGGCAATTTGGAAAAAGCAATTTGTGAACCAACCACGCTTTCAATTTTCCTTGCAAACAAGTATTGGATACACGGGGGCTTAACGAGTTCGACTAAGTTAATTTAAGGTCATGAAAAGCTATATAAGATATTTTTCATTTAATTAGTATGTGACTATTCTGAATGGTTAAATACGATGATTATGGATCACAAAATGTAATGTCATTTTGGGAAGTTTTGATTTTTTATTATAAAATTGATTTAATCAAAATTAGAGATATTTTAAATATATTAAATATATTGTCAATATAAATTTATATTGATGATGCATATTTTATATTTATAATAAAATATATGACAATAAGAGCCAAGCGCAGTAAATTTTATTTTATTGTAAAATTAAAATAAAGTAAGTAAAATGTGAATATAAAATATATTTGAAATATCTCTAATTTTGATTAAAATAAATTTATTATATTATAAAAAAATCAAAACTTTCCAAAATGACATTACGATAAGAGCCAAGCGCAGTAAATTTTATTTTATTCTAAATATATATTCTATTTACAATAAAATAAAATTAACTACGCTTGGTGCTTTTAGTGTCACTTTTTCTCTCGATTCGATTGTATTCGGGAAAGCTTTTGCAACTCTATTTAATTCAACAATTAATTGTATCATTTGTTACCGAATAATAAAGACGACATACATATGCATATATAACTGTTCTGCAGCGCGATCTGAAATTCAAAGTCAACATATTCGGGAGATCAAGAAGCAGAAATGTTTCGGTTAATTATTAAAGATAAATGGCTTACCTGGAGATAAGGCACGGCCTTGCACAGCTTTAATCCGAGAAACCAGGTCTCCGTGACATCCCATAGAACTGACGGCGGTAGACAAATGAGCAACACGAGGAGATCGGCCACCGCCAGGTTGACAATAAAATAATTAGTGACCGTTCGCATCGAGTGATTCCGATAGACGGCCATGCAGACGAGTGCGTTGCCGATTATACCGATGACAAAAACGAGGCTGTGCATAGCGATCAGCACCCAATCGGAGAATTTGGGGGATATGTGCTGCACCATCAGCCCGATGTAATCCTCGTCCGGGATGCAGTAGTCGTTGGTGCAATTGGTCGCGTTCGCGTACTCGAGGTCATCTCTGTCGTTGCCCGTGAACGAGTAGTAATCATCCACCCCATTGTCGTCGAGTGCGTCGCTCATCGACGCCAGCAAAGCGACGATCATCGACGCGGCGAGATTCATATTTTACCAAATTTTTTCCTTTATTTTACTGCATCGCGATTAAGCTCGAACGTCGCGTTCGAGTGCGAGATTACACGCCGCGTAAGTGATTTAATTACTCCCGGTTTGTTTCTAATATTGACGTTCCGTTGCATTGTAATAATATAGGCATTCATCGATCGATGTGGAATTCGACCGGATAAATCACGTACGTAGATAAATCACTCGTTCTACCGTATATATACATTTAAATCAATGACGCAGGTGTCATCTCGCAGACGCCGATGCGTAGCGGCGGAATTTAGTTGAATGAATTGCACGTTGTCAAATATAAATTAATGTCAAATGTAAATTATTCTCGACGTGAAGAAGCTCCTTGGAGATACTCGATGTTTCCACAACGATCGTCGTTCAAAGTTTGCGACGATTCTCCTTTTTCTCCTCTTTCTACGGCCATGGCCGTATGTACTTGGGTGACCTCAACGCAGAATTTCTTTGCAGCAAAGGATTATGCATTCTTCCGTTCCTCAAGGCGCGATTGTAATCAGCCTCATATCTGTGTACAGGAAAGAACGTGATCTTAGAAACGTAAATCGTTCATCTTTTGTGCGCTACCCGCAAAGCAAATTTAATATCCGTTTCCGTTTTTAATAACACTATGCACGTCAGTAGCGCTGAATTCTATGAGATGCTCAACGCGAGTTTTCAATAGCCCAGAATCTGTTAAATCTATAATCCTTCTATAATTCTCTCAGATATATGTATAAGATACTTACGATTTTATATACAATAAGTTTAATTCTCTTTTTCTAATAACCGCCAGAGGAAGTGGCTTTTTGTTGTCCAAAAATAAAACATCTTTTCATCCGGGAAAATTTTTTTATATATAACAATATAAAATTATATAAAAATATATAAAATTATATATATAATCTCAAAATCATATATGAAATATCTCCATACATAATTAGAGAGATAAAAGTGCTTTTTATATATAATTATATAAATTTATATACATATATATAATAAATATTTCTTCATATATATGTATAAATATATATGTTTCATATATAATTTGACACGATTATATGTGAACCCTTATAATTTATATATAAATTTATATAATTATGTATAAAAATAGACATATTTCACATATAATTTTACGATTATATGTATAATTATACAATTATTTATACATTTTTTTCCGGGGATAAATCAATATTTTTTAAATTATTTCTCACTTTATATACACTTTGTTCTATATTTAAATTTTTATGCAACTGATTTATTTAAATCGATACAATTAATAAAGGGGAAAAATTCTTCATCGTAAAGAGCGATTATCGGCGAAAATTGATTTGTATTTACGCAAGAAATAGCGGGAGTAAAATGATGATTTGAAGCAATCTTGCGGTTGCACACAAACGTAATGTTACGAATAAATCAATGTCCTTACAAAGAATTCCAGAATCCAAAAAGAAAATCATTGTCCGACGTAAAATATCGAGTCAATTTTTATTACTGAAAGAGTAACATTTGTCACAATTTTTTAAATTTCAGAATTTCCCATATTGTTAGTGAATTTACAAATTAAAGTTCTGTTGATTTAGAGTTGCGAACATAATATATAGATATATTATTTATATGTTTAGCAAGAACTGAGACAGTTTTAGCAAAAGTAAATAAAAAGTTTTTAAGAGTAACCTACTGCGATTAATGTTCTTGTAAAATTGATTAAATAACATTCATTGATTAAATTACGCGATTGATGAATATGAACCGATATGTGACTATAGTAGTTGCGGATTTGTATCTTGTTTGTCGGTAATTTGTTAATATAATAGATTTTTTCACGTAGCACAGCTTGAAGCTCAATATTCAGCGATACGATAAAGTAGGTCGACGCAATATTTATGCCAGATATATTGAATTATGACGTTACAGACGTAGGATACGAAGTATAGCCGGTCAATTCTTGCAAAATTACGAGTTTTTGTCAACAACGCCGCTTTAACTCAATAAAGACTTACATTGTAAAATGGTAGAGGCGTAGAAAATAGAGATGTGAGAAATAATTAAAAAAAAAGAGGTTTGCGTCTCCAGATAATTGGAAATTATTAGTGGCAGTTATTACGTGTTCTTTTTATTTTATGTCTTCAGGTGATTTGTTGGGCTAATAACAAAGTTTGTATCTTTTGTTCTCTCTATCGGTTTATTCTATTTTATCGAATCAAAATGGTTGACGAAAAATTAGTTACGCTATTAGTACGATCGTAAAAATCGTATGCGTACAATCCGTTTTACCTTTCTAGGTCAATAATAATTTATACAAGTCGTAATTCATTTACTTATGCTGATATGACGATATAATTCAATATGTTTGGCGAAGACATCGCCCGCTCGTATAAAACAAATTCTGCTTCGAATTTAATGATGCATATTCTATTATCTATATTTCCTTCTAACAAGAAAATTCCATTTGCGAAAAATGTTTCATTTTTAATCGCTTGTGGAAAATTATTGATATTTTCATTGACCAAAAATTGACTGTCAAATTATAATATAATGCCAATATTACGAGAGTATATACAATATGTATGTACCTATATGTATATGTATGTATATATAAAGCTAAGAATTAATAAACCTCTTTTAAGTTTAGTTACATTTTTACAAGCTTATACGGATTTTTCAGAAGTAAATATTTAATTTTTACTTTCAGATAATAACTATAATTATATTATTTATAGCCACGAAATGTCACAAAATTATCAGAATTAATTTATATATACATTTATATATATTTATATAAATCTAAGAATTAATAAACCTCTTGTGAGTTACATTTTTCAAACTTATACGGATTCTTCAGAAATAATTAAATTAATTTTCGCTTCTAAATAATAACTATAATCATATCCACGAAAAAATGTTACAGAATTATCAAAATTAATTTCTGTAGATTTTATATTTTTTAATTTAATATTCAATATTCTATATCTTTACATTTCTCGTTCTAATTTATTAAAGAACAATATTGCTGCAATTTTAATCTCGATGGAGAGACTAATGATGCGATTTTACTATCTTTATCAAAAACTTTTCACCATTTTTTTCTATTTAAAATTGTAGTAAACACAAACTCATAAAAAAGCGCTAATGTCCTGTTGAAGTTCTTTCTCCTCTTTTATCACATCGAACAACGTTTACTCGTAAAACTTTCATGGTTCCGTCGAGAATAATCGAAACTACTCTCGTATCTTTATATACAAATTCAATTTCTTCTTCTTTTAATTTGTAAGTTCCGCAAAAATTCTAACATAATTCTTTTATTTAAAAATCTTATCTTATATGTAATTTATTAATTCGCTCTTCATGAAAACGAAGTAATTAAAGCTCGCAATTAACTGTGCAGGCAAGAAGATAGGTACGCCCCTCAAGTGTTTCAGAAAATTGAGTCGCTGTGAGTGTATGCGACACTCAGTTCCGCAGTCCTTTACATCTGCCAAAGATTAATTTAACTTTCGGTACGTTATGTACGTGGTAGGGAATCTGTGCTGTGTTATCGCTGATACAACTGATTGTGCGTGAAAAAAGTTCGATGGATCATTTCTTCTACATTTCATATTTGCCCTCCATAAAATTTCACTCTTTTCTACATTAAGCAGATTAGATCCGCTTGCATCTTTTGCATTTAAAATAAGTTCCTTTTTTATTCTCTGTGTAATGTCCCATTTCGTTTATCAGTCCGACTAATCTGTATAATAAATAAAAAGAGAAAGAAAGAAAGAAACGCGTGAAATATTTTAGGATGTATATCTGGGAAGCCAAAATATATTCCGCATTTACTTACGTACGAAAGGAAACGCGTCGTTAGACTTTTAGTATATTCGGGGTCTCGTAAAGTTTTCCACGCTGATTTATCGCTGCATAACCGCACTTTCGTTTGTTGCAATCACGTATCGGGATCGTTATTGACATCGGGCCAATTGCCAAAACAACTAGTTAAATCTAATTCAAAATGATAGTCGCGTAATATTAATCGGTTTTTAGTTTCTCTTTCTTTCTTTCTCTGTCGTTGAAATATATAAATGGACATAAATGTACGCGATAAAACTCTAAAGTTACCCGCAAAGGTACGATCACGTTTTAGTTTGTATCGTGGTGTAAAGTCGCGTGACCATCCTTCCTTAATATAACTTGTTCATAACATCTTTCTTAAGTGAAAATTTCCACCACCTACTCGACAAGATGAAATTTTTATTTCTTACATGCTCATAATTGAATTTTTGAGCAGAATTACGTTAACAATATTTTTGGTATTCTCGCGTAATCTCAGCGAGTCGCAAATATAGATAAAACCATAAAAATATGAGAAATATTTAAACTATCGCTTTACATTTATACATAAACGTATCAACATGCAACACTTTTTTTCTTCATATACATGTTATAGTTAACAGTAGAAATTAGCTCACATGTTAGCTTTGTATTTTGTTTTCTTTTAACGCAACTTGTGAGAGTAGAGAAAAATATCGAACTCATAACTTAATTTATTTATTTTAATAACGTTGACAAAATTAATTTATTAAATGTTACTTTTCGTTGGAAAATTAATTGGTTACTTTTTGTTATTTAGGGTCGCAAATTTTGAATTCATGTCATTAATTTTCATATATTAATTTGCGGAAAGCTACTTATATAATTATAAGCTACTTAAATTAGTAATAATAAAATAAAAATAAAAAAGATATAAAAACAAAAAATATTTTCAATAGAAAATATTTATTTTACAATAAAAAATAATGCTTAATATTCTATCTAATATCTAATACTATTTGTTACAATTTAAATGAAAATTCTTATGTATATTTTATTATATATTTAACTACTTGTGTTATTTTAAATAGTAACATTGTATATAAGAATCGTAAAAACATTAGAATAAATTTAATATTGCGCATGCAAATATTGACTGACATAAATAATAATTTTTTAGATTGAAATTTGATTAATATATCAATAAGAGCCAATCATAGCAAATAGGTGCGTGTATATTTTATTATAAATATAAAAATATAAATATAAAATATGTGCCATAAGCATATATATTTATATCTGTGATGTATATTTTATATTTATAATAATTTTATATATTTACAATAAAATATATATGCACCCTACTTACTCTACTCCTATTACGATTTTTTGAATTTTACAATGAATTTCAAAGTCAATTTACTAACTTCTCGAGAATAAATAATTTGCGGACAAATATTAAAATTCTGATACGCGCCCAACAATTATTACCTGTGATTTTACCGAAAATTGGCCAGTATATACTTCTGCCGAGCGAAAAATCAAAGATTTGAGATTTTCACAAGGTTCACGCGACTTCACAAAGTTTTTAACTTGATCTTTCCGGATTCGTGCTTTTGTGGAGCAGTTTCGCGAAGCAAAATCTCAAATTGAATAATTACGGACGATTTCTCTGTATAGGATCGTTAAATTGTATGGCTTTCACAAAGGGTGTACAAAGGGGTAAGTACACCCCGCCGGAGTAGCGCCGAGAGCTCCTTCGCGAAAAGAGGATGCGAACGCGTCGGCGGACTCTGCGAAACTGAGGTATGCGTGGTTTTAAAGGGACGCCGAGAGGTACATACACGCCGATCACGCCGCGTCGCACGCTAACAGTTGCTCAATCTTTCACATTTTCCTTGTCAATAATTTTTGTTAATTGTGCAGTTGAAAGAAAATCTAAGATTGTCCACAAAAAGCTTGTTCGCAAAATGATAATTCTCAAATAAGAACATTTCGAGAATATTAAGCTCCGCGATAAAGTACGCTATTAAATAGCGATATTAAATATGCAACAACTTTATTCTTGTCATCATAAATTATTTTGAAATGAGATATTATATTATAATGTGTGCATCATTACAATATAAGTACATTCTTTTGTCATATTAATGACAAAATGTCATTTTAATAATAAAATCGTTATTTTAATGATAAATTGTCATTTTAATAACGAAATTGTTATTGTAATGACAAATTATCATTTTAATGACAAAAGATAGTAATATTGAAGCAGATTAATCCGAGAAGACGGAAATATATTAATTTTTTGATTAATTTCATAGTTTAAATCTAATACTTAAAAACTCCATTTTTAGAAATCTATATTCGCGCTTTGACTATTAAGATTGGATATTAATTATAAGAAAGACTTTTATTTATTTTTCTACCTATCTGCTAAGTGAGTTCAAGGATTTGAATAAGTGATTTTTCTGAATTGTTTTGACATGAAATATGGATGGAACTTAGAAAATTGTTCCCGTTACGTACGTATATTTGTAGCATTAATTCAAATTCTCAATTTACTTTCTTGAGATAAGAAAGACGAAGTATATCTACATTTTCATCATTTTATTCTGATTATCATATAGATACATAATTATGTTCTAATTAAAAGTTGATAACTAATGATTTATGATGGCAATAACTTTTTCAACATGTAATTGTGTTATTTCATTTATCTCTAATTTTTAAGGTATTCTATAAGATGATTCATGATTATTATATAAAACATTGAAAGCATTTTGAAGCTTGATATAAAAATTTTTATAAAGAGTTAAGATAAATTACCAATTATTATAGTTTTTACTTTGATTAAATATCTATAGATATTTATAGATAAATTTTTTAATAAAAATGCCATTACGAAATAAATTCCACTTTGAAATTAAAAACATAACGTTTTGATTATTAATTTGTTTCTAAAATTTAACTCGTAAAAAGATTTTTATTTTCAATAGATTTTCCGAATTTTTTAGACCTTAAGAATGATTGATAACTCGATATTTTTATTCCAAGAGAAATTTCGTCTCAAATTTAAAAAATAAATTTACTGCAAAAAAATGTCATACTTTAGTTATAAATTGTTCTGTTCTATGTATAATGTAAAAGATTATATCAAGTGTTTAAGATATATTTGTGAAACTAGAAACACACCATCATTTTTCAACAAATCGCTTTTTCTATCGAAGTATTCATCGTCCCTCGATGTTTACTTGCATGTTCATTCATCATCAACCACTGAATTGTCACTGCTTATCTGTAGTGATTTATCGAAAAAAGTATTTTCCACTGGTCGTCCTACCTTCGTGTCGCGTTAATTTCGCTTCGTTAACATTAATTAATCTTATCCCTTATGGAATAGACAAGGGACAGTATCATAAGAGGTATGTCCGAGCAAAATTGACCGATCACCGCGTAACAGGTTTTCGAATTTAGAAATTATTTAATTAATAGCGCTTTTACGCACGTCGTTTCAGATAATGAATTTTGTATCATTAGACATGAAAGCGACAATGTCGAAGATACATGTAGATACATATTTTTCAATTATAAAATAATGCTATACTGAAAAATATTCTATATGCTAGTAGAAAAAGTTTATAAATATATACTAAAAAACAAAATAAAAATATATTATTTTTTATAAGTTTAATGTTAACTTTTATTTATATTTTAAATGTAATACCAATATATTTTAATATCCTTTGTATGCTATTAAACATTTTTTGAATATGATAGATGATAATGTAATATACATGTTTTTTTATCTATCACATTATCATCTGTTATATTTAAAAAAATTTTAATGGCATGCAAAAGATATTAAAATATATTGGTATTATATATTTTAAATATAAATTAAAGTAACATTAAATTAGCAAAAAATAATATATTTTTGTTTTATTTTTTTTAGTATATTTATAAATTATTTCTACTAGTATATAGAATATTTTTCAGTATGGTATTATTTTTGGAGACATATGTGTCCCAATGGTACCAAGGGAACAAAATACAAGTAACAAATCAACGAGAGATAAAGTTCTCAAGACGAAAAATAGAGAAAAGAGAGAGAAGAATGAGAAAAACCGACGGAATACAGATAAGCTGTGCTCTGCTTTTTTTTATTGCTCCTTTAATCTCTTGAAAAACGCATCTTCTTTTTTTGCGGAACAACTTCTTCCGAATGCACTTAACGAACGAAAGAGATATAATGTCAAGCTTGCAGCACCGCCAACTCCAGCTTTATGATTCGCTTCAGTGCGGTTGGACGACCTATATTCCTATCCATGAGTGCGTGACCGGAAAGAAAGGGAGAGAGGGAATAAATGAGAAAGGACAAAAGTAAATATTTTTATTTCATCCGAGGCTCAGCATGACGCGGTAATTTCTTATCAATATACGAAATATCATTTCGAGAAAGGCTAATATTGAAGTGGAAAGCCGATTATTTGAATCGATTCGAAAGTAGGAAAGTAATGATCGAAAGAGAGTGAAACTTTCAATTTATCTAAATAAGCCCAGCTATTTTTAATAAATATGGAATAATGCCCAGGAAATTTTATCAATACAATATAGGTGGCAATTTACTCACATTGTTTTATCCCAAAAGCATTCTAGAGATAATCAATCATAATAAAATATTTGCGGAAAACGCTACATATATTTTAATCTAATGGGAATATAAGAATACAGTATTAATAATAACAATATAATGCATACAGTAGTAAAATAATAAAATGCAAAATACTTATAAAACAGCTACAGAACAGAGAAAAATGCACAATTATTATATATATATATATATATATATATATATATATATATATATAATATTATATTAATATTTTAAAAATACACATACTTTAAAAGGAGGGAGAAATTCGCGAAAATTCGGTTATAATTGAATAATTGCAATCTTATTCAAATTAGCAAGAAACATACATTTATACTACGTATTTAATACTTTAAGTATAATATTACATCGAGTAGCCCGTAAAACTGTCACAAATTCTCTAATATTTTAGCTTTAGATATAAAAATATAAAACAAAGAAACACCACACAAAGAATACACACGAATACCGCGGAATATTTGCATATCGTATATTTCCAGCTTTTTTCTTAATTTATAAAAATGTTCATTATTTAATTAAATAATAATTTATGTTATGGTAAAATATAAACGTTGTATTTAAAAACTTTTAGCACAGTATCATATTATAATTGAGAGATACAATATATTCTTGTAGATATATAACTTATAAATATAATATCCTAAATCTCTCTAAATTAATAACGTAATACGATATGTTATTAATAATTAAAGTACAGAAACTCGCGATATTTCACGGTAAGCGTGTTTGTTTAATTTAAAGATGATATATTAAACAGGTCAATCTCATCAAAATCATGAAAATAATAAATGAAAAAGAAAAAATAATTTTTTAACACACATACATATTTATTCAAATACATGTGTATATGTATAAAAATAATATTTTTCTTCTATCGGCATTGTCACGATAATTGGTCCGCTTTAATACGTTTGTACGACGAAGTTAAGCAGGGAAAGGAACATTGGTCTAGAAACAGGAACAATATAGCAGAGTATAATATCCGGGAAATATTATAAAAAATGCAAAAGATTATACATGGTAGGGGGTCGGAAGGATAAAGGGAGCCGATTATATGTCTATATTTAATTGAAATTCCCATTAAAGACCGACGATTCCAAAATACGTACGTGACTGTTTGACCATATATAATATTATGACAGCTATGTCTTTTTCGTCACGCAGTCATATTATTAAATCGTTTTATCATCAAAAATACATTAATAGAAAGCCAATTGAAATGCGCGGTTCGTAAAATTCTCGCGGCGAGATAGATAAAAAATTAGTCGATATAAATTATGATCTTACATAGAACGTCCCAAAATATATAACTATTTTTCAATTAAATTGTTTAAATTGTTCATAAACAATAGATGACTTATCTCAGATACTTCAAATAATTAGTGTCATAATTGCAAGAATGCATTTTCGATTTATCGATACAAAATATTTATTTAATATAAGGAGAATAAAATGTTTTTTCGTTATAATTTTAACTTTAAGCTACTTACTTTATTATACTATTTTTCGTAAAACCCTGCAAAATTAACTCGTAATTAAAATTACATACATCAGTTTCTCTTCTACACAAAGAAGGAAGCTTAAGAAAATTGAGTTTCTTATATTATACATATAATTAAAAGTGAAGGTATAATGAATGATGTAATATGCATACTTTTGTGATAAAAGTTTTATATTTTTCATATTTTCGCGTACATACATTTTCTCCATTGAATATCACAGATATTTAGGACAACAAGTATTAAAATTTAGTTACATAAGAATATAACATATTTTATAGCATCCGAAACATGCAGAAATAATATCATAAAAGCAAACATTACATAAATGTTATATATTGATGTGATTACTGGTTGGATTTTTAGAGCTTTCAATATCTAAACAGATCTTTTAATAATGCATTCTTTAATGTATTGTCTGCCTAAGCCTTCTATATTTGATAATATTTAATTTTATCGCAAGTTGTTATATGTGTAATCAGCAGAAAGTTAAAATAATTCGCAAAACTATAAATTATTAACTATTAATCAAAATCGCTGTATATACAACAAAAATTTTCATTATACATTAGCTCTTCATTACATACATAAGTTTACTATAATAAATCGAGCATTCTGAGAGATTATAATATATAATAATCTGTGCATTTTATTACAAGTCATAACCATATATCTCGCAAAGAGATGCTGCAATCATAATGAGCGATTGATGAGGAGACTAGATCCAAAATTACATAGCGCTCATCATTTCTAGTACGTTTATAATTAGGTAACATCCTTTCAGTATTTTATGTACACAATTGAACAGAAAAATATTGTTGATTTGAAAAGTATTTAAAATTCAAAAATTATTCCTTCAGATATAATAGCAATATATAATTTGCACGAGTAATTCTCTTAGTAATTCTACTATTTCCACTGATACAAATGCAAATATTTGCTCATTTTGAGATATATTTATTATAATATTTTAAATATATATATATTTATTCGAATTTATAATAATTTATAATTTATATTAATAAGCTTTATAAAGTGTAGGACAATCTGCATAGCACGAACCAACAATTTTTTATCTAAAAATATTTCTGTTTATACACCTATATTTCGAAAAATAAATTTTATTTACAATTTCTGATTGATGAATTGAAAATAAGAATAAAAAATGATAAAATTTATCGATTCTCTCCTTTTTCAATAATTAAATTTATTCAGGTTGTTTACAAAGGTGTATAAATTTAGAAATCAAAATTTTTTTAAATACCCTCTTGATTGCTTTAAAATATATTATATCTCAAAATGTACGTGATTGTTAGAATAGTAGTAACAATTATCATTTTTACATAATAAGCAAAGTTGCTTATTGAAATTCTCTTTTAGAAATAATTGTAATTTCTATTTTCTGTTGAACTCTATTAAGCCTCTGTTGTAGAGAATAGTAATAATTTTCAATATTTGAAAAATAATAAACCAGTCTATTTTCATATATGAAAAATAACAGTTCATCTATTTTTGCCATAATACTTAATAACGTGCCAATAATATTATATTTTCTTTCATTGCATTTTAGTGCATTACTTTCACACATTACATCAAAAAGATTGTTTAGTGTATTTAAAGATTGTTTTACTGCATAATTATATTATCATGTTTTTTTACTATTTAACATATTTGTTTTATATCTTGTCAAATGTAGAAATAAATAATTTTTTTAGTTTAGTACTTTTATCTTATATTGAGACTTTGAACTACACCTATTATTGATTACTTGTTGGATCCATAACTATACTATAGTTAAAGTAGGCACTTTTATACTCTTATAATACATTAATTGTGCTTCTCTCATCAAATATATTTATAAGACATTGATACAGTCTTATCTCTGCTCTATAATTTTCCAAATTAAGGTAGGAAGCTTGAATGTAATTGTAAAGAAAGCAAAAAATAAAAAAGAAAGAAGTAAAAATTTCCTATTACTATATCAATGGCACACAAGAAAAAGCAGTTACTCCATGTCGCTTCTATTCCTAATATCGCCATCATATTTTGATATTAACACCTGATTATCTTCACCTCGCCACTTTTGTCGGACGTAAATAAACAGTCCAATAAAGAATATTAAGATACCAATGCCTCCTATTCCAAAGCATGTTACAGTACCCAATGTTGGAAGAATCAAAAGTAGCTTAACTTGATTTGCATAACTGGCAGTTAGATTAGCCTCTTGAGAAAACCATAACATTGGAATGTACGTCTTCTTTATATTTTCAAATATACTGAAAAATGAAAAATAAATTGTATAAGATAAATTATTCAAAAACATATAGAAAGAGTATATATCTAATTCTATAATACATATGTAATTCAAACATTCTCTTAATTAAATTATTATTAAATCTTTCAATAATTTAGATAACTTTTTTTATTACTCACAGCACAATTTTAATAAAGAAAATTAAAATTTAATATCTTATAAATAAAGCATCTTAATATTTCAGATATTTTTCTATTATATATATATTTAGTAATCAGTAGTGAAAGAAAATGTTATTTCTTACATATGCCTCACAATTGTTTCATTGGCTTTCAAATAATCCCTTATTTTTTATTCTCATGAAATTCTTATGTGTGAGACCAATTACATATTACTTACCTCATGTGTTCTATTGGTTCTACTAATAAATTTAATTGTAGTCTCGCCTGAACTTGCATTGGGACACCTGTAGTCTGTAAAAGTTATCTCTAGGTAATATCTACGTAGCACAATATACTTGCATATAACATTGATAAGAATAATGCTTTATGCAAAATACATACCGGTTCTATAACCATCGAGATTTCGTGTTTTTCTTTATCAGGCGACATTCCTAATACAGCCTTTCTGTAACTTTCATCTGCTAAATAAAAATGTGGCATGCTAACGAATGCCGGTGCTCCATACTTGCAGGATGAAATATTTAAAACTCCGCTAGGTCCACAATCTCTATTGGGACAATAACATTGTCTTGATGGTACATTTTCGCCATTATCAAACATTTTATTATCTCCAATATATTTGTTTCCAGTTAGACTTTGGAATGTTGTTGTATTTTCATATGATAACTTCACAGATCTAAACAATATGTAAATTTTATTACTTATGAACGTTTTTATATTTAATTTAAAAAAAAATCAACTTTTGACACTAATTCATACTATTTATATAAATATATAAATGTGTATGCAAATAATTTATATGTATAAGTAACATTTGTATGGAACAGTTAATATATAATCCAATTTATTCAAAATTTAACATTAAACCTTTTAAAAATTAACTAAAGATATGATATATTAAAATAAAAAAAAACAATAAATTCATTTAAAATGTCAATTGAATAGCAATTAATATTTAATTTAAAGTAATTTTTATTTTTACAACTACATATATAATGTAGCATAAATAATATTTATATTTTATATAAATATTTTACTACTTACGTGCAAATATCAGAAACAAAGACAGATACGGTCTTATTATTTGGCAAAGGTGGCCAAAAATCGCCATTTGATCCTTCTATTATACCACATGAATCCTCATAATGATCTGTTTTAGCCTTGAAATTCCATTCTTTGACCAATCCCATATCATAGAAATTTGTTGATCCAGTGAACATATTGAATGTCCCATCATAACTGTCTGAGCCATTTCTCTATGAACAAAAAAATACTCATTGTTTAGAATCAATCAAATCTAATCAAATTGTGTTTGATGTATATTCAATTTATTATGCTTACCGCATAGAACCATCCAAACTTTGAATATGGAAGTTCAGTTGCTTTCATCTTTTTTGCAATGTCCAATAATGTATCATTAAATCCTTCGAATATCAACTCATTTACACTTTTAGTTAATACTAGTTTTTCTCCCAAACGTACCATAAATCCATTGGTTAACTTGCGTACAAATGCAGACTTATGTCTTACAGAGAACCCGACTGTCTAAAATTGAACATTGTGTAAAATATAATACATAAAAAAATTATGCTAATAATTGGTAAATTATAATGTCTTACTGCAACTATTGGATTTAAATTAGTTATTTTATCGGTCAGACTCCCATTGGACAATGATTCCTCAAAAAACCAAACTTTTCTTCTTTGATATGTGACAGTTCCATTGTTATTCCATAATTTATTTACTTTATAATCAATTTCTCTGTAAAGAAAAAAATATATATAATATATATTATTAATTTAGTATTAGCTTAATTTATTGAATGTTATAAGTGATTTTGTAGAAATAACAATACCGAAAAACATAAGGCCCCATTTCTTCAAAGTGTGGTGTTGCATTTAACGATGCCTGAAATTCATGGGGATTTGTCCAGTTGAACATATAAAATTTAAAATACATTGGTATAGGAGTTTCTTTCCACATACTATAACTTACAGATGACGGTGTTAATATTAATATCTGTGTAAAAAGAATATGTGGATTATAAACATAATAGTACTTATATACATTTAATGAGATCAAATTTTATTTAATATATTTCTTCAACGTACCTTTGTGATAGCCCAATCATATATGTAAGTGGTCCAGAGTGATCCTGTGATTATGCCAAGAAGCATGATTATTGTACCGACAACTGAAATAATTATAACTTTTGTACTGGATCTCTCCATTTTTACAGGAATTAGAGGTCTGAAAGCCATAAATAAGTAATAATTAGTTCCCTTTTTTACTTTTATGAGGATATGAGAGCTGCAACAAGCAGAAATTAAATTCAGGATCATCTTACAAATACATTTTAAAAATAATTGTATTTGGATAATATAAAGTAATATTTTAGAAATATTTTCTTTATAGTATAAAGAAAATAAAAAAATTTTATATAAAAATTTATTTCAGAAAATTTAGCTTTGACAGTATAATTAATTGATTACTCTGGATAAAATAGAATTTAGCAATGATTTTATCAAAAATATTTTCAAAAGTTCTACGTAAGCTTCGACTTACTCGGTTTTTTCATATATTATAATTATTATTCTTATTAAGCCACAAAGAAATGCTCTTACGAACAGAACACGACATTATGTAATTATAGGGAAGGATAGTTGTGTACAACCATTCATGAAAGTAACTGTTTGAAAGGCGTAAAAGTAGTCTGACGAAACATGTATCAGCTGGTCAAGGTAAACATCTTTCATGAAATGGTTGTGTGTAATATGCTGCATAATAATTAAGATATTTGTAAACAAGTAGAAATCAAGTATGTTAATGATTATTTGCTTGCCCCAATTTTAACTATAGAAATCGAAAATCCTACGATTCTTTATATATTATAGCCTTTATGTGCTTGTGAAATATCCCAAAATGTCATGTCACAATTCATATGTCACTATATATTATATATCACATGTCAATCGCAATGTAAACAAATGTAATTTATTTTTATATAAATCTATATTTTTATATCAATCTATATTAATCTTAAAAATGAAATAATTGATAAAATCAGCTGGTGTTAAGTCAGATTTATATCGAGTGTAGACTAACCTGTCTTACCGTAATTATTGCGCTATATCGCGCTATATTGAGTAATTAAAAGAAATGGAAAGTTGTCTCGTGTTAAAAAATTCACGATATAATTTATGGTACACATTGATAATCACAGTGGTGACTTGCAGCTTTTTCGCATCTATGTGTACAAATTTCATAATGCAAGCATAACGCACAAAGGAAGACGTATGGATTACTAAAGTCTGCTTCTCTTTTTGTTCTATATGTTCTACCATATAAATTAATATGTTACACTTCATACTCGTGAGAAAAACGTGAAGTATCGTAGAGAGTTTAAAAATTAATAAGATGAATTTTTTCCTCATAAATGAGTAATGTATGATATAATGATTAGATATTTTTTGTAGAGATAAAAAGGCAAAAAGACAAAATATAAGAAAAATATATAGAAATATATAGAAATTGCGATTTGAAAATAATAATAAATTTAGATAGTGTATAAAAATCTTTGATGTAATCAAATGATATAAATTTTATAATTAAATATTGATATAAATTTATTTTAATATAATTATAAATGATAAAAATATTATTTATATCAATCGATTATCAGATTTTTATTTTTTCAAATCGCAATAATTATTCAATACCTTTTTATCTTTTATCTCTACAAAAAAAACATTTATAATTATACATATATTATACATTATACTCATATTTCTACAAGAAAGAAATTTATTAATTTTATTTTAAGATTTTCTCTTATTAATTTTGAAGATTTTCGGATAAGAAATAATAAATTTATTAATTCTATAATTAACATATAAAACTTTTAATGTGTCGTGAATCTTAATATTGAAAAAAAAAGATTATTATTTCTTTTAAATTTCTTTTCCACTGCTTTATAGATTTGATAATTGTATATATCGATTATATGTGCAATAAGAAGAATCAAACAGTACATATATCTTATAGAGAATTATAATAATTGCTCTTGATAACAATATATGACCGCGACGTACGTTATTGTATATACCATATACTGTGTGCATGCACAATGTGCAGTATTTTTTTATAAACGAAAGCATATAATATATGCTGCTTCGGCAAAACAATTTCCGAATGACTTGCACGTCGTTGTTGTAAATAATTATTTTAAATATTTACGATTACTTATAATTATTTTGCTTAAATTACTTTAACGCGAATATGTCAAGCGAAAACTCTAGAAAAGACGATTTAGACAATTTATTCGAGCTTAATAGATACAGAATAAAAATTCAAATAATATATATATATATATATATATATATATATAATTTTTTTCAATAAGATTGACTAATATTTAAAAGGAGAAAGCACATCAGATATTAAAACCTAATAATAATAACGTCTTATTTCTTGCTGTAACAATAAAAATGTTTGCCCACGATATAAATATTTTTACATATTTTTTCATATTTTTACGTTCAATTATTGAAATTTTATTCGAGAAGTATCAAAATTAATTTAAAAAAAAATGATAGACACACACGGAAACATTCAGTGATTTTGCGATATTCTAAATATATATTTTCTCACCGCACAGATGTCTGTGAAGCAGTTACATGTGTGTGCATTTTAGGGTCATCAGATAATGATGAAATTGAAGGATAGGCTTCAGTCATTTTCCTTTTTTTCGTATTTTAAGTTCCTTCAAAGACACATCGAAGAAAGATGTTATAGTGGCAGGCCGTTTTTTTCCTCTCGACGAAGAATAACTAATCACTCAATATAGTTTTTATTCCAAGATTGCAAATTCTTGTGTTTATTTTTAATCGTATAACAATGAGGTAGTTTATTTAATGTTTAAAATAGAATCTCTGTTGAAGACGTATATTTTTTTATTTGCACGTATCTTTTTAAGGTACCTGTGCGTGTATCGAAATTAATCGTATCAAGAGAAAAAGAGATAAATAACTCTTCCGTGCAAAGTCTGGCCACTGATTGTCAAATATATCGAAACGAATAGGATGGTATTAGATTTCGAGTGCTTTAGCACCTGATAAACTCGAGAAATATTGTTGAAAACAATCCCTCTTATTTTTATCTGATAGATAAGAATCATTTAAAACAAATATGCAAGATATTTTTTCGTTTCTTTGGACATCAATTAAAGATATGAAAATATATAACATATTTTACAAGAGTTTAAAATTTTCATAGCTATACCGGTGTAAAATTTCTAAATTTTTCTACAAAAAATGTGAAACAATTTTTTACGTGATATATATCTAACACATTATTATTTTATGAATATCTTTTTAAAACAAGAATTCATCTAATAGCATTTGTGTAATTAAATCGCAATAAAGATATGTTATTTTTAATAACCAATAAAAATAAATCTTTTTAGAAAGATTATATTTATGAAATATATTTATATTTATGATTATATTTATGATTAGAAAGATTTATGTTTATGAAAATCGTATATTTAAAAAAATTTTTAATAGAACAAAGTTTAATGTTTTGGTTTTATAATTATTTAAATCATTATAATACTTTTTGCCTATTTTCAAACATTAGATTCTTTCTAAAAACGGAGTGAACTTAATTAAAAGCACGTACGGTTTTGAATAAAAAATATTGAAATAAAAATCCAAAGAAATAATCAATTTAGAATTATGAAAATTTTTTCTTTATTTTCGAATTCTTAAATAAACTTTGAAATGTATATTTGCACATACCTATATGTTTCTGTACCATATGGATTATTAATGAAACAGCTTATAAAATGTGTTATCTTTATTTATGTTAAAGTAGAATGAATTATATAGATGAATATAAGATTTTATTAACAAGTTGAGAAATCGGGATATTAGTACGATCAATATATGTTTCTTCTAGTACACATATATATAAAAAAAGAAGTATCAAATACACTTATCTATTCGTATATTGTACATGTATATGCAAAAAGTTGTCAAATTATAACTTATATATTTGTGTATATGTAAAAAATTTGCTTGAATAAAAATATATTTATATACCCTAGTTATAATTCAATCAAGAAAAATATTAATCTTTTATTATTTAAGAATATTTTTTTTTAATTGGAAAAGAAAAATTAGATAGAAAATAACTTATTTTCATAATAAAATAAGATTATATAGAATTTTATAAGAAGAATTATATTATGTTATTGCACATATATGAATATATAAATGTTGATTTGACTCTTTTTTCTATGTAACATCTTTCTGCATAAATCTATCTGTACTTTATACCAGGAGCCGATGCACTATCTGCTAACAAAGCTATTTTCAACTATATCAGTTTCAACAATAATTATATATAAGCTTCCGAGACAAGTAAAAGATGATCGTGTGATGAACGCATAAATGCACTTACAATTAGTAAAATATTAAATCATCATCCATTGAATTATACATATTATGATTAATCATTCGGCAGAATAAATATTGAGATTACAAGTGGGAAAAATGAATTTTTTCACGAATGCATTATAAAATATACTTATCGTAAGCTGTTCAAAGTTCACAGATTTATTCATGCGATCGCAAATGTGAATGATATACAATAGATATGCTGAAAATCATAAAGAAATGTATATAGATAAGAAAATCAGGCGACAAAGGTTGAAAGGTTTTTAATTGGATGGAAATGAATCAACTGAGTCATATGACTACTTTTTCTGAGGATATGTATGTCTAATAAGGAATATAATTAGTCATGATGACAAAAGTTCTGAAAACAATTCCTACATAGAGATTTTTTCTTAGAATTTACCCTGAAAATTATGGTAATCATGGGACAATATGCGAATTTTATGAGTTTCTCTAATTAATATTTATCACAATAAAAAATATTAATATCTACCACAATAAGATATAAAATATGTTCGATTAATTTTTGTTTATGATTAATGTTCATATTAATATTTTTTATTGTAGTAAATATTTAATCAGAAAAACTTATAAAATTCTTACCATACGATTACCATGATTTTACTGTTGATAGAATATATAGTTAAAAAAACTCAGAATATTTAAATAACTCTGGATATAAATAAATATTTAAAAAATTATTTGACTTGCAGCAAAAAAGTAACTTAAATTCCTTTCAAGTTCTTATGTGGTTTCTTGAGTAATACATTCATCGATAATTTAATTATGTTTGGATGACAGATTTGGCAATAAATTAAGACTCTTGAATTGTTAAATTAAGCGAGGCATCTTATCGTGCATTTTATTGCTAGTTTTTAACTTTTATTGACGAGTCAGAGCAGTGACATTTTACAGATAATTTGGTAAACTGACACTACGCTGTGTTAATATATAATGCGTCATTTCTATTTTTGATGTTATATTTATAACGTTTTTATCGCTATGCAATGCATATATATTACACACAACTCAACAGCGCAAAAAATATATTTTTTACTCTATTATTTATAAACATTTTCGTGTTCTGTTGACGTATATTTTCTTATCGGAGCAATTTTAAATATGTCTGTTGTATCTAATTACTTATTTATGAAAAGCAAACATGAATTCAAATGCATTGAAATTAATTCATTTATGCAACATTAAATAACTTTTTTCGAAATGCTCATTATTATTTTATGAGAAAAATTATTATAAAAGAATCTTCAGAATATATTCAATAGAAAACAGTTTAGAAATAAATATATGCATATGTGTTAAGTACTTAACATTTCGTTATATTATATTTTTTATATTATACAATTTAGAGTATACACACAAAAAACACGTAATATATAAATTAGATCGATTGCTTAATAAAATTGTTTCGCATATAACTCGAATGTGCATAAGATAGAAATGCGGAGAAATTATTAAAGCGTGAAGTGAAAGTGAAAGACGAAGAGAAAATCTTTCCGGTAATTGCGTACAACAGAAGCATCGCGATTCACAAATCTAAAAGAAAGTTATCATGCATCCTGCTTATACGACAAGATATAGATACACAATTTATAATTTGCTCGGAATAGTGAAGGCATAAAATATTATGGTATATAGTGAATAAAATATAAAGCGTATCGCAAAATTTTTCTTAAATTCACGTTTTGAATTGTTTAAATAACGCGTAAAAATGAGTAAAAATAATTAGACAAATTTATATTCATATCTCTTTATAAATTATAATATTTAATCCTTTTTTATAACACATCGAGTGATATTTCTATCTGTGATATGGATTAAAAATAAGAAACACGAATCAAACTTGTGACATGATCGGAATTATAGGCCGACCATAAGAAACACGAATCAAACTCATGGTTATTGTTGTTATATTCATTGAGATCAGTTAAATGCATATATTTTCAATATTTGCTACGGATGAGCGTTTAAATATCATACTGTTCATAATTTCGCATTTCTTTTTAATTTCTAAAAATTTAAATTTATTTAAAAAAAAATTCTTACGTAATAATGTTTAAAAAAGAAAAGATTAGTACAAAAGATAAATAGCTGTTCCTTTACTGAAAAAAGTTATTGATTCAAATAAGTATTTATTTCAATAGTGCTATTAATACTATTTGTTTGAAACTAATAATGTTGATTTGCCATAAAAAAATACTTATTTGATATAAGAAATCCTTTTTCAAAACAGATAAATATTTTATTTGTTCCATATAAATGGTGTTAATGCGACACTATTGAAATAAATATTTATTTGAAATCAATAGCTTTTATTCCTTGTTTATATCTGGAAATAATAAGATATGTATTGATATATATATTCAGATAATGAAAGTGATGATATTATTAATAGTGATTTAATATGTACTCAGATAAATGAAAGTGATGATACTATTGATAGTGATTTAATATATATATATATATATATATATATACTAGTATATATGTATATTCAGACAATGAAAGTGATGATCTACTATTGATAGCGATTTCATAAAATTAAATAAAATTGTTTTATTTGTTCTATTTATATTATAAAGTTTATGTGAATACAATATTCATAAAAAAGTAATCGTATTATATATATTATTACTGATTGTGATATTATATGCAAAGAAATCTTCTATAAATCTCGTATCTCTCTTCGAAAATACAAATTAGATTAAAGTCAAAGGTTAAATACTTGTTCTCTTTATCAAATAAATAAATTATATAATATAATAATACTAATATAATATGTATTCACGTCTAGCACAATCGTACAGTGACAGTTTGGTTGGATTTTTTTATGTTATGATTCATGCTGATATAAACGGCGATATAAAATACTTTATGTGACAGCGCTCTTTATTACAAACGCTCATCCGACACATTTTTTATCCGTGACAAACGATAAAAAGCGCGCCATAATCTTAGGATCAATAAATAATGCTCGCGCAAAACTTGCGAAGTTTTAATTTTAACATCTCTGATGACATAATGAAAAGTTCTCGATACAATCATTATAATATTGCCGTCGCGTTTTAACGATGATGTATTATCTCATCTCGACATAAAATCGATATTACTAAACGGATAAGGAATTCGATAAGAAATTCGAATCGCGAAAATCGTATCAATAATAATAAAAAGGAGGAAGCAAATGTTCTTTTTTCCTTACCTGTTCGAGAGTAAAAATCCTTAAATCGAAGCTGCTTCTCAGCGTTTTTTGACCTCTCATGGACAGTTCGGTGAATTTTTCGCGTTCAACTCGCACCGCGATGTAACCAGATGTAAGGCGCGAATGCGCGCGAGTTCTGGCGCCAACTAGCTGCTGCGCCGCTCGGGAAACCGTCGTGGACTCGCGCGATGCAGCATACACATACATATTTATTTTCACGCACGTGTACATTCGCTGCGCGATTGTATCGATGATAAACTTTCGAAAACGTGTTGCAAAAGCAATACACGCAGGGAAAAAATATAAAGTCTTGATAAATACGAGATTTTCAAATAAATAAGATCATAGCTGAATCGAAATTACATATATAATGTAAACACGTGATTTATTTAACATAAACGAAATTCAATTGAAACCATCCCTCTCTGTAATCTCGATATTGTTAATTACTAGCTATGTAATAGCTTATATAAATATATAAAGTGCTAACGAAAGATCCGCGTATGCTTTACACTGCAATCGATGTAACATATTCAGTTCTATGGTTACATATTATAACTTCCTCAAAAATGTAGAATAATTGGACCCGTGTAGTAAAACTACACATATAATCAAGATTAAATGTTTGATATCACATATTGGACGGATTAAAAGACGGATTAAAATGTATAAATATAAAAGAGAGTATATGGTTTAAATTATTACTGAAGTACTCGTACTGTTCATGTCCTCTCGTAATTGGGTTCGATCTCGTACTCTTGCGCACATTAAGCTATACTCTAATACGCCAATCCGAATATTCATCTCAGAAATTTCGTTCTTCATCTTTGTGATAGTCTTCTTTATGTTGATAAGCGGCGCTGCAAGAACATTTTAAAGTGAAATTACATTGAAATTATATGTACATATATAGATTATGTTGAAATGATATCTAAAACCTACTTCCATCAGTCATGCTAGATCCTCTCTCATCCATTTCTCTTTTTATATGTTCCAATTCTTCCATCAATTTATTAAGAACTCTTGTTCGTTCAGTTACACCACCGCTAACATCTCTATATTGTTCTTTGACTTTTGATAGTCTATCCTAGATTAATTATTATAATTTATATATATTTTGTATATGTTTCAATATATATAATGTGTATATGTGTAATATGCACAAATATAATGTATATTGAATATAAATTTACCTGCAAAGAACGATATTCCGTTAAGGAGGGTTCGAGTTGCTTATTAAGATAAGTTTCTCTGGTTTTAATTTTATCTAACGTATTTGCGATATTGGAGTAAATTTTATTTAAGCTGGTCTTTGTACCACTTAGATCAGTCGCAATATTTGCACGCAATTGTTTCATTTGTTCGAGATGTGCTCTCCAATCTCTCGAATCTGTGAATTATGATATAATTTATATGTTATAATTACTTGTATTATATATTATATTATTTATAATATATAATATATTAATTGTAACATATTACATTACAATGATATTATAGTAGTATTTAACTGTCAATTAGTAAATAATAACACTTGAAGTAAATGGTCGATTTTATATTGTAAAGACATTTAATACCTGTTCTAACAGTGACTTTTAAACGCGGTAAAACCTTTTCCAATTCTAACTGCCACTCTTCTCTATTAGTGTTAGATTGTAAAATATTATCTGGTTTTTGTGTTTCACTCTGAAAAATAAAAGAGCAATTAATGAATATAATATCTTCCATACAGCAAAATTATTCACAATTTTTTAGGAATAAAATTTTGTTTACCATATTTTGACCATATAATTTCGTAATGTCGTCTATGTGTAAAATATCTTGATCATCATCATCATCATATTCAGCCATCATTTCCTCTTCGACTTTTTCTAAAATTAATTCCGCTTCATCATCTTCAATATCTGGTTCTGGTGTAGGCTCATCAGGTGGAATGTTTACCCTAATATATTTAGTTACAAATTAGTAAAACTTATTCACTTCTACTAAAACTATTCTATTAAAAGCTCATCAATTTACTTTTTCCACTCAAATTTTTCCATTTTTAAAGCATTGTCAGCTAAATTATCTAATACGTAAACTGCATGTTCTCCGATACCCTGTTTAAGTTTATTGGGTGGGAATTCTACAGATACATTAATATCCCTGAGAAAATCTAAAATTGAAGCTATTGTGGAATTAGGATCATCTGATTCTTGCGGCATTTCAAAGTTTTTCCCAGCCTTTCTAATCAACCATGCAGCCAGACAAGTAAACGTATAAAATTGTTCACCAGAATTTGTTGGGATTACAAAATAGTGCCTGTTTTCAATATTGAGAATTAATACATCAAATATTAAATATAAAATATATTATATCTGTAATGTGTATCACATAATATCTTACTTGTTTATTGGTTTCATTCTTAATTCTTGAACAAATTCTGCATCATAATTTAATAATTTTAATTTCTCCAACAAGTCCTCCATTCTAATATTTATGACAAATGATGCCGATGGGGCAAGCCCATCCTCCACGATGACTTTTTTAGTATCTCTGAACATATTGCTGTATCTATACTTTCAATATACACTTTGTATTAAGTCTGTAAATAAATTAATATTAGATACTCTATATATTGAGATGTCAAATTATATTTTAAATTAAGATGTTTAATATTGTATATAGCTGAAAAAAAGTAAAATTAATATAATTATATTTTTTTAATTAAAATGATATAAATACATCTAAAAATATATATTTATATATACTTACTAGATGATTGTAAAGCAGTTCCTTTGCATAATCTGACATTTATTTTTAAACTCTGGTATGCTACAAAATGCCAGCATAACATTTACGTGTCATAGAGTCTACTATTCAAATATGCACAGAAGCTAAAAAATTCAATCAATTGTCATAACGTAATCCGTCAATCGCTGGGATGCGCACTCACAACTTGTCAGCTTGTCACTGACAAGTTAAAGTAAAGTTAGGTTTCTGCGTCGACAGGCATTGGAACTTTAAACTGCGATACAAATATAAAGCCAAAATCTCAGAATAAAAAGAAAAATGGTTTATTTATTTCACACATATATATAAAGACAGAAATTGATCTCCAATTATTAAGAAAAAATTCCTATGACTGCTATAATATTATTAATAACAATTTTATTGATCAGTTGACAGATTGATTGTGAATTAGAATAAAATTGCTAAACTTTGTTAGTTCCATTTTTATTAACATAATTTTGAGAGAATATTAATATTTAATTCTATTTTTTTAGGCTTTTGTAAATTTTATATTTTTAATTACATTTCACTTTAACAGGTTGTGAGTTCGATTGCGATTGGAGAATATCGTCGACGTTAGAGGATTGCTGACCAATCGGAGTAAAACAACTGACAGTAAATGCTACAAGCTATAGACAGTACTATACTATCGTCACAGTATATTATATGTTATCATCTATACTTTTGGTAAGTACGATAAAATCACCACTAGATGGATTTTACTTTAACATTTATTTGGATATTAAACATTTTAATTAAATTGCGGAATTCTTATGAATTATAATGAATTAAAATTTATTAGATATTATTTTCAAAATTGATTACAAAGGTGCGTGAAATAATATTTCGTCGAAATAGAATTATTACAATGATGAGAAGAACTGATGGCTTTCCCGCATGTGCAAATTATTGTGTCAGTTAGTTAAATATAATCTCCCGGCTCCTTTTTGATGGAAGCGTGTGCTAGTGGTTGCACCACTGAACATTGATCGCTAACGTAGAAATTTTTCTATCACATGGCAGATCTGATCAGTGGGTGTTATCACGTCCGTAAGCTTTATGTAGCTTCTCTGTGCAGAAATTCCCGATTGCGCATGCATCTTCGTGGCTCGTTTACGACCTCGGATTTGCACGCCTGCACGGTCGAGTTTCCTGTCGCTCCTCGGTACCCGCGATTTCCAAATGGGGGGCAATCGAATAGGTTCAGACACGAGGTAATTTGTCGCTTCCATATACAGGCACCGCAGATCGCGGTTCGCCATTTTTGTATTTTTTTTCACTTCTAATTTATATCTTATATGATTATTGATAAACTGTCTCGAAAATAATGCAAAATATCTATACACATACTTTAAAAAGTTAGGTTACGGATTATATAATTGGATGCTCTTATTGAATTTTTATATATTGAAAAACAAAATTGAGAATATTTAAAATATTCTTCATTCCTTATATATAAAATTTTAATTTGTCTCATAGTATAAAAACAATTCAATAACATATAATTTTTCAACTTATTTAAGTTTTAATATTTTCCTGTGTTTCATTATTAATCTCAGAAGAAATTTGGGTGAAAAGAAGATTCCAGTTCCAAACTTTATCGGATTCTTTCACCAAATTTTCATTGTATAGTTTCTCTGCGAGAAGAGAAAGACTGACACCGTCCAATGATGTAAATGCTGCATTTTTCACCAGATCAGTATCCAATTCCTCGTACGCAGTCACTCTATTTGCATTGATTCTGAAAATTATATTTCAGTTTAGTTTGTAATCTCACAAACTATGTCTTGATAAAAAAATGCCTTTCTTTTCTTTATTGAAATAAATTAATTTAAGTTTTATGCATATTACAAGATTTTAATAAAAATACTTACGTAGGAGCACTTGCAATATCAGATGAAATATTATCTTCTTGAATTTCATCTAAATCAGGTATAACAGGAATATCTACAAATACAAAATTTAATAATGTAGAAGAAATAGAGACAAAATATTTAAATTTTTCATAATTTTTCTGCTGATTATTTTTTATAGAAAAATTATAGATAATTTAAAACTATAAATTTTAAATTAATTTACCATCTTCTTGGTCTTCCTTCTCGATAGCTGGAAAACGCTCTCTAAAGAATAGTGATCTGTCAGTGACTACGGTTCTTTCATTTTTAATCTTATGGTCTTATATACTCACTGTTCAATAATATTTGATGTCCTTGATCTAGACAATGAAAAGAACATTTATTAACTTATCATACTCAAAATAATATATTTATTTTAGTTTATTCATGTTTTATTATTAGCATTTGTATCATATATGGTTGTTTATTTTTACATGTCTATAAATTCTACTTTGTAATTGCGATCTAAACTCACTTGCCACTTTTCAGTTCATCACCCCAACCGGTTTTCCTAGTACGAGGTGGAACTATCGGTCTTTGCATGGGTACAGACTTTCCAGATGACAAGGAAATTGGACTCTCGAGAGGATCATCGTCGGATTTATTCTCTTCCTGCAAGTTCTGACCTGCGCGTCTACCTAAGCGAGGTATCAACTGGAAATTGATTGATATATTTTTTTACTCAAATCTTGTAATAGTCTTCCCATCAAAGAATTCTTTAGAATTATTTTATCAACTATCAAAATTTTAGATAATCGATTTTTTCATTAGTGTGCTTAAGAGAAATTAACCTTCTTAGAAGTGACCTCGAGTTCGCCAGCCCAGTCCATTTTAGAATTTGTATAAATTTTTTTCCAATGTGCACTGTACACTATGTATCACATATGTTTTTGTTTAGATTTTACGATTTTCACGATTTATGTCAATGTATGTAACAAGTGTATGTGACAACTGACAGCTGTTATATACCATATGTTTGCAAGCGGTAACCATGACAATTTTACGAACTGTACTTTTTTCGTGCACTTGCACTTGGGAGCCATTTGTCTTTACGTCATAAAAACAAATATGGCGAAAACCTAGCTGCATGTTTTATGTATCTGTTTCGTTTCCAAAACGTTTTCAAAAAAGTTCCTGAGAATTTTTTCATTGAATTGTCAGTCTAATAAACATGATAATCGAATCATCGGATTTGTTGCAGTTGAAAAGAAAGTTTTTGCCTTGTTTTCTTTTTATTCAGCTTTATTTTAATGGACATAGTCCGAATTCGAGAGGTCAGTTTCTGTTATATGATGTTTATTTAAAAAAAAAGCCTATTAAGAGCAACAAACAATGCACAAAATAATTTATTAATCGAATTCGTGTTTGATTCAGCTTATTCATATAAGATCAAACAATTTTGAAGTTTGATTTCTTTCCATTTGCTATGTTTGAGATTATTTATTTGATGTCTTAAGCAATTTTATATAAGTAAAAGTAAATACATGCTACAATCATCTCATAACGATCAATAATACAAATCAATTTCTATAGCACATGAAAGTACCAGTTATTTTATTAAAATCAAGCAATGATTAATATTTAGATGAATGACTACTTAGGAATACCATGCGATGTTGACTCATTTTTATTTGTTTTTTTTTTATTCTATTAGGAAAAAAGAATAACTTGATAATATTCATTGTCATAAAATAAAAATAACTTTTATGCAGTGCATAGTATTTCTAAACAATTTTTCTAATGTGATTTATTAATGTAAAATTACATATATAGTATTCAGAGGAAAATAAATAGGAAAATAAATTAAAATTTATTATATTGCTCTGTGTACAATGAACAGTTAAAATGAAAGTCACGCTTTTAACCAGTTCACTGGTAATGATTCTTATCTGAGCTAGATGAGTCATTCTCAATTGTAACACTTTTTAGTCCATATAAGAAATATATATGAATGCTATGAATAGCTTTACTAATGGATTTGTATAAAACTTGATACATCCAATGAATGATTTGAACCAATGATTATGAATCTGGAGTCAAAACATTATTTGCTCTCATCAGTTTTATCACAAAATATTTATTTTTGATTTACCAGTGAACTGATTAATATTGTGTTTGCTATTTCTTTTTTTGGTATGATGGCGACAATACTGTATCTCAATAATTTTTCGCACTTTCCACTTGATATTCATATTCCTCATCATCCGGATTTACTTTGCATTCATTTTCGTTATTTGGTACTCTTACTTTATTGTATCTATATAATAACAAAAATATGTATATTATTTTTACACCCTCGATTCTAATTTGTAGAATAAGAATATCTGGCATCATGCAACACTGAATGTGTATATGAATATATAGATATCACGATACTAGATTAATATTAAACTTACAATTAATTATAAAAGAATTATAAGAAATAACAAAAAAGCAATACTGTATGTTAAAAATAAGATAAGAAAATAAGATTTATTATTTATATTACTCTATGTATGTGTAGGATATCTGATATAATAGTATACAGGAATATGAATAGATGAATGCATACCTACTAAAGTCACCCTTACAAAGCCGCCAAGGGAGCAGGTCGATCTTGTCGTGCAGCATAAACGACATCTCCGGACTGACGATGTACGGGGTGCCGGCGCCGGAGCCGCGTGTCAACAGTTTTCTTTCTTCATCGTAACAACAATGCTGCGCACCGATATTTTCACTGCCCTGCGCCGGTAAGGATCGCACGCAGTAAGAAGCGCCGCGTTTGTAGACGTGCTTCTGCGGATCATTGCTCGCATCGCGCCACCGGAATTTCTTCCGCCGATTCTTATCCCAAATCATATCGTCGTAAAAGATGTCGTTGGGATATCGACAAGGACATGCTGGCAGCTCGTTGATGGACCCTGCAGAATATATTCAAAATGATATCTATAAATACATTTTTTTTAATTTATATTATATCAGGTATCTTATATAGAGTAATATAAACTGGTATTATACCATATTTCTTATAAAAAAACATCGAGATATCTCATTTTTAATATATAAATATAATACATATTTGCTGTTTTTATTATTTTTATTTAGTAATTCTATTATAATTAATTGTAAGTTTAATATTAATCTAATATCGCGATACCTTACTTATACATATATACATGATGTGTCCCAAAAGTAATAATAAGACTTTTTATACTCTCTAGGAGAGCTGCATGAGGAAACTCAAGGTCGAGATAGTTGAAGAGGGATACGGTCGAATTCTCCTTAGTCGAGTCCAAATCTTTCGAACAGTCGATACGTTATGGATGTGCACCCTTGTTTTTCACTCTCATCATGAACGAATAAAAGAATGCTAAAGATGTTGAAGACAGCGGTTGACAGCGTATGACAAAGCTACTTTGTCATCAGTCTAGATGGAAATGAAGCCGTTAAAAACTTAAGTTGACGATAAAGCAACTTCCCCATATACTGTCGTCAACATTTTTTCTGAAGCTGTTTTCCCAAGTTTCACGCAAAATTTAATTGCGTAACGCTGCTCGACGATCCTCTGCATTTCCATAACGAGGGTAAAAAAATAAAAGTACACTTCTATAATGTACTGACTGTGTTAAAAACTTGGACTCAACTGAAGAAAATCCGATCGTATATACTAGAGGTCCCTCGTCAACTATTTCAACTCCGAGTTTCTTTACGCAACATTATAGTAATCAAAGTGATAAATATAAGGCCAACTTATCGAGCTGAATATTCGAGATGTTCAGTCAACTACCATTTATTACATGTATAAATTATAAAACTACAGTCATTATATTAAAACTAACGCAAATTACAATCATTCTATAAACGTTTCGACCGCACGCGGTCTTCTTCAGTATAATTATTGAAATATAATTCTTATATTTCAATAATTATACTGAAGAAGACCGCGTGCGGTCGAAACGTTTATAGAATGATTGTAATTTGCGTTAGTTTTAATATAATGACTGTAGTTTTATAATTTATACATGTAATAAATGGTAGTTGACTGAACATCTCGAATATTCAGCTCGATAAGTTGGCCTTATATTTATCACTTTGTTTTCAATATACGAGCGACAATTGTATTAATTTATTATAGTAATCCCTTCTGGGAACTACTATAGTATCAGTTCATATTACTCTATTTATATAGGATACCTGATATAACAATACAAATTTCTAAAAATATAACTATACCATTTGTATTCCACAGGATCCATTGGACGAACTACCAGCATATCCTTGCCGATATCCCAATGCCATCTTTTATGATGATATGATCTGGGATAGAAATCGGCGGAAGAAATTCCAGTAGCGCGATGTGAGCAATGATCCGCAGCGGCATGTTTACAAACGCGGCGCAGGACAGCGAAAATATCGATGTAGTACTGTTATTACAAGAAAAGAAGACTGTTGACGGCTCCAGCGTCAGCACATCGTCAGTCCGGATATGTATATTTATATTGTACGACAAGATCGACCTACTCCCTTGGCAACTAGTAGGTACACATTCATATTCATATATACTATTACATCAGGTAACTTATATAGATAGAGTAATATAAACTGGTACTACTATTCTTTGTTAAAAAATAAGCATCTCTTTCTTTTGACAAAATTTTCGGGAATGCATAATTTTCGAGATATCTTATTTTTAATATACAAATATAGTACATATATTTGCTGGTTTTTGTTATTTTTTATTCTGTTTTAATTAATTGTAAGTCTAATTATTAACCTGGTATCGTGATACCTTCCTTTTATATATATATAATTTTAATAAGAGTTTGCGCGAGCATATAAAGTTTTTACCCGGGAAAGCTTGTTCAATTTTTCTCTGTTGTCCAGCCATTTCTGACAACGATCTTCGTCGTTGCCCATGTTACTGATAGAATTCGTTCCATTATGTACATTACAATTGTTCTTCGAGGAATCGTTTTGCAATGCTTCGAACAACCTGTTTAGAAGAATGTTTAGACTTTCGTGAGGCTCATCGTCCAGCGGCTCGATGTTTGTATCATCAATGTCTGTGTTGTCGCTTCTAGTTGTCCGACTTCGAAAATATACATCACTATCAATATCCGGCATGGTGTGGCCGGAAAGATCGATTAGTCCAGGAGATTCAGAGACGAACGTAGTTTCCTCGTTGTCTTTTTCTTTTGTTAAAGTGGTTGATTCCGTGTTTAAATTTTGATTGCTTCGACGATATCTGGTCTGTATAGAATGAAATTTCTCGTCTTTTTCAGGTAATTTAAACACAGGTTTAGACGATGAATCAAATAATCGTCTCGGATTTTTTATTCCGTCTGCTTTACGTCCGATATTTCGTATTCTATTAGATTTTTCTATCTGAAAAGCAGAAGGAATTAAATTTAAAATTAAATTTAGACATCTCGATTATATAATTATGTTGCTGAAAACGAGAGTACAAAATCTGTGAGCTGAAAATTACAGGAAACGAAAAGTAGATCTACTTAAAGTTTCATAGTACATTTTTTTGAAAATATCTTTGTATCTATGCATATAATATCGAAAGACAATTATTTATTCTTGCGTAAACTCTCACAATGCACAATATGATTTCATGATTTTCCCGAATTTCGCGAAGAATGTTCTTCGATCATTCAAATTAGATTACATTGACAAATATTGTTAATACGATATGGAATATTTTCTGACTCATTTTCTTTATCTGTATAGACGTAGGTCAATCGGAAATACATCCGTTCGAATCCGCGTACTAAGAGACAATTCATCAAAGAAAAGAGACCGATGACCGGCGTGACTACGCGATACGTAAAAGGCTGAAACGATCGCGACAACATCAAAGAACGCCGGCGTTTGGAGCATACGATAGAACGAGAGATGGCAGCGGGGAAAGAAAAGGGACGACGATTCCTGAGCGGGGGAGAGAAGTTTATTTCTGAGAAACGGCACGCCGCAAGATCGTTTCCCGTCAATGGCGTAGCCATTTGTTCGCCAGTAGCGAGACGAATTTTCGAATTCGTCGAGGAAAATGTTAGAAAAAGAGACAACGGTAAGAGAAATCTTTGTTGCATAATATTAAATTAAAAAAAAAATTAAATACGTCTTCAAGATTGACGCAATTTTGTATTAAAATAAAAAATATTAACATTGTCTAATATGATAATGACGGAAACAAGATATAAAATTTGAAATTTCTCGATTTTTGTCCAAAAATCGCTATTAATTAGTACGATTTAAAAAGAAAAGAATCATATGTACAGATTGGAAATATTGAATCAAAACGGGAGAGTAGCCAAATTAATACAACGAGCAACTGTTAAAGAAGATTACGCAAGGTGACTTAACTCCGTTAAGAAAGGGTTTCGTATGAATCAAATACAAAATTTATTAGCACTTGTTTTTATTTCATTGTTACTTTTGATAATCTTTGCGGAAGTAACTAGTTCGAGTACTTACTTGATTCTCATTATACGCAATCGTTAAAACGAAGGAAAAAATTGCCATGAGGCAAATTGTACGCAACTCTCTCATTTTGTCGATACAGAATCCGATTTTCGGGACCACAGCATTCCTCTTTTTAGACACTCGTTCCTCGATTTACTTCTTACTGTCGTATCACACAACACACGATCGATACTAAATATTACACGACAAATCAGTCGATTATCGCTGTATGTTTACGTATTTTTTCTTCATTGAAGGTACTTCCCTTTTGTCCGTCTTCCTGGCGGTGTGTTTGTTGACGATCTCGGGAGTCGACGTCCGCGTTTGTTTACCGCCGCATTCCTCGCGCGCCGAATACGAAGAGCACCGTACGGGACGTAGGGAGGCGAGAGCACTGATGACGCGTGATGTAAAACGGACGATATAGCAAAAGAACGAAGAGGCTGAAGGGTCGAGAGAAGATCCTAAGGGGGGAAAAGGTAGGCGTACGGCGGCGTGCACCGTTCAAAGGCCTACCACTATGTGCATAGTTGTGAACCGGTGAAGAGTCTGTCTCACTATAATAGCCAGCGGTGGACAGAGGGAGAGAGAGAGAGAGGTAGTTTGCCCGGGATGACAGAACACACCATCGAGTTGTTGTGCGCTATGGTACAGTCGCGTGCATTAACGGTGTCCGTTTCATCTGCGCTTGCGAGATAATGATTTTCCATGTGTGAATTCTTCCTTTCTGTATTTTCACCAAATACTTTGAATCAATTAGCGCAATTAACTTTGTAAGAGAGATAATTTTTTTTAATATTGCAGGGAGACTTGCAAACGTACACCATTAATGCACACAACTGTATAGCAGGCCTAAGACTATTTCAGTTTTCCCTTTCCGGTCTGTACGTTTTTCCCTCGCTTTACTTTTCTTTCTTCTTCTCGAATACCTGTTTGAAAGGTTTAAGGATATCTGTTCTTTGTATATAAGCGACTGTTCTTTTTGTCTATCCTTTTATTTTTTTCTCTTTTATTTCCTATTGTTTTTCTTGTCATCAACAATTGATTATTTTTCAAGTTTAAAGCCCAATTTTTACAATTTCAAAGGACTTCTATTTATTCATTAAGTTTTTCGCTTCTTGTTCGTCCTATCGACATAGCGATATAATAAATTTTTCTCGATTATCTTTCTCTTAAAAATGATTAGTTCTGTGATCTCGTTAAATATCTTGACTTTTCATAAATACGTCAAATTCATGACGTAATAAGAAAGCAATCAATTTTAAGTAAAAAGTAAAAAGACAGCATCCTTAATCTAGTCAAAAGATGAAGGGGATCGAAAATACGGCTCTCTCTCTCTCTCTCTCTCTCTCTCTCTCTCTCTCTCTCTCTCTGCATCCACATTTTTTCTTTGTCCTCGTTTGTCGAATCTTTCCGCGTTCATCCCTTCCAACCTTTTCCTCCCCTCTCTTCTCTTTTCGGTAATGAGATTTTTTGCCGTATATTTATATATCACGACGCGTGGGGGTCTAAATACAACAACGGCGGAATGCAGCGAAACGCGTTCCGGCTATTTTTAGTCGGGCAGATTCGAAAATACACCCACCGCGGATTAAATATAGCCCCAGGATGCACGAGCGGAATGCATTATAGCGGCACGCGAACGAGCTCGGGGTGTCGTGCGGAACGATATGCAAATTTGCGTGTCGCGTGGTGAACTTGGCGCTATTATCAGGACGAAATATGGACACTTTATAGCGATATCCGCGTATCGAATGTAAGACGTAGTAATGCTATAAATATGACGTCGATATTCGAATGCGAAAAGGTAGCACCAAGTATTATATCATTGTTACACCTCTGTGATGAGTTACCTTTTTTATATAATATCGAGATACAATTTTATATTAGAGAAGAAAATGAAAGAGATTGTTAGATCTGTTTTGGAGCAACATTGCTTTTTTTATTATAATTTTGAAAGTTTAATGTATTTTTTTTTGTTGATATAATTTTCAGGAAAAAAAATAACGAGAATTGATGTTTCTGTGCGTTAAAAAAAAACAAGAATCAAACAAAACGGAAAATAGATAAATATAAAATTAGATGACTGAGTAACGAGACCTGTAGGATGGCACGTGCGCTAAAAACGAAGGAGGTCATGGCGGGAAACAAGCCTGCGGGGTGAAAGGGGAGACAAAGTCACAAATGAACGAATTTGTCGGACGAGTTCACGTAATCAGCCGCAATCTCGTTCAATTCTACGAGATTGCGCGACGACCACCGCGAGACGATTATTCAATCGAGGGATCAAGACGGCGCGTTTGTTGCACTCAATCTCGGAGATCTCAAGGCCGATTATGACGTTAATAAAAAGGATTTGAGAACGTTACTAAAATATACACAATACATTCTCGCGTGCATTCTTCTTAAATATATATGCATTGAGACGCGAAACGATCATCGCTGTGCCAGCTTTTACTAATATATATATATATATATATATATATATATATATATATATATATATATATGTATATATTGTATATGTCCGTGATGATACGAGGAAAGACCGATTAGCCGCGATTCTGCATTCCGCGACTGCGTTATTGCAATTCCGGCGGCGCCAAATTCGCCGACGAATGCTGTTGCTGCCAACTACTTACTCCTGTCCTTATAAATCGTCCCGGTTTCGCACACGAAAAGAGACGTCGAAAGACATGATCCCGTATGAAGCTTCGGAACGGTTTCCAGAGTTTTTATTTGTGTAGCAAAATACAACATCGCACAATATCGCGTCCTGCGCAATTAAATTTTACATCATTTCTCCTTTTCGAAGATTTTTCTTTCACGTGGGAAGGAAAAGAACTTGTCAATAATTCTTGAATCCCAATGATGAGACTGGAATATTATTTATTTCCTTTTTTTGTGCTCTCGCTTCTGGTTACATTTAAGTTCGGTGAAACGCACATTATATACATGTACAGTTGGATAATCTAATTCTTTCGTTCAACTTTGATTATAGGAATAATTTAACTAACGACTTAAGTAGAACTAGTAGATATACACATGCACACACTTATATACTCGTTAATACACGTGTCATATACACAGTTGGGAATGTTCTTATGTACAAGTAGTTGCGTTATAGCATATCGGTTTAAGGATTTGGATAAATTCTCTGGGAATGACAGTGCTAAGAGAAGTCTTCGTTGATTCATGTTGATTAATAATATAAAGAATTTTAGTTTGTTGCATTGAAACTTCTTTAAATGATTAAATGTAAGAGAATTAAAAACCCAAGCGCGGTTAGTTAACGACACATTATTTACAAAAAAGCTGCGATCGTATATATAATTATTTGCGATAAAAACAAGAGGGGAAAAGTCAACGATTATAAATTAATTAACTCATTATTTTATATCAATTATATGTTAATATATAAAATAATTTCCATATGATACATTACAATTTATAATTTTGTTAGAGATTTACATTTGTAGAAATTTCTTTATGTCGATGTCTGGTCCCCTCTAATTTTCTCTCCCCCTTTCCCCTTCGCAGTATTCACTCTATATCTCTTTTTGCAGAAGTGTCTCGCGATTTGAGATTCTTGAAGAAGTCTCATTGTCAGCTTGTTTTGCCTAACGACATCCGCAACGTGCCGCAACCATGTCCTCGTACGTCTTGAGCACGACGTGTTCGTTTTCCAAGTAGAGTATGCTGATTCCTTGCAACTTGGTCGGTACGCAACAGGGTTTCTCGACGCCCTGCACCAAGCCCATCTTGTGCACGATCGCCTGTATCGTCGCATGGTTCGTCGGCTGGTGATCCTGAGTGAGAGGCGACTCGCACTTGCCCTTGCACTGATAAGCGGCATAATTGGATGGCGCGATGATTAACGACGACAATCCGATATCCGCGAAGTCGACGTTGAGCTCGTGTCTCGTGCATGCCTCGGTCGTGTTCGCTTGTATCGTGTTTTGATTGTTCGAGCGGCGAAGTCTTCTGGTTTCCGTTGATTGCTTAGGCATTGTTTTTGTCTGATCCAGACGTTCGCGAAACTTGGCTCTCTCATAGATATCCATCGATGTCAAGATCCTCCGGACTCTGCTCGTGCGATTCTTCGACACGATTCTGTCGGAGCGTCTCCTAGACGACGGGGCATCGCGACGGCGACGCCCCGTCGTTGCCGCTTCCAGGGTCATTTCCGATTCGCGATCTTGAGAATCGTAAGAAGCAGGTTTATTCTTTTCTCTTTTTTCCTCATTATTTTCACGTCTTCTCTTTTGTCGCTGGAAGAATTTCGGTTCTCGTCTATCTCCCCATGGAACTTCCTCGGGTTGACCACGGTTGTAGTGCTCGTCCTCGATGACATTTTTCTCGTAGGAGAGATTCTCTTCTTCCTCCTCTTCTTCATCCTCTTCTTCATCCTCTTCTTCATCCTCTTCTTCATCCTCTTCATCCTCTTCTTCATCCTCTTCTTCATCCTCTTTTTTCTCCTCTTCTTCCATCTCTTGGTCTTCTTCCATCTCTTGGTCTTCTTCCATCTCTTGGTCTTCTTCCATCTCTTGGTCTTCTTCAGTCTCTTGACTTGTGAAAGCATAATACGGAGGTTTGACAGATCGCTCCCTCTTAATGCCATTGAAGAGCACCAGTGTCGGCTGCTTGTTGTGATCGTTTTGACGAACAAACTCGATCGACACTTCTTTCTTACATTGAGTCGATACCGTCACCAGGAGACCCAGATTTGGCTCGCCGCTCATCCATTTGAGAACGGCCTCCTTCACGTTGAACATCTATACAAACCATATTTGATAGTGATGCATTATATATATTTAACAGCGTAAAAAATCAAAATAGTAATTTATTTTTCGAAGGATGAATTAATAATGACAGGACTCATCAAACTTTTTCTCGAATAAGTTGGCATCTTCTCAATTTTTGACGAATACTTCACAAATGATTCAATAAAAATTCATTGACATTAGCAAATGCTTGTGTAAAATTGTATTAAAAATAAAAGCGGAAAAATAATATCTTTATAAAGAATTTTTAGAATATATTATACGTTATTAAAGTTTTGACGAATAATATTTAAATAAAAATAATTTGAATAACAATATAATTAGAGATTTGAAATATTCCTTAGAAATTGTGAGAAGTTATAAAACATAAAAAATAAATAAGTGCAAAAAATGTTTTAACAGAATTTTTATTATTAATCAATTAATTGGAAGATTTAACAAGGGAGATAATTATTATTGCTAAAATTATAATTAATGAGAAAAAAATAATATATTTACCTGCCAATCGAAAGACTGCATGTAAGACAAATTTAATAATCTGTGAACATCCGGCGTATCTAGATTGCAATCCTCCAGGACTTGATATACTTTTATCTACACATAAATTAATGTCAATGTGTCAGTCGACGTTTTACGTCATATGTGATTTAAAGAGAACATATATTAGAGAATGACGTGTCGACGATACGACGATTAGTATCTGGCACTTACCAGATAACAAGAATATGGAAGTAAATGCTTTATTGGTATTTTCTTCGGGTATAGATGCAGCTCGGCTCCAAGAACCGATTCATTTTTCTCGAGACCCGAGACGTTGAAGAAGTATAAGTTCGGTAAAGAATTGGTCATGTCTACGCAATATGAAGAAAATCATTAGATTAATCTGTCTTTTTTATGGGACTTGTTGAAAGATGACACTTGTTGGATCTTTATCCTATTTCGAAAATATTAACTGAAAAAAAAGAAAGTTACCCTTTTCGATGAAACTGCGCACGATCTCAGCATTATAAGGCACTGTATTCTGGTCTTGCGTCTTCTCGGTGACGATATCGTAAAGTTCTATCATGAATTGCGGCACTTTGCGAAGGTCTGACTTCTTGCTCAGATTCTGATTATTAAATATCTGTAACGTTGTCACAAAATTTAAATGTATATCCTCTTAATTTATTGCGATAAATTTATATGTATCGATGTATCAATTTGGTTTCAAAAAGGAAAAAATATTTTGTGAAAATGAAGACTCCAAAAATTTAACATTACAACACCCAAGAACGAATTAACAGATGCCAACCTTTGAATTCAGATTGTCGAGTTATTAATTATGTGTGTAATTAAAATTTACGATATTGAAAACATTCGAAAAGCATTTTATTGCGATTTATCGGACATTTTAACAAACCTCTTGTATACCTTTTGCAGAAGCAGCTTTTGTCGGAGTGTGCGAGTGGTCTCTTCAGCTTGCCGGTTGACCGAGGGCCACTGCAAGTCTTCCTGTTTTTGCTGATGGCCATCTTTGTTCTCGACAAAATCCAGTTGCGGATATGCGTTAATGCTCAAAGATAACAACGACACCAGCAGCACTAGCAGCCAGGACGGGACGCTTCTCGTCATCACCGTCGAAGTGATAATTTACGTATGAAAAAAAAGGTAAAATCTATCTGCAATTTCGTCGGATCTCGTTATCTACAATTTTTGGGAATTGCACGCGAAAATCTGGATCGCGCATCGAAAGACGTCGATTAGACGGCGTTTTTCTCCCGGTCGTCTTTATCCGGTATCCAGAAAGACAAGAAGAGAAAAAAGGTGAATCGCGCAGTGGAATCGGAGTGGACTTTACCGAACCGTACGAGATGCTAAGTGGCATATGGAGATCTTGGCCGCGAGGAGTCACCTTTATGCTGCGCCTCCCCCGCGACTCGTTCGTCCCCCGCAACATTATTGGCTCCTCGCGCTCTTCTCTCTCGCTGTTGTCGTCATTGGTTACAAACTCGATCCCGCTTCGTCGACATTCGCTTTCGTCAACGTTCCTTGGTCCTTTAACCCACTGACAAGACTCATATAAAGTGTGCCTTAAGTTTATTTATTTGTATATAAATTACATTAAACGTTCATAAAACACACGGCTAAACTTTCACAATGTGTATGAAGAAGAATGCATCGAAAAGATCTTATAAATCATTGTACATTTGAAACATATCTCTTTAAAAAAGCAATGGAAGATTTATAAATGATATCTATATTTTTTATTATATATAAAGTGTATTTTAACTTTGATATATATTCGCGTTGCATTCACAGATTTTTTTATACGATCGCGTTTTAATTGTTCGAGATCGGTGAAAGAGAAGCGAGACTCTAAAAAAAAATCGTGAAATACGAGGTCACGTTTCGACGATGACAGTGTGTAGCTATTAAAAACAGCGGGCGCTTCCTAAATTCCACGGATTCGTAAGTGCCGAGTTATGTGATTTGTCACGCGATATTTAGGTGGATTTGACGTCTAACGATATTTATCACTTTCTAACGAGAAACTCGTGGAAGTCATTATTTATCCTGCTAAAATTCATCGATCTATTTTAATATGGTTTTGTTGTCTAATTTTTCTGAATCTTTGCGTACACTCTTTTCCCTCTTTCCCTTGCACATTGTCGATAAATAATTGCGTTATGTAAATATTTCGTTTATATATCGAAAACATCCACCTATATACGTAGAAGATAGTCGTTGCATGTCAAATTCGCAAGAGTTAAAAATTATTGAACTCACAATAGTGCGTCCTCACTATACTTATCTATTAATAAAATTTTTACTAATTTTTTAAATTCAATTGACTCTCATTATCAATGGTTTTTGGTACATCTTACTAATAAAAGAGAATCAAGTGTCGAAGGGAATTTAATTTTTCATGTTTACATAGTCCAAATATCTCTATAAAATCATTTTATTATTAGCGTAAATATGCTTGAATTTAAGAAAGCGTGAAATAAGGAGCGGAAAGAATATCTATGTCTTGCTCCTTGAAGACATCGTTGATTTATTCAGCCATGATAAATTAGTACATGATGTACCTAGGAACATGAGTATGCAAAGTATATTTAACACACTGTATTGTACATTTTTCTCTCTTTTTCTCATCCTTGATTTAACTTGAACATGACAACACTCATATGCTGTAATTTCAGTCTAGATGCAGGCACACTGGGTGATTTGAATGATTTCTCTCTTTGCACCTCGTCGGGTTCTAAAAAAATGCCCAAATACTTTAAACACTCATTTTTGGACGCGAAATTCTCAGATTAAAATATTTGAAAAAATATTAAAAATCGGCTTGTGCAACGTTTGAAAGATGTGTAAAATTGTCTCTTTCTTCGAGAACAAATGTATTTTATCAGTGAAACTGATAAATTAAAGATGATCATAAATGCTCTACCTGTACTCGTGCACTTTAAATGTGGTTGGTGTGCAGGTATGCTGCTTGGAGTATATCCCGGCCAGACATCTGAACGGCTCTTTCTTGTCACGTAAAAGGCATGTTTCCGTCTCGTTTCCGGGACACGTTCCAACGCATTGTCCGACATTGATTTGCTGTTGAAAACGCAACGGAAATTGTGATATCACAAAAAACAATTCAAGATATCAATAGTATCGAGGTAAGATAGAGGAAGCTTTTTAAAATGCTTAAAACTGGAAATAAAAGAAATATACATTAATGATAAATATAACTGATAAAAGAATAAGATAAGTTTTTAACAAGATTGGGCATGCCCAATCTGCAGATACTTCGAAACAAAATATTTAAATACAAGATACTGTTTGACATATATTTAAATATTATGGAAATACTTTGGTTTTGAAATATATTTAAATACTAATTATATTTAAATATATTTATAAATACTTTTAAATACAATTATTTTTTTAACTTTCTGATTATATACTATATACTTAATATTAAGGCAATTACAAAATTATCTACTCTTATTTAAAAAATAAAATTGTTTAAATAATAGTAATAGTAGATGATTTTATTGTAATTACTTTAATATTAAGTATAATATATAGTCTGACGATAGAATTATATAGAAATAATATCAAAAGTATTTTTTAAAGTGTTGAAATTAACTTACTTTTTAATTAACTTATTTTTTTAAGAGTTTATTTATTTGAACTATGAACTTTGTAAAATATTAATTTAACGTATAAGACGGGCAACAAGAGCCAAATCGCGGATGACAATGCGTTATCCTAACGAAACTAAATAATTTTCCGTTAGAATTAAATACCGGTGCACAAGGCACCGGTATTTAATTCTAACGGAAAATTATTTAGTTTCCTTAGGATAACGCATTGTCATCCGCGATTTGGCTCTTGTTGCCCGTCTTATACGTTAAATTTATATTTATATTACAGAGCCTTGTTAAAACTCTTATATTTATAAAATATTAATAATTAAAATAACCATTTAATAGCATATTTTATATTATATATGTATAATAGCATAGTGTATATATATATATATATATATATATATATATATATATATAAAATTACATAAATGCATTTAAATACAAGATACATTTAAATTAAATAATTAATTAGAAAATTCGAAATACTTGATTATTTGGTATTTAAATACTGTATTTAAATAAGATACATTTAAATACGTATCTCAGATACTTTAAGATATACATATCTGCCCAACCTTAGTTTTTAATGACACGGCAACGTTGAATTTATTTTTCCTTGTTTTCTTGTCTCTCCAATGACTAATGACTAAATTATTTTCTTACTCGGACTACGGGTCTCACGTCGGTCGTGTTTGTGCCCTCTTTAATTGTCACTTCGCTGTAATCCAACACGGTTTCCATATGATCCATCCGGTGACAATTACCGGCACAGCCGCATTTCTCCACCACTTGGTAGATTTCATCACCTTGAAAATGGCATAAACCTCAGTTCGAATGGCTATGCAATATATTTATAATTCTCTTCTAGAATCCGAGTTTTAAATCTTGTGTCTACCGTGATATTTACGTACCATTTGGCCCTTTAACGCTGATTGTATTATTTCGTACCGGCTTGCAACCAAGATCTTGAAAAGTGTGAATACAACATTAAAATCTTTGCATCTTAAGAAAACTAAATAAAAATATGAAAATTAATCTCGTTTTCAATTATTTTAAATTGTGAAGGATATTGGAATTTAATTTAAAGAGAAAAAAAGAAAGACTGCTATTCTTTTGTTGTTTTCGAAATACTGATATAAAATAATTGCATTTGTCTGTATCTCAGTTACGTTTTTAATTCTTACAGAGATTTATACCTTTGCCGCAATGACCGATGCAAACCCCAGTATCTACGACGGTTTGATGCGGTGTTCCGGAATGCACTAGATGGATGTAGGCTTCTTTTTTGCAGGACGTTTCTGGCGAACACTCGCAGGCATCTATAGCCTCGATGACACGAACACCCTGCAACGTCGACACTCTCTCCAACTTGGCGGCCCTCGCACGACAACGGGACTCCGGCGAACATTTCTGGAAGCAGACGGACATTATACATCTGTACAAGTAGAAAAAAATAGAATATATTACTTATCTTATGTTGTCTGTGCATGGGCATCCACAGGCGGAGGCAAGAGCATTTGATCCCCCCTTGGAATCAGTAAAAAAAAATTAAGCTATCCTTTTAAATAAACATTGGAATTTATTTGCATATTTAATATAAAAAAGTAAAAATAAAAAAAATTAAATTTAAAATAATTAAGAAAAAAATTAAATAAAAATTTTAATTATGCCCTCCCCCTGCAAAAAATCCTGCAGACGCCCATGTAACTATGTAATTTCACAATAATCGAACTTATTGTTAGCCATTGCGAGGAGAAAAAGATTTGAAAAATTGCAATAATTCGTACGGTTGTCTGAAATATTCTCGTATATTATTATGAAGAATATAATATCGGCCAGTTTCGATAAATCTCTTCTCCCGCGACCGCTGTCTGTGCATATTTCGCGGATATAATTCCGGAATTTAGTGGCTGGACACTCCGGCGCCGCACCAGTGCGGAGGAGCCGGTGACCGCGGCGATTCGACCTTCGAAGGACGCAAAACATATCGGCGCCTGGCGCATTTTGCGTGCAATGCCTCCACTTCGTCCGTGGCTGCCGTAAAATCGCATCTCCGTGTTCACCGATTGGATTGCATCACGTGACGAAAATAGCCCTCCTCTCTCTCTCTCTCTTTCTTTTTTCCTCTCCCGTTAGCAAAAGATCCGGGAAGATGTACGGAAGGACGAACGTTCGTCCTCGCGAAGAATCTTTATTACGAGAAGACCCTTTCGTTTTTTCGAAAGATAGATACTTTTTAAAACGAAGTTTGAATGAAATCTTTGTGGACTAGTTTCATAGTATAGGTAATTATAATAGAGTACTGGAATGTTAATAGCTTCAAAAAGAGCTTGAAGATAATAGTTACAAAGATTTTTTTAAATAGCAAATGGATAAGAAATCTTAGACAGAAATTCCATAAGACTTGAGATCTGTGCATAATTGTTATTATTTTTTCTTATGTTTGGTAGTTTGATTGTGAGCCTTTAAATTTGAAGAGGAATATTCTCCACATCTTATATAAATTTTTTAAAACAATAATTGTGTATAAAAAGTTTGTAATTTCTGTCAGTAATATTAGATATCTATTAATATTTCATATTTAAAAAAAATGTTATACGATTTAAAAATTTATATATTTAGAAGAGTTATAATATAATAAGTTACAAAAAATATTTGAAAATAAAAATAATTTATTTATTGTTTGTTGAATAGTATTTTGTTATAAATGAAATTTTATTTATCAATAGTGAGACTCAATCAAATTGTACAATTTTTTTTTTAAAGTGCAAATACAAGTTAAATTATTTAATTAATAATAATTACTATTATTATATTTTTATCAAAATAAAAGATATCAAGAATAATTAAAATAGTAGTGGTATTAAAAGTATAATAAAATAGTACTTTAAAGAGTAACCAATGAAATAAACATTTCACATTTAAGGAAAGATCTAAGGACACCTAGAGATACAAACTATATCGGCATAATTTTAGAGATACGGGAAGTAAGTAGTCGGGTATTTAATTCGCCGTAAAAGTCGCAGAGATTGTACGATGTCTGGCCGCATTCCGCTTCGCGAGTGCCCGATTTTAGGCCTCGTAAATTTGCACATGATGTTCCTCCGAATCTTTTTCGCCCTTCGCGTAACCCTCGGTCGAACAAAGAAGATTGCTCGCTAACAAATTTGCGAGACGATATTACACATCGTCTCGTTGAAATATTTTAATCATATAAAAAAAATTGAATTTTTATATTTAATTAAGTCTTAATTAAGTCGGAATCTTATAATTTCTCCAGTATACGTATCTTACTATCTTCTTATTATAAAGTACATGTTATCGACTTTTCTTGAACACAAATATTAAAAATTTTCATTGTTATAGATAATATTGATAAAATTGAAGAAAAGTATTGTACGACTTATTCTTCTCAATCATATTTCACAAATTACATATTATATATCGTGTTTAGATTTTGTTATAAAGTTCATAAAGTTTTCTCAACTGTAATGATGTTCATAACGTAATGACAAGATCAATATTGTTGAATTAATATAATCTCTTTCAGAGCTGATCCAGAATTGCTGATTTGATATGTATATCAAGAAAGAAAAAGAAGAGCAAGAAAAGAAAGAAAACTTTATATGTGAAAGATGTGTAAAAAAAAAAGATCTACCTGCACTGCTGGACGACTTGCATCCCCGGGATCGTCGGACACGTGTCGCGGGCATAATTTTCGGCAGTGTCCAGCATCGATTTGGATAACTTCTCCGGATATCCCTAAACAAAAACATTCGTGTTACATTCATCTCGCCTGCTGTTTATAACGCGAGGGACAATGATATACGAGATGCTTCATCATACTTTGAGCGAACCAACAGTGGAGCGGCGGACAACGTGCGTTCCTGACGTCGACCGTGAAGTAGTTTTTCGAGATAAATAGCGCGGGTGTAGATTTATTTGGTGGTATGAAAAATTAGAGGCGAGAGAAGAGCTGCGCTATCGCACGGAACGAGTCCTAAGAAGGGGTGGCGCTTGAAAGGAGGGTGAGCGAGTCAAATTGTTACAACTCTGTTATTTTTGGCGCGTACGCGTAGGATTCGGAATGCGGGAGTACGTCGTCTTCGTCGTGTGATTCACGTTCGCTCGTATCCTCAGGGAGAGATACTTTGCTACCTTTCCTTTTTTTCCTCCGCCGACTTGCGTTAGCGAATATCTTCGCGCATCGATTAACATGTCATAATCCGTCGAAATCGCAGAACCTGGTGAAAGAGTCGAGTTTTCTTACATGACTTATATTATATTTAATAAAAATATATTATCTCGAGGCATTTAAAAGTCTTAAAGCAGTTATAATTTCAAACAAATGGCCTCGGGAATGTGAAATCCGATCAGGACTGCACACAAAAGTCATATGGTGTTTTAAGCGAAATATTAATTTTGATTAAAGCATTCAGAATGGTCTCCTTCTTCGTAAGCAGTCAAAGGTCGCGTTGTTCAATTGAAGTCAATAGATCGATGAGAGAATCTGACGTACGGCCGACGCGAAATTCGCCCAACCCAGAAGAACGATGTATTTTGTTTAATTATACACGTGCGAATATGGACAAAGAACGTTTAATTCTGTATATTAACTTTATGATCTCGCTATTCTCTTAAAAAGTTAATATCAATTATTAGACTTTACGCAAAAGCATATTTTTCCATGTTAAAGTATTGATTAAATATGAATATGTAATATTAATTTATATTATATTAATAGACACATTTTTTCAAATTTCTTCCATATAAATATCATACTTTTGTGTCTTCTTTTTTATGTAGGACTAAAGAGATGTCGAGGAATCATTTTATACAACACAACATTTACCGTATCCGACGTCGATCATCTTTTCGTGCCGAGCGCAACATGTGTGTTGTCGCGGTTCCTCCGAGTGGATCTTTCCCTCACTTCCCGATTCGCTCTCGCAGAAAGCTAAGAAACAAAAATCACGAAGCAATCACAAATGAAATCTATTCAGGTATTTTTTTTATTATTAAAGTATTTATATAAAGATCAGAATTAAAAAGATACCTAAGATTATTGATTTTAAATAAAACTAAAAGTTGGAAATTTAGACCTTTAAGTGATTAATGTAGTTTATAAAACGAATTTAAATATATAACTAAAATCACACAAATCCCATGATTGATAATTAAAACAGAAACAAGGAGTGTGATTTCCAATGAATTTGATATTCCGTTCTATAAATTGGAGAATAAATAAATCTTGTTATTACAAGCGTTAAAATAGCATTTATTATTACGAAAATATATATAAGTTAATTTATGCATAGGTAGCATCGAGATTTAAATTTGCTAAAATTCTATTAATAATTAGAATATAATTAGCGCAGCTTTATAATTATTATATGAAAAGAAAGAATGTTAAACACATTTGCAAATGATAATACGAATATTTTGCTATATGGATTTTTTATTAAATCATTGTTTAGAGAACTACAAATGAATAATGAATCCCGAGAAATTAAAGAGTCGACCGAAATCTATTATTTCTAGAATCTAATATTTATCGTTACGTTATAGATTTTTTTAGAACGCAGAAAGATTGATACGCGAGAAAAGCAGGATAGTAGAGCAGGATAGGAGAGGAATGATAGATGCTGCGACATTACCTAATCGTAAATTAGCCACGCAAACTACGGCAAGGACTGCCCATCGTCCCCTTATGCTCTGTATGCGCATTTCGAGCGTATTGTACGAAAGCGAGATCTGCCCAGAAGATTATCGATTATGACAGCGCGCCAAAGACGAAACGCCGATATCGATGATAGAGAATGAGATTGTATATGATGTCCGCGAAAATCGGTCTTTCACGACAATCTCATCACGAACGGATGACTAGAAACGTATTATGGATCAAAGGAGATTGACTTTCGTCTCTATCCTTCTCTCTCTCTCTCTCTCTCTCTCCTTATTCTCACGTGCGAGTTCAAAGGACGATAGCCGGACGACGCGTCGGGATCGAGGTAGATCGATCGTGATTGGGTTGTGCTCTGCCCACGCGGTTTGCGATCTGCGAGAAGACTGACTGTGACCGGCTGAGAGACGTCCGGCTCTCTCTCTAACAACGGCGGATCTCTATTAATCTCGTTTGGTGAACGGGGTCCACCTCGGGGTGACGAACGGACGGATCGTCCATCAACTCTTGCCGGTCACCACCGCCAACCTGTTTCTATTGGCCGTCCCGAGAACTTCAGTTTCCACTCTGGAAGGAACAATCCACGGAATTTGCGAGAAAGCGAGCATTTTATTGTGAAAACGTTACCTTTCGTATTTTTTGTCGGTTTTTATTTAGTAGCGTATTGTATTGGAAGTAGAACTCTTTGTTTTTATCCTGAAGACGTTCATTTTATCAGATAATTAGCCGATTCGCTGATTAGTTTTATATTTATTAGATATATCCATTTTGCATGAATAAGAGAATTAGAAATATAAAGTTGATACCTATGAAATAGAGAATTGATTTGTTGTTATCCAAAGTTACGATATAATTTAACATGAAATAGGGTTTCTTCTTTTATTTTCTTGGATTTTTCTAGTTGGAGCAAAATATCCATGATTTTTTAAAACAAAAAAAATGAGATTTTATTTGTGGTATCTTCTCTTCTTCTCTCTGATATTGCAGGAATCCAGGAGGCAGAAGAAAAAGGATTAAAAAAAGAAGATTATCCTCCATCCTTCGTACCTCCTGCGCTTTTTGCTACACCATCGCGGTGAAAAGGGAGGGAGATTCGTCCGGTTGCAACATCATCGCCTCTGATTACACCGGGAGATCTCTCTCTCCTCTTCCCTCTGTCCTCCACGCTCGTTAACACACTCCATAGCTACTGCCAAGATCGTTGAGAGGTTCGCGAGAGGTCATTATCATTACTCATAAATTACCGCGCGCGCGCGCGGATCTCAATTTCGCTCGCCGCAACCTGCGAGGGAACATTATTTGACAGAACGCCCAGTGGCGTACTAAAGGCGATGCGAAATAGCCGATCCTCCTCGGTGAATGACGGATAGATGAAAGAGAAAAATTTGCATGTTTATTCTAGTTCTAAGACAAATCTTTAAAAAATTATTCGCAAAAAAAATTACGAACGAAAGACAGGTAGTGTAAATAAAAAATATGCTATTATCATCCGTCTTATATTGGAATTAAATTATTAATATTGTAAGAATGGAATGTTAATTTTATAGAGGTAAAAAATTAAGTAATGTCTTTGATTTCATCTGCAAGAAGACATTTTATCGTACGTTATATACACCATAGCGTATGTGTTTTTTAAATTCGAAAGATGTAAGAAATATCAATACGAAAATTAATATATTACTGAATCTCTTCGATGTGTGATTACAGAATCAAATCAGAAGGATGAGAAACATGCATGAGTCAGACGCTAATGAAGGAGACTGAGTGATTTAATAATTTGGATTTGTGAAACATCTTTATTATCATCTTTATTTTAGAGACTAACGAAACGCTTTCTACAGGTATTAATATTGATATTGGTATTAATTATTTATTTGTCAAACAAAATAAAAAAATTATTTAACTAATACTGTAAGAAAAGATGAAAATAATATTATACATTTTTTTCAAATTTATCCGAGTCAAAATTATTGTAAAATCAAATAATTTTTTAGGAAAAAAATTATATAAGACTTATCATTGAAATAACTTTTTAAAAATAAAATAATTTCTCGAAATATTTATTATGCAGATATTATAACTATTAACAATATGTTGATGTTTAGATTCAGATACAGTTTTTATTTTTATTTTTTTTTAATATTCCAAATTATTAGTAAAAGTCATTATTTATATAATTATTTTTATTTATAATTGCATTGAGATATATGAAATTAAATATGTTTTGATGCTATAAAAAAACAATCTAATAATTGTATATAAAGAACTATTAAAGTATATGTATGTTATATAAGAGCGAATTATACATTTTCGAATTCTTATATAGAAAATTAAATTATACATTATTATACGATTGATCGTATCACGTAATCCACACGTAAATAATCGATTTTTAGTTTAATCGACTCATCGATAAATATCGATTTATCGAAAAGCGACTCACGTTATTTTTATTACAAATAATAAGGTACCTTTTCATGCTGTCGCTCGACGCTCGTTTTCTGCGATGTGATGACGTCATGTAAGTCGCTAGCGACGTGAAATGTAGTTCGATTTTTCCAACTACAAGCGATATTAGCGAGCGATAAAGATTTGAATGGATATCGAAATGGTAAGTATAATAATATTGTTTGATGAATATAATAAACATGTACATATATATTATTATAAAAATATTATTATTAATATTAAGGGGATGCTGGAGCTGTGCAGAGACTTTTGTTGTACATAACCTTGAATATGAGCAAATTTGCTTCATGTAAAAATTCTACAGTTTGTTATGCGCAAAATAAGAGCCAGCGTATGCGAAGGTTGTACAAAATTTTAAGTACATTTTTCTTTTTTTCTAGGCTTTTAACCTTAGTTCCAATTGCACGATATTGTTCAGATATGTTGTCTCGTGCATACGCTGACTCTTATTTTGCACATAACACAAACTGTAGAATTTTTACATGAAGCAAATATTGCTCGTGTTCGAGATTATATACGACAAAAGTCCCTGCACAACTCCAGCATCCCCTTAATTAAGGACATTATTATGTCTTTAACATTATAAGTAAACATAAATTGAGAAAGGTCAATTTCGAGCAACACTTTAACATATCTTGTTTTACATATAAATATAAATCTGTTATTTTTAATCATATAAGTTATGTCAGTAATAATATTTTATGTAACGTACGCAAAAAACATTGAAGTAAATAAAATATTTGTTATATAAGATATTTTCTAAAATATTTTTTGTAGTCTCGTGTTCAAACGTGTGGATTATGTGAAACCATATGTAATGAGGACGAAGTACCCAGCCATGAGTGTCTTCAAGGATATTCTAATTTCATTACAGATGATAATTTGTACTTTTACCCTGTATTAGGTATTTTATATATATATATATATATATATATATATATTTTACTTAAGTTAATTACAAAAATTATTAAATCTGATGTTTTTTTAATAATGTTTTTTTAGACGATGGAGAAACTATTGTTAGAAGAAGCTTGACACAGGACGCTGAAACAATAGCATCTGTACCTTTTCATGGTGATAATCAAGGTCAAATAAATGTAATAAATTCTTGAAGTTTTAAAACATTATAAATGAGAAGTTATACATATTATGTTTGTATGATATACATTTTATTTTTTGTTTCAGAGAATATTTGATCCATTAATAATAATAGAAATTCCAATCAAAAGAGCGCAAAGGAAAAACTGTCACTTGAGGAGGAGGAGATGCTAATATTAGAAGTCCAATGCAGAGAACCACTATGGAATTTTAGATTACCTCTCATTCAAAGAAATTGCAGAATTACAAGAGCTTTGTGGGAAGAAGTTTCTCAAACTTTTAATGGTTATATAAATGTCTATTATTTATAATATTAAAAAAATATGCTGAGTGTTTCGCGGGTTTTATCTCCGTGTGTAAGTTCATCCTTGGATACTATCCAAGCATCCATAGCATCCAAGGATGAACTTACACATGGAGATAACCCGCGAAACACTCAGCAAACTTGAAGATAGTACCCGTGGAAGCCTCAAGAATTTAAAAAAATATATTAAAACAGAATGTTTTTACAGGGAAATTAAGCGCAGCTGGATGTAAAAGCAAGTTCAAGAATTTTCACGACACTTATAGGAGACTTGTGAACGCTGAGAAACTACCAAGTGGATCTGCTTCCAAAAGCAACATGAGCAAATGGAAACATTATAAAAGTATGGAATTCCTTCGAGATAGTTGCTTACAGAAAAGGTTAATAATGCATTTGTATGATTTCATTATTTTTAATACTAGAAAATTATTTTTGTATTAATTTTTTTATATAAAATAATAAATTTTATTTTTTTACAGTACGATTTCTAATATTAACGATGGAGACAGCAACAGTATTATCGAGAATGATAATGAATTAGATTGCCAAGATGCGAATATGTTAGAAGTTACTAATAATGAAGATAGTCAAGATACGAGTATATTAGGAAGTATTGAATAATTATCACAGTTTATTTTAAAATTTTGAAATTAGAAGAAAATGGTTTTTAAATTATTTTTTTTTTCAAGATCATGTAAGAAAGAGAAGGCGAGCAGAGTCACAAAACAGTTACTTAGAACGTATAGCAGACGCTTTATGTCAACCACCTCCTGACATTGTTCTTCCACCACCCCCTCAAGAAGACCATATAGATGCGTTCTTAAAACTGTTTGGTCATAACTTAAGAAAGTTATCGCCAGAAAAACAAAATGAATGGATGCAACGATATTTAAATATGTCTTACGAAATGTTAAAAGAAAACCAAAGATATTAATGAAATATTAACTTAAATATTAAATTAGCTTAACAAAAATTTTGTACTTTAAATTAAACTTAGTTTTTATTTAAATTATGGAGATAATAAAGCGTGAAATTATATTTTGTTTTATGTGTTAAATACAAAATTTATTAAAATGTTAAAATTACATACAAAATACAGTATAAACGTTATAAAATGAAATATTTATTCCTTTGTTTATCAACAGTGTTGAAATTGCCAAGGTATTGCTCCCTCGCTATTAAAGTATTCACAAAAGTCATCCCGAATTCTTGCAGCTTTCCGAGAACTGTTATTTGTACTACACCTTCTTATATCTTGAAAAGCAGAATTAATGTCTATATTTCTCCTCCAGGAACCTTCTATTAAACCATCGCAACCATCTCGATCAACCATGTTTTCAGTGATATATTCATTGACTCCAATATCTTGTATACGAATATAATTATGAAGACACACAATAGCTTGTACTATTTTCATTGCTGTTTCAATTGAACAATTTATTGGTCTTCTTAAAATTCTCCATTGACTTGATAAAATGCCAAAAGCATTTTCAATGGTCCTCCTTGCTCGACTAAGACGATAATTGTAAATAATTTTGTCCTGATTCAAACCTTGTTTTCCTGGGAAAGGCCTCATTAAATACTCAGTAAGTGGAAAAGCTTCGTCTCCAACTAGCACGTAAGGCATAGAGTTTCCTTCGAAATAAAATGGTTTTGGATCAGGTACATTCATTTCATTGGTTCTGAAATTTTGGCCAAGAAAGGAGTCTCTAAATATTCCACCATCACTGCGACGTCCATAGGCTCCAATATCCACAAAAGTAAAAATATAGTTTGCATCACAAACAGCAAGCAAAACAAAACTGTGACTGTTTTTATAATTAAAATATGATGATCCTGCATTTTCAGGACACTGAAAAAAATAATATAGTGATTATTTTAAAAATAAAAGTCCTCTAAAAATAAAAATCTATTTTAAATTTTTTCAGTAACTTACTTGAATAACAACATGTTTACCATCAATAGCTCCTATACAATGGTTAAAATTCTATACCTCTTCGAACTCTTTAGAAATATTTAACCATTTCTCTTTTGTTAAAGGATATGGAAGAACATGTTTAGAAAGAACAGACCACAATGCATCACAAGTTTCTGAAATAATATTGCTAACTGTGGTTAGTCCGAGGAGATATTGGTAGCTCATGGAAGTCATTGAATCACCAGAAGCAAGAAACCTATAAGAAATATTTATAATAAATATTTTAAATATAAATAACATATTCTAACTTTATTTTTTATTTATTGTGTTTTCAACTTACCTTAATGTCATGCATAATCTTTCACTGGCAGATATTGGTTTTCGAGTTAATACTTGTTTTGTGATTAAAGGTGCTACTTTGTATAATAACTCTTCAAGTTGAATTGAATTCATACGAAAGTAATTTCTAAATGTACTTATTTGCTGTGAAACTGTGGGTAAAATTGCATTATAAAATCCATGTTCGCGTCTCATTTGAAACAATGGATTAATCTAAAACTCTTTTCTAGTATAAGGTCGTTTCCTTTTTTCTATTAAATCAAAAATAACTGCCGATATCGCTAATCTTTTTCTCCTTTCTCTCATATTATGATTATTTATAATTTTTGCACACTCCGTTATCCAATTATATTTTTCTGATTGTGACATTGTGCGATTATATATATTTTGGAGCACCTGTATGGAATTCTTCAGCTGACGCTACTACATTAAAATCGCGTCGCTGGAAAACCCTTTTCATGTTTGATATTAGTCGCTAGCGACAAATCCAGTCACGTGACTTTTTTATCGCTCAAAACGAGCGATGAGCGACGCATGAAAAGGTACCTATTAAAGTCAATGGAGTTAACCTATTCATCAATCTTTTTTATTATTTATATCAGTTTAAAATCGATATATCAAACTCTCGATTGATTGATTTAAATATAATTATCTTGATTCTTATGAAATAGATAAAAATATAAAGTTATAAATCTTACGAATAAATTTATAGCTTAATTCTATGTGAGGAGGTTAAGGTAAACTCTCTATTTCCAAGATTCTAATAAAAATACTATCATTTGAAATCCTTTTTTTATACATAAATAGAGATTTAAAAAATAAACTCTTCCTTTATGTATTATTAATAAAATTATAAGCCGAATATTATAATGTTCAAATGGTTATATGAAGGTTAGAAAATCTGTCACATTTTGAATGTTTTATTTTTAATAGTATGTTTTTTTAACTTTATACAGTTTCAAGCAATGATTTTTACTTTGCAAATTTTTTTTATTTGTATGTACTTAAATAAACATCGAAAAATTATATTTATAAAAACTAAATTATAAAAATTTTATTTAATTAAATAACGAATTATATAAACTAAATTTAGTTTAATAAAATATTGTATATAAGAACAAGACAATCATTAAACAATATGTCATATTTTCAGGATGTCTACTAAATCGAGAAAGAGTTTGTCGTCATCTTCATGGCAGCAATGCGAGAAGTGTCAATGTACTTTGACACAGAAAGAGATTTTATTGCACGAAACAAACTGTCCACCTTCCACAGAAAATTGGAACCATTCTTTCATCTCTGGTGGAGTTTTATACAGCACAATAGAAACTTTTCAATTGCAAGGTATGTAGCTCATTAGTTTTAATTATTTTTATTTGCAACGTCTCTTTAGACCACAATCATATATCTCGTAGAATTACCCAAACATATCTCGGAGAGAGATGCTAATGATATGGTGTTTATATCACAGTCTGCTTTTCAATTATGCGATATTGCTATTGGATCATCAATTGTTGTTGCAACCAAAGATGAGGCAGTTATTAAAACAGCCTGGCCAACTAATGAAAAAAGTTTGACAAGTGTCTCTTTAACGAAGCATAGTAAATATGTGAATCTTATTATTAAAGTTTAACCTGAAGAAATTTATCAAATTTAACTTGAAGAAATTAACAATCATTTTTCTCTTTTATTATTTTCAGCTATTGAACTAAATAATCTTGTGGGATTAGTAAAAGTGTATTTGTTGAAATCTGATATTTATATTGCTAAAGAGATTGTAATTAATCAATTGGGAAAACATTTAATATCCAATGTAAGCACAGAACTTGATAATATTTTTAAATATTTTAACGAGCACAAAATATTTGCTGTTGGCAATAGAATAAGTGTGCCATATTATGGAAAGAAGTTAGCATACAAAATTGTTCAAATCAAGTTGGATGAAACTAAGAAAGAGCAAATTGATGGAAATGATTTATCAGAAGGTTTTAAAAACATAGATTTGACAACTAATCGAACAAAAATAACTTTTTACAAAGCATTGTATACAACAAAATGGACAGTCTTGAATATTGCAGAAGATGGAAATAATATCCCGAAAAAACAATATAAAATTGAAGATATAGGAGGATACAGTGCTCTTATATCTGATATAAGAGATATAGTTACAATAGGTATTGGCAAATTCAGAAGTGTAGAGCATTTTGGTGTAACTAAAGGATTATTGTTATACGGCCCAACTGGTGTTGGTAAATCAATGATAGCTAATGCTATAATTTCTGAATGTAACGTTAATGCATTTATTGTGTATAGTTCAGATATCTATAGCAAGTCTATCTCTGAAACGGAAAATAAACTTAAAGAAATATTCAATAAAGCAATGTCAAATACTCCTAGTATAATATTATTAGAAGACATAGATAATTTGTGTCCTAAGAGAAGTAACTCCAGCACAGATCATGAGAGAAGAGTTCTTGCTCAGCTAATAACACTTTTCGATGACCTACATAGTATCAAGAGTGACATATTAATAATGGCTACAACCACGAAATTAGATTTCGTAGATAGTTCTCTAAGAAGACCTGGCAGATTGGACATGGAATTCGAGATTTATGTACCAACCCCGAATATGCGTACAGAAATACTAATAAAATTACTTTCAAAAATTCCCAATACACTTTCACATGAAGACATACAGAGCATTTCATTTGATACTCATGGTTTTGTTGGTGCAGATTTATATGGTTTGTGCTCGAAAGCAATAATTAACGCAGTGAAACGCCGGCAAAAGTTCGACGATGAACCAAAGGTGACTATGACTGATTTTTATAATGCTTTAATTACAACAAAACCTTCAGCTATGAAGGAAGTTTTAGTGGAAGTGTCAAATGTAAGATGGTCAGACATTGGTGGGCAGAAGAACTTGAAACTAAAATTAAAACAAGCCGTCGAATGGCCGCTAAAACATCCTGAAGCATTTGTAAGAATGGGTATTACACCTCCTAGAGGTGTCTTAATGTTTGGACCGCCAGGATGTTCGAAAACTATGATCGCAAAAGCTCTCGCTACCGAGAGTAAAGTAAATTTTCTCAATATTAAGGTGAGTTATTCGATGCTTAGATTGGGTTTCCGTTACTGTATTGTAAAATTGTTTGTAGGGTCCAGAGTTATTTTCCAAATGGGTTGGCGAATCTGAGAAAGCTGTAAGAGAAGTATTTCGAAAGGCGAGACAAGTAGCACCGTCTATCATATTTATCGACGAGATAGATGCATTAGGTGGTGAGAGAAGTTCCTCTTCCAATGGTAGTGGTAGCAACGTGCAAGAACGAGTGTTGGCTCAATTATTGACTGAACTCGACGGTGTCACTACTCTGGGAAGCGTCACATTAGTAGCGGCTACTAATCGACCAGATAAAATTGACAAAGTAATTTTTCCCATACATCAATGAACAAAGCATATAAATAGAATTAATATAATTAACTTTAAGAATAAATTTTTTAAAGATTATAACTATTTAAAACAAAAAAGGCAACATTTTTATTGATATAAATATGTAAAAAGCAATCATTGAATTTATATATATCTGAAATCTTTAGAATATTTCTAGATTCTCTTTATAGATATTGAACTTAAAATAAATTTATTAATGTGGAAAAAGATTTCAGAACCTGATCAAATTCTGTGCAAAAGATAAGTTTACTAAACAGTAGCAATCTTAAATTTACTTTTTCTTTTAAGAAAATTTAATTTTTATCCTCAATATATATATATATACAAAAAATTTCTATTTAATTCTCAATCTAAAATTTTATTATTTCTCCGAATTATATTCTTTTTACCTATAGTTGTTACTATAATTTTTCTTTAATATTGACTATATTTATATCACGATAATAATGCGCAAATATTTTATCATAGAACAACAATACTATCAACTATTATTTCTCAATTATCTTATCATTCGTAGTATTGTGATTGTGATAATAATTTCATACCAATTCTATCAGGCACTTCTCCGACCTGGACGATTAGATCGTATAATATACGTCGGACTACCGGACGAGGAGACCAGACGAGAGATATTCGATATAAAAGTACGAAATATGCCAATCACGGATGATGTAAATATCGTGGATCTGGTTGATCTAACGGAAGGTTACACCGGGGCAGAAATCCAAGCTATATGTCACGAAGCCGCCATGAAAGCATTAGAAGAGAGTCTTCACGCCACCGTTGTTACTAAGAAACATTTCGAAGCCGCATTCAAAACCGTCACTCCCAGAACACCCGTTTCCCTCCTCGAGATTTACGCCGATTATATGAATAAAGCCTTATGAGGATTATAAGGATTACATATAAATGCGTTTTCTTTTTCGCTGCAACAAAAGGGTTTAAAAATCTTACTTTCGGATTACATTTTTCGCACACTTTGAGAAAAAGGTAATTAAATTTGATCGATATATACAAATTCAAAATGTTGAATTCAATCAACTAATTAATTGAAGTGCTTTTTAAAATTAACAATTATAATTTTGTAATGGATATACATGTGGTTCCTCGATTCTTTCGAATCGGATCCTGCATGTATATATTTATTGATGCGTGGATTTTCCTGTTGAAAGTTAATACGTCGATACGTATTTATATACAGGGTGTCTGACATAAAGTGTCACACCGAAAATATACAAGTAAATCTCATTATTTGGAGATTTTCCTCAGCAAAAATATCGGGAATATGAGGGAGGCCATCATTTTTTGCATGTTCCCAATTTTTAGCATCATGTATATCTTTATAATTAAACCTTAAATTAAAATTTTATTAAAGTAAACTCTACTTGAAATTAATTGGAAAATGTTTTGTTAATATTTTATTTCCACGAGGCTTAGTTTGCGAAAAAAAACCTTTTATTTTCAATCGTTTATAACTCGAAAATTATTGATGCCTTTATATTTTTACTGAGGAAAAATTGTTTCTAAATAACAAGATTTGCTTGTATATTTTCGGTATGACACCTTATGTCAGACACTATAAATCGATTATATAATGACGATAATGAGCACAAAAGTTATCGCAAAAGAATAGAAAAATGGAAATTTAATTTATTATACGCGCCAAAAATTCTAATCTCAATCACATTCGATACGATTTATTTTTCCAATAATTGATAAAATTCACTATAATCAAAATAATTAATACAAGTTTATATATCATGTGTAATTTAAGAACGAATCACGATTGATAAACTTTTGTTATAGATCTGATTTCTTCCTAGAACTTGCAATGTAGATAGCGATGGACAAAATTTATTCGACTGCGATAATCGAAGTTTGTAGTCTCACGTCTCACATGACAGAGAAGAGAGAGAGAGAGAGAGAGAGAGAGAGAGAGAGAGAAAGCAAGACGATCGCGCATTAATTATTTACCAGTTCAGTCGCTATCTGTCATAAACTACTATCTGCGTCATCTCCAGATGTTTGTCGATCCGATTTTCGCGAGCATCTTGTTGTTTGTAATCGTTACGTTCCCGATACACGTCTGCGACATTGAGAGCAGTACGTAACGAAAAAAAAAACGTTTCGTCAATAAAAACAAACGTGTCGAACGAGTTTGCTCGAGGAGACGAATATAAGAAACGCGACATAGTTTTTTCTTTTCTTTTTTTTCCTTTAATACTCGCGATTTTTTATTAGATTTGTCAGATTGCATGTCATGATGAACACCGTTCTCAGGTTCTGAGAAAAGAGCAGTGTCTACCTCGAAACAGTTCTGTGTTGACAAACTCCTCTTTCGACGAGATAACCTCTCTGATTGACGGATTTTTATTGCTATGTACGCTACGTTTTTTATTTTTTTTCTATAATAATTAATAGTAGTGGATGGAAAACGTCATCGTGAGATGTGTCAAAATTGCTATTTAATCAAGAATCTACATATAAGTCTCAGTCCAAGAAATTTTGATATATTAACTATTCTCATACAATTTTATGAATAATATTATCTTAATTTATTGACTTAATTGTGTATTTGAACATACGCTGATTATCTACTTATATTGTAATCCATTTGATATTTATATTATTGTAATGCATACAATTTTGTTATTTCCACAGATATCTATCTTGAATAAGATGTCATTGATCGAGGGAGTTGGCGATGAGGTCACAAACTTTTTCCTTGTCATGAGTATTCTTCTGATTGTATGGCTCGCCTGGTGTTCGACGAATATTGCGGATCAGCCGCTGATACGCACCGTACTTATATTGCGTGACAGAACGCCGACGCGGATTGCGACGATAAGAGCCAATAATCAGAATACAAGCAGTATCGGTATCCAGGATGTTGGGCGGCCGCCAAACTTAGAAACGACAGAAGAGGAATCAACTGAGATTTCGGATAATAGCGATAGTACACAAGCAAACTGTCCAAATGCATCTGCCATGGGTAAATATTCTTTCCTATCTTTTTTCTTTACATAGATGTTAGCTAATTTTTTTTATATTGTGTACAATATCAGATATTGGTATTAAATCTCTTATATTGTGTACTATGTCAGATATTAGTGAAACTTGTCAAGACATCCCTAGACCGATTGTTGAATCTACAGTGACAGAAGAGGTACTTATTGAAGCCATGGATTCATTCAATAACGATGACCCATCGCTGTTAGAAACATCTGTTAAGGAAGATAATTCTGATACGACAAATACGTTAGACCAAACTGGTACTAGTTCATCAGAACGTACAACAGAAGACTCGACTCTAAGCGATAGCAATGAAATCACCATAAAATTGAAATTCATAAACGATGATCAGAAACTAGTAACTGGCAGTCTTAAAGAACTGCTAGGTGATTTTAAAAGGTGATTATTTGATTTAAATTTATACATCATGTTTTTAGTAGAGTTTGTTTCTATTATTATAACATTTTTATTTTATATATTACGTGTCAATAATCTGCAATCTACTTTGATAGCAGTATAGCTAACAATATAGTTAATATAATATTATTTTTTATCACAATTTTATATATATATATATTAAAATATAAAATTATATATATATTAAATTGTATATATTATGATATGCAGTTTTTTTTATTTATAAAATCATTGTAAAAGGTGAAAAAAAATATTAATTCGATAATTTCGATTTTGCAGAAGGCACTTTCAAATGGAATTAGAGGCGCATAAATCAGTACGATTAGTATTTAACGGCCGCGTGTTGCAGCCCGACTCTCAAACTCTTGAGCAATGCGGCTTATTCAATGATTGTGTGGTCCATTGTTGGGTGCATCAACCGCGGCAGACTACCACACCATCATCCCAGACGTCTACATTAGACAATTCGTCGTCCATCTACTTTAATTCCCAATCGTTCTCGGATCTGCCCACCGGCACAGGTCTCAGTTCGGTGCACAACGAATGGGATCTGAGTCGACTCCTAGTAAGCATCCTGACGATTGTCCTAGGTCTCGCGTGGTACTCGCGGTATCATTATGCGCAACTCTTTACCGCGACGACCACGCTTGCACTCTACGCGCTAACCGCGATCTTTACCGTCTCCTTATTTAGCAACTTCTTTCCCGATCAAGATAACATTCGAAATGTCGAATAAAACAGCGACATTTGTGTATATGTTAATGAAAGCACTTTAAAATACAAATGATTTAACATATGATTTAACGTTATATGCACTTAATTTAACGAGATTACTATTTGACCATTAAATCAAATAACAATCTCTGAACATTTGCTTTTAGTGTAACACTTTCGAAATCAGGTTTATAAGAACGAGTTTACTATATAATTTGATTTTTACAATTTTAATAATAGATGTTAATCCTGATTTGTGTCTCCAGGAGTTGCTTAATTAAAGAGAGATTACAGAACATAACGTGCAATGCACATTTCTATTTCGGAGAATTTTTTTAGATTATATTTTTAAACTGGTTGGTTACAAAGTAATCAAGCATCCTATATAGAGTACAGGAAGTGTTAAATAATCGCGTAAAATCTAACGTGACATTTTTTTGTGGAAAATTTCTAATATAATATACATGTATGTGTGTATGTATATATTTATATTATACATACATACATATATATATATATATATATATATATATATGTATGTATGTATGTATAATATAAATACACACACATATATATATATATATATATATATATAATACTATATATATTTACATATATAATTTCTACAATAAATATTACTTGTTTGTATTGTATAATAGAAAAAATAACTTGCATAAGAGTAACTTATATACATTTTTCGTTGCTAAATATAATTCTGAAAAGATAACTTACCATTCAGTGAGAAAATATAAACATTAAATATTGACAAAATATTAATTTATTTATTTCAATCTTAATTACGATTTTAATTAACTATAATAATATTTAAAAAATATAATATATAAAAATATACATTCTAAAAATATATTTATTTATATAGTTAATTTTCTTCGAATTTTTTGCAATACGTTATATTGTTGGTGCTATGCGAATGACAATTAGTATCAAGTATATATCATAATGTTTTTATTCGCCGAGTTTAATAAACTTATTTTACACATTCAAACATTATGTGAGAATGCAGACGGTTACTCAAATAATTTTACTTTAATTGTAATCTTACATCTAATATTATAGATGTAAGATTACAATTAAAGTAAAATTATTTGAGTTCTACATGAATAATAAAATAAAAAAAAGATATTATATTATTTACAATTTATATTAAAATATGGCAAGCTAAAAGTAATGCTTGCTTATGTTGTACAATTTGTATGTGAAAAAAATTGCTTATATTAATGAAATTAGCTTTTTCTAAAAGACCTAAATGGATATTTATGGCGAACAAATAGAAATTGAGATATAAAAATACAAATAGAATTATTACCAAAAATATTTGTGACATAACAAGAAGTATACTATTATCTCTGCGACTTACTGTACCATATAATTTGTTAAAGTTAAATTAATTATATATTATGATTGTTTTAAAATGCCAATAAATGTCTATTTATTTGATACTTTTATCATACATATTTTTTGCTCTCCTTATTTTCTACAATAAATATATAAAAATAAATATAAACCAATATTTTGAATACCAATATGCTAAGATTTATATTATCTGTCATCTGTCTCTAATCTGTTTTTTTACACAATATATTATTAATAATCACAAATTATACATTTTTATAATACTCAAACATGATATGCAAGAGGGGAATAAATATAATAAAATTATAGAAAAGAAGAAATCTTAAAATATGTTTATAATTTTAATTTTATTTTTTTAATTTTACAAAATGACCAATATAAATAAAACTTTTATTGAAGAAGATTGTATTTGTTTTATACATAATGATGTTAATTTATAAAATATTAAATCATTATGTGTTAAATAAACAATACAAAAAACATGCTGTAATATTAATTTAAGATAAACTAATACTCAAATACTTAAATAACTCAAATAAAATAACAAAAAAAATACATATTATTAAAGAACATGCTCTAATATTAATTTGAGACACTCAAATAAAAAAAATACATATTAAAGAACATGCTGCAATATTAATTTTAAGGCAAACTCAAATTAAAAAAAAGAAATATATTATTCTCTAATTAAGCTTTGTAGTAAATAGGTACTTTCATTAATGAAAAAAAAAACTGAATAACTTAGCTCTCCCTCAATTTTCATCTAATTTGAAGATATAACATTGTTTCTCTTTTTTTCAGGAACTTATAATAACGGTATGATAACGATTCTTGTTTATGAGCTTTACTCAACTTTTTTTAACGCCTCTTTTAGCGGAACGCTATCACAGTTGAATGAGTCAAATGGTCAGATTCCTGACCTCACGACTTTAATGTGCTGTTCGTTTAACAAGTCTATGTCTACCGGCGTATTGTCCATTGTTACTAAGTTATGAAGGGGTTTATCTTTACAATACAATTGGTATGAACAATCGTAAATACCGTATACCAACTCAATCTCCTGTTTCAGGCGTTCGTACGTTATGATACCAAGTTGCTCGACGTACAACAAAATCTTCACAGGATCTTCACGTTTAAAATCATTGAATGCCGCATCGTATCTCAGTGGTAAACGCTCGTCGAGTGTGAAGAAGACGTGAGCATCTCGTACTTCCAGATCTATAATTTGTTTGGACATGTCGCTTTGATTCCGAGTCGCCCAGAACTTCAATTTTATGTCTCTGATCGTTTGCATTTCGCTATAGAAAGTAATGTGGCTGGGATCTTGAGGAGAGTCCGCAATATTTTTCAGTGGAGTCTTGGTCATGCATTCAATGAACGCCTTGTGACTGACCATCACCTTGGCTAATTTATCTTTGTCCTCCGTGCAATATATTTTGTAATATACGAAAGCTGCGTCAGTTGGTACCAGACGAGTCCTCTTCCGCAACTTCTGCACTCGATTGATCACTTCTCGCGCTATTCCCTCGTTATGTAACTCCTCGTCGTAAGTGATGTCCAGAAGAATCAGCAGGCCCCCCTCGCTGTGAGCTTCGTACTGAACACCTTGTTTCGACAACTCCTGGGCTGCCGGATCACTGAAGTTGTACATCAGACGCAGGTCCTGCTCTTCGAGTGTATGACCCTGCACGACAATCTCCTTCGTAGCGAGGAACTCTTGCAACTGTTCGTCGGACAGTTCCTTGATGGCCTGCATAATCTGCTTGAACTCGCCTTTCAAGCGAATACCCAGAGTCTTGTGGTCCGGTTCAGCTCTCAGAGTCACGCCATACTTCTTCTTATCGGTGGTGACGGTTAATTTCCTGACGTTGAGCTCGTCGAGTATATACGTCTTCAGCAGATGAATGTCCTTGAGTACCTTATCGTCCTGGTGTATCACAACGACCTCTCGTAGGGGATATTTCGTGGGGATGGTCTGCCTGTCTCGTACGATACGCCCCAGTTCGATGACAGTCTGCATGCGCGACACGGCCGTTTCTATGTCCTCGTTTATCAAATGATTATGCGGTTCTGGTAACATTTGAAAATGTACACTGGTATGTAACGGGGCATCATTCTTCTTAGGCAACCACTTTGACAGCCAGCCAAACATAAATTCCGTTAAGAACGGTGTAAATGGCGCGTAGACTCGCACCATGGTATAAATAACCAGAAACAAAGTGTTCAGCGCGTTTTTGCAATTGTCCAAGCCCTCTTCTCCTTTGATACGCTTCCTGTTCATTCTCACGTACCAATTTGTAAGATTGATTATGTATTTGATTAGGTAAGGTATTACAGTGTACAATCTATACTCCTTCATCTCCTTCTTCACGAAAACCAATAAAGACTGGGTGAAGGACAATATCCATTTGTCCATTATATTGTCGGAATAAGAAAGATTCGTTTCGTCGAATACAAATGACTGGTTCGTAGTTTGCTGGTAACGATGGATATTTTGTATAAGAAAACGGAACGCGTTGTACCAGGGTAGAAGAACGTCCTTGATGATGTCGCGAACGCCGTCCTCCTTGAATCGTAAAATCTCAGCCTTCACGACCGGCGAATTGATCAGGTAGAGCCGCAAGGCGTCCGCTCCGTATCTGTTGATCACGGTCATGGGATCGGGATAATTCTTCTTGCGCTTCGACATCTTCTGGCCGTCCGCTGCAAGGATCAGACCGTTGACGACGAGATTCTTGTAAGGTGCCTTGCCGAACAGGGCGGTGGACACCACCAGAAGTGTGTAGAACCAGCCGCGCGTCTGATCGATCCCCTCGGCGATGAAGTCCGCTGGGAAACATTCGTCCAGGCTTACTTTATTAGCGAACGGATAATGAATCTGCGCATAGGGCATGGAACCGGACTCGAACCAGCAGTCGAAGACCTCGGGAATGCGACGCAATGGCGGATGTCCCGGACGTTTCGACGGGATCTCCAGGTGGTCGATGCTCTCGCGATGCAGATCCTTGATTTCTGTACCTGTCAAACGTTCCAGCTCCTCGATGCTGCCTACGCAAACGACTTCCTCCTGGTCATCAGAGATCCACAGTGGTATAGGGTTGCCCCAGTAGCGATTTCTACTGATAGCCCAGTCACGGGCATCGCGCAGCCAATTGCCGAATCGTTTGTCCTTCACATAATTAGGTACCCAGAAGGTTTCACTGTTCGCTGCTAATAGCTGGTTCTTGATGGATTCTACTCTGATGAACCAAGAGGGTACAGCTCTGTAAATGAGCGGTGTGTCGGTTCTCCAGCAGTAAGGATAACTGTGCTTTACTCTACTAGCAACAATTAATTTCTCCTTAGCTTTCAGATATTTTATTATCTCCTTGTCCGCATCCTTGACGTACATACCGAGGAAATCGTGAACCGGCTGCACGAAACGACCACAGTCGTCCACAGGACATGCAAAACTGTCTTCCTTCGTTATTATACCGGCGTTCAGACAGCATCGATAATCATCCTCACCAAAGTATGGAGCTTGATGGACAATACCAGTTCCTGTCTCCGCTGTGACATAAGTATCGTTCAATACTTTGAAAGCACCCTTCGCTCTATAATCTATGAAATATGGAAATGGTGGTTCATACTCCTTCCCTTTCAGATCGATGCCCTTTCTCTTACCCAGTACAGTGTAAAGATCTGGGGATTTGAAAACAAGATGCAGTTGAGCTTCTAACATGATGTAAATAATACCGGAATCATTATTTTTAACTTCTATATATTCCAGGGTTGGATTGACGCACAGTGCCAAGTTACTAGGTAAGGTCCATGGAGTGGTGGTCCACGCCAGCAGAGAGACACCCGGCTCGTCCAGGAGAGGGAAGGCCACCACCACAGTTGGATCCTGAACATCTTTGTAATTCTGACCAGCTTCGAAATTGGCCAGCACCGTGTTGCAACCAGTGGAATAAGGCATCACTTTGAAACCCTTGTAGATGAGGCCTTTATTGTACAGCTGCTTGAAGATAAACCAAATGGACTCCATGTACCACGGGTACATGGTCTTGTAGTCGTCGACGAAGTTTATCCATCGACCCGTTCGCACGATCAGCATTTCCCATTGATCGGCGTACCTCATCACGATATTACGACACTTGGCGTTGTACTCTGCGATGCCCATCTTGGCCACGTCATCGGGTCCCTTGATGTTGTACTCCTTGTCGATCTCGTTCTCCACCGGCAGTCCGTGACAGTCCCAGCCGAAACGACGCTCCACGTGGAAGCCGCACTGGTACGCGTACCTGGTGACGATATCCTTGATGGTGCCGGCTAAAATGTGTCCGTAATGCGGGAGACCGGTGGCAAATGGGGGTCCATCGTAAAACGAATACCTGGGCTTGTCCCGCGACAGTTCCATGCACGTGTCGAACGTCCGCTCTTCATCCCATTTCTTCAGAACCTTCTCTTCCGTCAGCACAAAATTGATAACCTCCGGCAGATTTTCCGGTTCTTCAGATTGTTCACTCACTTTAAACTCGTCGTCGTACTGAGGCCGACGCAAGTCGTCTTCCACGTTTCGAGACATCGTTGCATATAACCTGAACGCACGCTTATTCCGACAAATACAGACCGAGGAGTGAGCATGCCCGCGAATGACACCATGACACGTGACACGAGGTCTTTGCGCGCTTGCGCAGTTATTTCATCATCACGGCACAGAATATATAATACAATAGTTGAGACGCCAAGTTTCTAGTGTGTATGCGTCGACCTCAAAATATGGCTGACGGCGCAATTTTTGAATTTTTATATATAATCTTTTCTCGCATTTCTAAAAGAAAAATTACAAATAAAAATGCCAACTTGTTTATTTATATTCAGTTGTACTTCGTGTAATAAGAGAAAGAAGACAGAAATATAATGACATGAGAATTAAAACAATATTTATTTTCTTATACAATATATAAGTACTGTTTAAATGAAATTAAGTATTTAATTAATTATTTATTTAGAGTTTCTATTTTTAATTATTTCTTTCGTAACAGTTTTTATAAATCTTCAAGAAAACGATAAAGAAATAAATCTCTAATAAATTAATTGTTATTATCACAACCACTGACGAGGTACTGTTACCTCGTCAGTGTCACAACTAATAGATATGTGTATCAAAATATATTTTTAAAAAGTGATAAAAACAATCTTATATTAAAATTAATAATTTAGATATTATAATTAAAATTTCAATTACATATATAGTCTATGTAAATATTTTTACAACAGTGTTATTTTTTTGTTATATAATTATTATAAAGTAAATGTTCTCAGTTTTTATCAATATTGTAAAATATCAATGTAAAATGACAATAATACTTCAAATAGTCATAATACTTTAAGTAATAATAAATACTGGCAGTTGAGATAACACTTTAAAGAAACTTTTAGCATATATATATGTGTATATATATATATATATAAAAATTAATCAACTTTTTAAATACCATAATATAGTATTCAAAAAATCATTCAATTCTTTTACATTATAGGAATGTATATCATTTGTTCTCTCAATCACACAATTCATTTGAAATTTCACAGCACTTATGTAAAAGTTATATACATAAAATTGGGAAAAAAATTAATTTTAGAGTCTAACCCAATATGACTTTTTTGACTAGATGATGAAGTATGTAATACAATGCGACTAATTATATTCACGATTTAAGATTGATGTATAACATGTTGCACTCTTTGCCGCTGACCACCAATATAAATCACCTGTCTCGGCTCGTCCGGATGAATGAGTTCGTCCGTATGTTTCCATCGCCATTTCTTTTCACTCTCTTTGACACGTTTGTGATCGATGTAACTGATAATGCAGCTCGCTGGTATCCATATAATGGTGGTAATGATTATTACAGCGCCTACTATATTATCTTTTAGAAAACGCATAACTTTGTTGATATTTATATCCTCAATAATGTCCCAAAATCGCTCCACTACATCTTGAATTGTTTTCTCACACGTGCCCTAAACGAATGTATGATATATTAGAATCGACAAAAACTTTTATATTAAGTAAAGTGATGTAATATTGTTTTACCTGATTGCAAAAACCTTGAATGCATGGTGTCCCATCAGGTAAAATATCTATTGGGTCTACTGCAAAACATGTTTCGTTCAAACTCATTCTACAGCATCTTTTACATGCATCAGCAACTGTCAATCAAATTCAACATAATGATAATATTAATAATAATATATATCTTTCAACACGCACGACTGTGCAGGTATAAATTATCAGAGTATTAGTTATATAATATATTACTTATATGTTTTATATTTTTAATATATTAATTATGTAATATATCTAACTAATTTTTAACTTTTACAACTTTTTATTAGTTATAAATATCTTTGTAAAATAATATATCAAGTTTTCTTCAATTCTGATCAAAACAATTGTAAGCATTAAAATTAAAAAATAGTTCTATATATTGCACACAGTAATAAGTTACTAATAAATAAAGTAAAATAAATTCTAGTTTTTTCTTGTGAGATGATACAAGTATACATATAGGTGGTAAAATTCTTCTATCACGTATCGTTTCTATTGACATGCAAATAAAATTAAGACAAAATACATACTTGTGTCGCACATGCAACTTTGTAAATTTTGGGTCTCGCAGTACGGCACACATTTGCCTAAACGACACTGACCACGTTCAAGACAAGCAGTACCATCCTTCATGGCCGGAGATCTTGGACATTCGCTAGACGCCCCGGTGCAACGTGATTCTTGTTCGCAAGTGGCGTATTGCGCGTCGCGACATTGCGTCGTTGCAGCCATATACGTACAAAACTGACAGCATGGAGAATTTTTGTCACTGTGGAAAGAAATAAATGAACATTTAGCATCGAGAAATATAATTATTATAAAATCAGAAAAAAAATAGAAAAAATATGTAGATATATATATATTGTTCAATTCTATACATTACCTACAAACTGCTCCTTGACTAGTTCGAAGTTTGCAATTTTTGTCACAACATTGATCATTGTCTTCTGTTCCCAGAAGACCTGCGTCGCATTCCTCGTCGCCTTCAACTCTCAAATTACCGCAGAACGATTCTTCCGGCTCTGAGAAACAGCGTCCAGATTTGGCTAGTAAGACCTTTCTGATAGACCGTAAGCTGCATGGCGAAAATCTCTGTGTATGAAAAAAAACCCATAAAAGTGTATGCACATGCATTTATATATATATATAATATATATATAAAATGATATATATATAACCCAGATAGCCACAGTAATTATTATGACATCATTTTGACATCAAATCTGTGGCTATCTGGGTAATATAATATATATAATAAATATAATATATATATAAAACAAAAGCTATAATATAAAAAATCTATATTAATATTTCATTTAAAAAAACATGCATCAGAATTCAATTTATCACATTGTAATAGAAATTAAAGTCTGCGAATAGCACATATATACTTTACCTTGTTATTTACATCATAGCCACTGACACTGTAAGTATACATCAAATAAGATCCACCTTGGCTTGCACTTGGGCTGCAATCCTATAATGTCGAAATTTTAAGTTCCAATCTTGCAAGGAAACAGAAGAAAAATAAAATAAAAAATTTATTGCAACATGAAGTGAATATTGATACAAGCACATGCTTAAACAGTTAATAAATGAAGAATTTCAATATATTTTAGCACCAACATCTTCACTTATTATATTTTCACAATATTATATTTTCTAATTTTTAATAATATTAATTGCTGTTTGAATTGTGTTGAACATTAATTCATATCTCAGGAATTATGAATATATACAATAATATCTGAATTATAATTTACCGATACATCCGGATCATGTTCAGAACCCCAATTATGACCAAATTCATGTGCTGTAACCAAATCAGCTTCTCTTGTAATTACTCTTTGTCCATAATGATTTCTGCTGGAGCTTAACCCTGAGTTTAGATATAATGTATATCCATTTTTAAAATATTCTGTAACAGAATAAATTTTAATAATTAAATCTGTTTTTATGTTATAAAAATTATGTAATAAACATTGCACTGTGTTTTGTCATTATACATTATTTAATCAACATTAACTCTAAATGTTTTTCAATAAAGATTAAATACCTGGTGTACATATACCGCCCACTGAATTTCTACGAGGAGATCCTACATAAGCCAATCCAAGAATACCACCTTCAAACTTAAGATCAGTAAACAGATGAGCCAAACAAAAGTCCTTATGGCTATATTCTCGACTAAACACCTGCATTAATGCATTATGTAATGAGAAATATATATATATAGTATTTATATATAAAAGTAATTATAAAAGTATTATAAAAGTAATTATATAAATAAAAATGTATATAATAACCTCGAGCAATGTACGGACGTCCCATTTCTCGCGAATCATATTATAATGTGTTTCGCCACCTCTCACTCGTGTCGGTTCACCATGAACGACGATCTTTTTAATAACAAAACCCATTCCTTTGAAACCATCTTCCTCTTTATGTTCATGCCATAAAGTGTCATTGTAGATCTTATGTACTCTATCAATTAAACTTATCTGCAACAATTTAATATTATTACAATTGCAAATCAATGTATATAGACAATTGTGCACTATTAAACTCAGCTGTACCAGATAATTAATTGTGGTTTTTGTATTACTGCTACCCATTTCTTGGAAAAATCGATAATCTGCAACTAGTAATAATGGACATCTTGTTTTTGTTGGTGCAAATTCGTAGGTTTCTGTTTGCCTTTTCACTCTGCTACTGCTGTTAGCCTTTTTTATATCATCTTCTTCAAAATCGTCTTTGTCATCTAGTGTATAATCTATAACAGAAAGTGTGCATAAAATATTATTGTAAAAGTAGAAATAATTTTATAAAAAGAAAATGTACTATATTTATAATATATTGCAGTAAAATCATACTTAAATTTTCTTTGACATAACCACAGGTCTTTGGAGCTCCATGTGTATGACCTTCTCCATCTTTATAATGTTCCCAACTGAGTTTAACATCAGATGATTTATAAACGATCATTGTTTGATTGTCTAAATGAGGAAGATGTCTCCAAGATGGCTAAAATACATCCAAACTCAAAGTTAACTTCTAATTGACAATCTATGTCAATGTAAATAAAAATAGTTAACAATAAGATATATCATTTACAATACAATGATATATTGCAAAACATTCTCATTTTTAATATTACTAAATTATATATATATTAATAAATTCTTCTCAATTTTATTTAATTCGTTGTTTTATTGTTGCTTAACTTATTAGCTCCTAGTTTACAAATTTTGTTCAATGTATATACTCACTTCAATATGATAGGTTTCATCCGAAGTTGTTATAATACCTGTTAGAATACCATTATTAATATGCATTTGAGCATGAGACTCAATTTCTCCAAACACTCGTCCATGGTAAAATTCATCATGATCTGTGAGACAAAATTTAAAAAATACAATGACTTGCATTTTTTTTAATATATTATTTAAATATATTATCATACCTAAGTGTATAGGTTTCTCTTTTCCATCAGCATTAACCTCGTATGCCTTAAAATTGGAATGTATAACTTCTCTTCTGGGTGTTAAAATTAATCGAAAACGACTGCGAAAGAAAAAAAATATTATTAATTAATACAAAATATTATTAAAAAACTCACAAAATTTTTTATATTAAATTTAAAAGTAATCAAATATATCTTACCGCCCATGTGAATAAAACTCCACTTCACTTATTTTATTGTATGGATTATAACTATGGTGAACACCTCGCTTTATGATCCTATGTTGCAAATAACTACTGTGAAGCGTTTCATAGTATTTCAAGTTTCTATGAAGTCCATCTGTAATATTATAAAATTATTATAAAACATATAAAATTAATGCAAATATTAGATAAAAAAATATCTGACATTACAAGATTTATAATAGAAAATAAAGCAAAATTTTTATTCAAAAATAAGATAAATTATCTAAGAATATCGAATAAAATATTCATTTATTATAATAATTTTCAAGCCTGCTAGTATTAAATATCTTACTAATAAGCCTGAAAAGTTTACGCTAAAGTTTTTTTGGCAATCTAAAATCAAAAAAATATTATTGTATATTTCTATTAATATAAAAAAACTTAATTTTTTAAAAATTATTTATAAATCTTTCTTTAACAAATTTTTTCTCAAGTTTAAAACAAAAATTTTGCCATTTATATTTTACATGTAATTGCAAATCAATTTGACATACTTAATTACATAAAATAACAATTATATGAATTAAAACCTATAACTTACAAATATTCTGGAGAGTAATAAAAATACAATAGACAAATAAAGCATTTCGCTTATCCATTGTAGATGGAAGAATTAACAATATACTTTGTTTTATACACTTTTTTTTATATATATTTGGTATTTTCCGTGCCGTCAACCTGTATTTAAATAAAAGGTTTTTTGGCACTCCTTTCTCTATTCCTTTTTGAGAGTACTATATTATCTTATTAATTTCCCTAAGGAAGGTCCGTTTTATATACACTTATGGAACAGAGGTTAGAATCAATGACGTTGATATATCTTTCTTTTTCTTGCACGGATTATAGCAGTTTTGTGTATTTTTGACACAAAAATCATCCAGGAAATAGAATTTATGATAAATGACATAATAAATGGGTGAGTAAAGAGAACAAAATAAGATTATTCACAATTTTGTACGTAAACATCATTCTCTTTTCTCTCATTCACGTATCAAACAATAGGCCAATCAGAAACGCCCAGCCAGAAATGCTAGAATCTAATATGGCAGCTGACAGATAAATTTTTTAAAATAATTTTTAATAAAATTTAAATTTTCTCTCAAAATAACACAACCTTACTCAGCTCTTTAGCTAATTGTAAGTCGCTTTGTGCTCAATTGTGTTACACTAGTGTTACACAGTGTCTATCTGTCTTTTTTGCTAAAAAGCACCCTATATTAATTGTTTTTCTAATTATTCAGTGCATGCGCATGCGTGCGATGCTCCCATGATTCAAAGCATTTTGGTTATAGTGGATAATCATCATGATTTTATGTAATTCATGGTCAAATGTAGCTAAGCGCATGCGCGAAAAACGCGCGTAACCTCACCTCAGTTGCACAGCAACTAAACGCAGTGTTCAATTATTTTGTTGATTTCCCGCGCTCTTCGTGCAAACTTGTGTCAACCCGTGTGAAAAGCAGCAAAAAGTAGACCGGTTTTCGAAGAAAACTTTGATGCACGAGTGCAACATTGAACATCACTTGATTAATCAACAATCTCTGATGCACTGAACGAAATCGCATCCTTAAATTCGCTGCTCGAACCAGGTAAAGTTTATTTATATGTTGCATTGAGAGTTGACTTTCATACATGTCAGTTTCTTTCAATATTTCATCACTCGATTAATCAACAATCTCTAATGCACTGAGCAGAATCGTATTCTTAAATTCGCTGCTCGAGTCGGGTAAAGATTATTTATACATTGCATTGAGTTAACTTTTTCGTACATGTCAATTTTTTTCAATATTTGATGTATGATTCGCCTCTGATATAAATGGAAAATAGATGAATATACATATATGTGTAGAAGTTAGATTAAATCAGGAAATAATTTTTTTGAAATTATCTATTGCATTATTTGTTTCTATATTATTAGTAGGTATTATAAAATTCTTTGATTGTTATAAGCAGAGCATATTGAAATATCTTAATTTCAATGTTGTTTTAATTAAAGTATTCTTTAGATTTCAGAAAGAGAGTTACTTGACAATGTCGGTGGATAGCGGTCATGGGGATTTACTTTATACTCCACGACGAGCTCAAAAATGTCTTTTTGCACCATCCAACGGCGATTCTTCCAAGAAAAAATCATCTCAAGACTCAAATTTTAGCAGAAATGTCGAAGCAATATCAGAAGACTCAGACTTAGGTCCGATGTCACCGCTGGCTCTTACTGATCGAAGTCCAAGTATTAGCGGCAGTTCTTCAGAAATAGAATTTATCTCTCCATTTGCGACACCTGAAAAATTGTTCCAGTTTGATGCACTTATATCCTGGGATCGCTTGACATCAAAACGTAAAAAAGATGATTGTATGTCATCCTTCAGTTCACTCAGAAAAACCACTAGAGCCGCTAGATATTCAAAGTGCAAGATTACTGACAAATCGTCGAAATCACTGCCATCTTCTCCTCGTGCATCGATGGAACCGTTGACGCCACAGCACTCAAAGATGAATGTGATAATGAATGAAATAGTACCGGAAACACCTCAGCGAAGTTTTGCCACAGAGTTACAAAACCAGAGCATCACTGAAACACCTCGAAAGAGCAGAACTCCTGAGAGTAGGCAGATAACACCCTTGAGTTCCATAAGTAAAACAGTCCTATTGCCAAAGCTTCATAGACGAAAGTCTTTCAGCGGGATCGAAATGACTGAAAGTTTCTCACCCGAACAAAAGGAGAACACATTGAAGAGGCGCGCACACGATCAATTAACAATGAATCAGGCGAAATTATTTAAAACTGATGATAATTCTGCGCCTAGAGCGAGAGCAGCGTTGTTTCAGGAGAAAATAAACGAATCTAGTGGCTTGAAGAATATTTCATTAAGTACAAAAACTTTTTATAGTAACAACGCGAGAACCAAGCGGCCTTTTGCTTTCGGTGATTTTAGCGATAGCAATGTTAAAAAAAGACGAAGTTTACCGGTACAGAGCATAAGTAGTAGACGTTCGTTATTAAAGAAGCAAAAAGGTAAAATAAATGCCGGCGTATTTCACGGAATTAAAAAGCCAAAAAAGCCTAAAATAAAAGTGGAGATATTGAAGACAGAAGGACAGCATGTTACGCACAATCTTACTGATGCGAATAAGAGTCCACCTGCAGATGATGCTCAGATGAATGCAATTGTGGAGAAAGCCTCTTCGCCAGAGATCGACGAGAATAAACGATTTTTTAAAACTAAGGAACCTAAACTGATTCAGGATGCTACAGTAATGATAAATAATAACGTTAAATTGAAAGTAGCAGATAATAAAATAACATTGGATCAGAAACACGTTTCTGCCACAAAAAACGTGCACAAGCAACAAGTAAAAGCTGCAACAAATATCTGTCTGGATACCACAGATCTGACTGTAGATGAACCAGAGGTTGAAGCTACATTGCAACAAAATAAAGTTAATAATCTCCTGAAAATATTGGAAGATGATTGGGCGGACGATGATGAACCAATGAAAACATCAGCCAGTAGTGCAGTAAACACGATTTCTCCATTAAAATCAACGACGATACTATCTAACGACGCGATCCTGTCTCCAGCCACTGAACTCAGCAACATGACTTCGACCATGAACATCAAAGATGTTACTTCTCTAACAAATTTTGGAAATCTTTCGCTCGAGAACAAAAAAAATAATAATGATACCGCGAAAAGTGGAAAAGTATTTCCGTTATTCAACAAAGGATATTCTGCACCTAATAATATTTTCGAGTACGTCATGCAATGTCCGTAGAATAAATGAAATCTTTTTCATTATTGTCTAATTTATGTAAAATGATATTTTTTTTTACTGATAATTTTATTTAATTTATATTTTTTAATATGTAAAAATGTTTGTTGAAAAAAATATTTGACTTACGTATGCAAGGATACAAAGAAGAGATATATTTAGATATATTTTGATAGTATTTTGATTTATCTTTTTTAGAGAAACAAGTAACGCAAATGCCACAAAATCAACGAAAAAGAATATGCAATGGCAATTGTCTAAAAAATGTGGCGGTGCAGAAGATCAATATCAGTTAGATGCTGGTCAAAAATCTTTTGGTGCCACTCAATGCCCAGAATGTAACGTTGTGTACCAATTAGGCGATGCTGAAGATGAAAATGCTCATTTAAATTATCACAATAGTATACAGACTTTAAAGTTCCAGGTAAACTGCATGATCTTATATTCATAAGATTAATTGATTATATATTGTTATAAAATAATTATATATTGCTATAAAGTAATTACATATTGCTATCAATATAATAATACATCTGTTGTATATATTTTAGGGATGGAAAAAGGAACGTGTTTTAATGGAGGATCCTTTTACATCTAGCAGAATAATTTTGGTCGAGCCGCACAATTCGAAGCAACATTGGAAGAAAATATCGGAGATTTTAGCCATTGTAGATAGAGATTTGGGATTGGCGAACATGAATATATCGGATTATCAGAGCAAAACGGTATGTATACCATAGAATAAAAATATATCGTGTATATCGTATCAAATTCGATAAAAGAGAAGTACGCGTTTCTCACAGATCTTCTTGTACATACGCGAGAAAACCATTCTTGGAGTATTGGTAGCGGAACCTATTCAAACGGCGTTTCGCATGATTCCTGAACTAATTGAGCTGGACTGTTGCACCGCCGAAAGCACACCTACGAAATGCGGCATAAATGTCGTCTGGACAGCAATGAGCCACCGTAAACGGGGTATAGCCACTAAACTCGTCGATACTCTGCGGTAAGCTCTGCTGCGGTTGTTAATTAATCTAGTGTTAGTAACGAAAGTAGAAATTATCACTGTTCACACACATGTTTCAGATTAAAATTCTTCTACGGTTACGTGATGTCATTGGACGATATAGCGTTTTCAATACCGACCCCAAGCGGCAAGATCTTCGCCGAGAAGTACACGAAAACGCGAAATTTCAAAGTTTACAATTAAGTGAACTTCATTTAAACTTACATTTTTTAATGTGTTTTGTAATAGCTTTTTTCATTATTGCTAAAATATCCAGTGGAGCATTTATTATTATATCATACATTTTATTAAGTATTTTATTGTATTTTATCTTGATGGTTTTCTATTTTCGTGAAAATTTCACTAGAAATGTTGTAAGAAAAGTAAGATTGATAATCTTCTTAATTTATTAATTTTCTTTTTTAAATTGTCAATATAGAACTACATTTTATACTTAAATTACAATTCTAATGAATTGTTCTTCTTTTTATTTTAATACAGTAAAACATAAGAAAATAAATTTAATATAAAGGAGTTTAGATATTTAATTACAGATTGTCTAGTTTGGAAGTAGATAATAAAAATTTCGCATATCTTTGAAATAAATACATTTAATTTATATAATCCCATCTGAAATTTGTTAAATAAATAATTCGCTACTAATTTTACTAATTTTTCTTAAAAGATGATAAATATATATCTAACAATATATTGTCCGGAAAGTAATGCGTCGCATTTTTTTGTGACGCGACTATACATCGCAGAGCGATGGGACCGGTTGGGGAGGAAGGGGGGTACCCTTAGCTTTCCAACGGTAGGTCGCTCAATTGTTTCCATGCGCTTGGAGGGTTAGGACGGCTTATTCTGTGAACCTCTGCTTAGTGGTCGCGTCGAACTTGTGATGGAGAGAACGATAGAGCAACGCTATGCGATAAAGTTTTGCGTGAAGCTGGACAAGACGCCGCTGGAAACTTTTGAAATGCTCAAGAAAGTTTTCGGGGACGATTGCCTTTCCAAATCGCAGTCAAACAGATGGCACAAGATGTTTAGAGAAGGTCGGAAGGAGGTCGCCGACGAGGCCCGCGCAGGACGCCCGTCAACATCGCGAACGGACGACAATGTGACTCGTGTGCGCCAATTATTGAATTCAGACCGTCGAATGAATGTTCGCTTAATGTCGGAATTATTAAGACTGAATCACAGGATCGCCCGCGTCCGAAAGGAGATCCGCGCTTCATGGAAACTCCATCACGACAACGCGCCGGCTCACACCGCCTTTGTTATTACGGCCTACCTGACCCGAATCGGTGTGGCAACGGTGCCGCAGCCGCCCTACAGTCCCGACTTGGCCCCGGCGGACTTTTTTTTATTTCCTCGGCTGAAAAGGGAGCTCAAAGGACAACAGCTCGAGTCGGTTGACAACGTACAAGCTACTTCGACGGCCTCCCTGAACAGCATCCCAGTCAAGGAGTTCCAGAAATCTTATGACGCATGGAAATCGCGTTGGCAAAAATGTATTGACGCAGAAGGGTCATACTTCGAACAATTTTAAGTTGTTTTACCTATGCGATCAATAAATTCTTTTTTAAAAAAATGCGACGCATTACTTTCCGGACAAACCCTGTAAGTTATTATTAAGATAAAGAAATGTGTTATATGTAAAATTATCTGTGTTGGGTGAGGAAATTAAATAAACTTGATTAAATCAAATAATTGTTTTTTTTTTAATCAAATCGGAATGTACATATAACATCTTTTGATTTGTTATAACATTTAAACAATATCTATTTAGAAAAACTTATATATAATTTCTTAATACTGATATTTTTTAAACACTGTATAGGGTTGCATGTTTTAGTATTGATAATTATACAATTTAGAACTATATGCAATTTTATTTAAATTGTATAACATGCAAAGTGTATTTTAATCTCTCAGTATAAAATGAAATATTTTAATCTTTCAGTATAAACTATGACATTTTAAATCCTATAATTAACTTTGGCAATTAATAAGAAATAAAAAAATAAACATTATCTGAGATTATTCCTCAGAAATTTTATGGATGAAATAAAAATGTAATATCACAATGTATTAGGTACAATGATCTTATATAAGATCCTCTTTACATTGTTCGATGTATATAGTTTGCAATTACGATAAAAATGAATCTTGCGTTACTCGTACAATTAATCAGTCGGATTTTACCATCGGCTACGATTATAGCCCTGTCTACTTCTATTGTTACCATCTCTACCATTTCTTAAAAAGGATCGTTCTGAATCTTTCTTCTGTTTCCATGCTTCATACCTTTCAGCCATTTTATATAACTCCTCAGGTACTTCCTGAAATAGAAGATACAAGCATTGTATTTTTTTGTAGAAAATTTGGAAGAATTAAATGCTCGCCTAATATCTACTGACTTGCTCAGCCTCTTCAAGAATACTGATGAGTTCCTTAGCATGATGCCAGTCTTGTCTCGTCATAAAAGTAATACTTTCACCTGTTCGACCAGCGCGTCCGGTACGTCCGACTCTGTGAACGTATTCTTCTATATCCTTTGGGAAGTCGAAATTCAATACATGTCTAAAATAAGAACGAAATTATTATAATAAAGTTATGTATGCATCCATGCATGCATGTATGTATGTATGTATGTGTGTGTGTATGTGTATGTGTGTGTGTGTGTGTGTGTATCGAGATTACATTTAAGTAACATAACGCATTTTTTTCATTTGTGCAACTTACGTAATGTCTTCAATATCGATTCCTCGACTGGCCACATCAGTCGCGAGAAGAATCTGAACAGCTCCGGTCTTCAGATCCTCTAATGCTTGTTCTCTGTCCGCTTGCTCTCTATCACCATGAATACTCTGACAATCAACATTCGATAAAGCTAATTCACTAGAGATATCGTCCACCTTTGCTTTTTTACCAAAAAATACGATCACCTTATCTTGAGGGCCCATCTCACGGAAGAACTGGTGCATCTATACAATACATCGCAATAATATATGAGAGATGTGTCAAGATAGTTTACAACTTAATTGTATAATATTTATGCATTTAATTTTGTTTAAGAAAATTATTTTTTGGAAAATATGAAAAAGAGCATTGATATAAAACTCTGTGTAAAACAATTTATTATAATCTCATCCAAATAAAAGTTGAGAAAAAAGGAGCAATTCAAGAATAATAAATAATCGTTGTAAATTATTTTAAAAAATGCTACTAACCATATCTATCTTATCATCTTCACTAATCAAGTGAATCCTTTGTGTTACAGTGTGAACAGCTGCTAAATCAAGTGACCCAACGCATACTTGAATCGGATTTTTCATGTACGATTGAGCTAAGCGTCTTACACCTTGTGGCCATGTAGCGCTGACAAACAGATAGAATGCGGCGCATTAACATTCATTGCATCAATTATACATAATACTAGTAAGTATTATATAAATAATTTTATTTATTAGTTAAATTTCTTTTCTTCTAAAAAAATTTTATTCTAATGGTGCGAATTTTTAGATGTGACTTATGTATACCTCGTCATAACGGTTTGTCTATCTGGTCGTACACCTAGTAAGGTTTTGCGAATTTGTGGTTCAAAACCCATGTCCAGCATGCGATCAGCTTCGTCAAGTATGAGATATGTCACGGCTGATACGTTTAACACTCCCGCTTGCACCAAGTCGTTTAATCTTCCGGGGGTTGCGATTACTATCTGCACGCCCTTTGTTACCATGTTGATTTGTTGTTTCCGACTTCCACCACCGTACACGCACACGCTAAAATAATTTTCGATCATGTATAATATATATAAGAGCTTATATTTTGCAAGATGTAAAATAGTAACACATGAAAATATGCAAATCGGAATCTTATATGAAATACACTCACGCTTTAATACCGCGATAAGAATATTTTCCAACTTCCTTTTCAATTTGCAATGCCAGTTCTCTAGTTGGTGCCATAACGAGGACATTTGGTCCAGGACGCTCTTCACGAGGAGATACTTGCCCATCAATGTGGATCAAAGCAGGCAATAAGAAAGCAAGAGTTTTTCCTGAAATCATGATTATCATTAATATATCAATATATGCGAAATCGTATATGAATCGTAACAAAAATAAAAAATCATCGAACCAGTTCCGGTTTGCGCTATCCCGATAAGATCTTGACCGCTCAATAGAATAGGCCATGCTTGACATTGTATAGGGCTTGGTTTTTCAAATTTCTGTTTTTGTATTTCTTTGAGGATATCTGGATAGTTCTACAATATAAAAAAAAATATGTATCAATTTTGTCAAAATAATAGAATTATAAACTAACATTTGGCTATATATATTACTTGAAAAGCTTGTTCAAAAGTTTCAATGAGATTCGGTATTTTTATCTCCTTGGCGCCCTCCTCGTTCTCAAAAACAAGTTTAACTTCAATATTATTGTTAAGTTTCCTGAGTTCGGCTACTTTTATTTTTGGCATATTAGCAACCATTGGATCCTCTTTGTAAAAGTTCTTGATAATAGGAGGCAAAGCTGCCCATTTTTCCTTCTGAAGTTTCTCCTGCCAAGAAAAAGATTAATGTATTTATACATTTATAAATTATGAAATAGCTGACCTATTAAATTTATTATTACATTCAAAACATACATATTCGTCATTAGCCTTGGTCCAATCAAAATTGTTCCAATCAATTTCTTCGTTTTTCTGTTCAGAATTAGTTTCTGAGTTTTGGCCAAATGTTGTGCTTTGGTGTGAAGTGCTTCTGTCGATTAATAGTTCCTCTATTAAATTTTTAGCTCGCTGTTGCGCTTCATCTGTACCAATCAATGTCACTGCAGCTTGTCCATTTCTATTTGATTGTTTGTCAATCTTAATAAAAGCAAAAATATCACAGTTAGATTACATTTTACATAATGCTTAAATAACTTTTGTTACTTACAGTGATCTTAGCATTGCTTTCATCTTGCAGAGCTTTAATTTTGCTGCCACCTCTTCCAATAAGTCTTCCAATATTGTTTGGATCGATGTATATAACAAGTTCATTTGAACTTGTATCATATGAATTATTATCATTATTCCTCTTACGAGAACTGTTAGAGTAAGTTTGTGTATTTGACAATGAGTCTACACCCCAGTTATCATTGGAAGATCTATCAGAGAATCTCTGAAACTGATTGTCTCTTCTGTTTCTATCTCTTCCTTCCCAATTGTCATAATTTTGATTATATCTTTCTGATGTTCTGTTACCTTCCCACCTACGACTCATTGTTGATAGTATTAGGAACTTTTGATAAAAACTAAATTATTCTGAAAATATATAGAAATTATAATATATTTAGTATAAGATTGAGATGATAAATATAATATCTGTTTATATTAGTCCAATTAGAAAAAATGTATACTTAAAAAATTACATAAACTATGAAGAAATAATAAACGATAAGAAAGAGTTTCTTTGTTTTTAAATTTTATAATAGTTTTATTTTTCAAATAAAATGTATACAACACAAAAACACATAACAGATATTATATTTTATCAAAATTCGAATCCTGTTTTTCTTATTGATACGAATGTGTTAACTTGCAAATATATTTTTTATATATGATAAAATATAGCAGATAATACACATTATTGTATTCACATCAGGAAAAATTAATTTGAAACTGTTGATACAAGCTTCTGAATTTATAGGCGTAATTATTTTATTATAAATTGACATATATATACATATATGCTTTGCTTCTAAAGGTGGAGTCTGCTACATTGTAACTAGGCGCGAGACACTACTGTACATGTGTCTCTTGATACGTATATTTAATATTTTACAAAATGATTCGCAATTAGAGATTCCTTTTGATAACTAGCTATCAGATTACATTCTCGTTATGCTGAACAATGGCTTAATTTACACCGCACTTGATACGCGTATTAAGTACTATGTTTGTATTAAATTAATTGTTTGGTATTGACGCTGTAAATGAAGAATAAAGAAATTTCTTTCTTTCTCCGCGAGAAACGTGAATATATAAAATGACTCGAGATAAAAAAAAGAAAAAAATGTACACAAATTTCTATTACTATATTCAGTAGAACACGTTTTTTTTCATATACACAATTTTTTTAGAATCTGATTTATTCTAAGGTGTACGGACGAAATTAAGAATCGGAAGAAATACCTTTTATCCTTACCTTACGTATTCGTTGATCGTATTCGTATTTATTATTCGAACATTTAACTGCAAGAAATTAAAACAATCTGAATATATTGATTGAAAAAACGACACTGCTTGGCTTCTACAGTTAGAAATAGAAACGAAACCATTAGGAAGACGGCGACCAATCAGCTGTTCTGCAGAAAATGCATGAAAATGAGATATGGAATTTTATTCATCAGTCCAATAGGAAGGCTCCTTTTCTAGGGACAAGGCGTCATAGCTAAAGTTCCCAGGAAGCACGTTCTCTCATTGAACGCTGCGATACTTGTGATATATCATAAATCAAGCGCAGCGCGAGTTTCTTATCTTGCGTTTTCTATACTCTATGGAAGTATGATACCGCGCGCGGCACTTTGATCAATCAACACTGCATGATTCTTCATCAAAACATTGTGTTATTATTGTTCGATTGATTTTTGTCTGTTTAATCAATTTACGTATGAAGGTGTATAATATTTCTTATTCGATGATGAAAAAAGTTTCACGGACAAGAAGATAAGATATAAATATATATATATATATATATATATTTATTATAATAATATATATTCGTTAAAGTACAAGATATTGAGGTTCGTCTATACATATATATATAGGCAGTAAGCATATGTCAAGAAAGTTTATAAGTATGTATATATATAAATTATAGATCATATGATTTGGAAAACGTGTCCTATATATTTAAATATTCGTTTTTGTAAATATTGGCTGGGTTATATCCCAAGCTGAACAAATATATATTTCATCATTGCGATATATTATATATTTAAGTAATTTATTTCATAATTATTTTTAATTATATTAATTCATATAATATTATTTAATTAGTTATATTAATAAAATATATAGTAGCCTTTCATCGTAATCGCGGTTTAAACGATAATCAAAGAGAAACCATAACCACATCATGCAATTATAAATATGAACGGCGTATGTGATGATCGTAATATTGTTGGGCAGAGGCCTTTATATACATATAATAATCTCATTTTCATAATGTAATTTGCATTGATTCTCTCTCACATTTTACATATTTTAATAAATTTCTTTTAACTCATAAAATTTAATTAAAAATGTATAAAGTTTTTTCTTTTGAAAATTAATTGACACTTTTACAGATTATTATTGTTATACGAATTGTAACATTATAATGTATATATATATATATATATATATCTATCATTAATTATTTGTCTATATATATATATATATAGTTTAATAGATACAAAAAATAAAAAAAAGGAAATTTATACCGAATAATTTTTTTTCAGATAAATATTTGAAGTATCAGAAGTACAGGAAAATTATTTTTATTCGTAATCCATTTCTACAAGATGGGAAGACGTCGACGATGACAGTTCGCTCGTATAGAACATGTGTGTCGAATGACAGGAGGCGGGATACATGACGCTGCGCGCAGAATCGTATCGGTTCTATGGTGTTGCACGTTTAACATGAGTTAGACGAGCCGTATTTAATTGTGCGATCAGTGTGAAAAGGGACCTTGGAAAGAATGTTGTCGATAGCACGTACGATCTCGCCCTCGATAATTGCTCTTATAATATTTGGCTGTTATTCAGGTGAGTAACAAAATAAAAATATCGCGCACGAAATTTATATATCGATTTCCCGAAATCGGGGATTCAATCGAGAAGCTTTTATGAAAACTTATCTGGATTCGTAAAATACATTATGACATCAATCGCAACAATCGTGACACAATTTTTAATAATCTCAGTTTTTAGCACAATACCTATAATATTTAAATAATTATCATATAAATAACAATTCATATTCTGTTGAAAGTTTGATTATATCGAATTTTTAGCAGAAATTTTTCAACACAATTTTGTGTCACGTTAAATTAAAATTTCTCACGTATATGATTCAAGAAATGTCAATTTCTAAAAATAATTCAATAAAAGTCGCGCGACGAGTCTAAAAAAAATCTTGTCGAAGCTTTTTTTAGATGACCGATAAATTAAATTAAATTAAATTATTCTCAATGATTAATTGAATTTATATTATTCAAGAATATCACGATGATACATTTACCGATGATACTAAAGTTATATATCTCACGTTTTCGAAAAATATTTCAGGGGTCTATGGTACCTCGATAAAATCTTTGGACGTGCCGCATATCGTGCGCAACGGCACCGGACCTGTGGATTTAATTTGCATCTACGAGATTGACAAAAATGACAATGGACTTGTAATCAAATGGTTTCACGAAGCGGATCAGATCTATCAGTGGATTCCACCAAGTAATTTATACTTTTAACGCCTACGTACTTATCCTATTATAACTTACTACGTTGCGGTGTGTGCGTGTATGTATATTTGCGCTTTATTAATTTTGCGTCGATAACTTTCGTTATATCGGAACTTTCACGAGATATCCGGAAGCGCATTGAAACGCGCGGCCGTAGAAAGAGAAATGTCACAAGTTAAAGTTAGTATATACAGAAGGTTGATAGGTATATAATAATTAAAACAAATTATAGAATTTTATTCGGTTTGTTTGCATATGAAAAGATATACTTATTTGATGTTCAGTTGTAATTTTATTAAGCATTTTATTAAGCAATTTTTATTTTATTTTTTTGTTATAATTGATATAATTAATGAGATCAAAAGCAGATTAATTTTTTATTAATATTTTTTATTAAAGTAAAATTTGGCGAATTTAACATTTTTATTTTATAAAAAATATATATTTTATTTGCTCAATTTATATTCAATTAATATAATACTATGATATCATTATAATAGTGCCACCGCAAGATATCGGAATCATCGAAGGTCTTGCGGAATATCCAGATAAAAATCTAAGGAATCCATATTCGCATTCTATAATTCGATTGAAAACCATTACAATTGATATGACAGGGGAATATGTGTGCACAATCAGCACGTTTCAATACGAAGCGAGCACCTCAAGGAAGATGATTGTCTACGGTAAGTTTTTGGAAGAGTTTTATTTAAAATTTATTTGTTAATTTTCTGTAATTTTGATGATTGCACTCTTTATTTTTAAGTGCCAGAAAGCAACATGACGGTGCATACGTATCCCTTCAATAAGACTCACATAAATTTAACATGTGCGGTGACGGGTGCGCTACCGCAGCCGTCTTTGAGGCTCTACATCGAAGGAATTGAAAGAAAAGATCGTGGAAGTGATTACAAATCTTCAGAATCTTCAACGGATTCGTACGAGAATAATCCTCGGGTGTCACTGGACGTTATCGTAGAGGACATGTCAGATCCTGCAGTTGTCGAGTGTGAAATGTCGATTCCTGATACGGAATACAGGCGCCGAGAACGGATCGTCTACTATCCTAGTTCGAATCGTTCCAATATGACAGACGATATTGTTTGTAAGACAAATAATCTTGCTGTTAATTTTCTTTATATCGCGTTATCAAGCGACAAATTAAAGAAGAGAAACGGAATAAAAATTTATATTGTCAAAATCTAGATTAAATTTTATCAAAATTGGAAGATTATCTCGAAAAAACTTTTTTAATATTATCAGTAAATTACAAATACTGGCTTGTAATTTAATAAGATTTATATTGTTATGCTGAGAGAGCTATCTTCAATTTTTCAAATCTCAAACAAACCTCACATTTCTCGAGTAATGAAATATTTATTAAATACATATTTCTTCTGTGTGTTTCAGCGCAATTGCTACCCTATCGCACAAATGTTTCCCAAGGAAGGCATAACACGATGTTACTTATTGATATCTTTTATGTTACCATACTCAGATTGATACTAACATAGGACTAAATTAGATTCCATTTAACTATAGGGAAATGATCAGGTATTTAATGCATATTTATTTATTTTAGAGTCCAAGAGTATTCGATGCAAAGAATATGAATAAATAAAACGCTTATTATACATATATATATCTTAAAGGAATCATATATTGAATATCTATTTTTCTAATATGCATTGTTCGCTAAGTAGCTTCAATTGTTCAATAATTTTAATGATTAGCATTCGGTATTTAATTTCGAAAACTTTCTTCAATATAGCAGTATTGCTATAATGAAATGAAAAAGTGATTGCGTATATTGAGGGTGGGGATGAGAGAGGGAGATATAATCTTGGATGGTGGGGATGATATCTAGAAGTAGCGGTACCCTTCAAGATTATCATTCACTTCTCGGCACTCGTCTGTAAGGGGTAAGTAACCATTTTACGACAAATTTTTTTCTCTCTCTTAATTATTTATATTGGCTTGTAATATATTATATTGGATATCTTATTTGTTTCAAAATGTTTCAATTTTAAATATATATTTATATATTCTTTATGTAATTATATACATTAAATTTTTTTGTTTAATTCTACTTTGATACTGACATCGTAAATTATTTTCTCTCTCATCTCTTTTCTTATATAGTTTTAAGTAAATTGAGAATTTATGTTAAAAATTTAATAATTCTTAATATTATTTATATATAATAAACTGATTCTTGTGAGTGTACATTTTTTATTTTTATTTTAATATAATAAATTTAATTTTATATGTTAGATATACGAATATAAATAGAATAATTATGTTTTGATAACATTAATATCATGAAGTGTATATTATATATATATATATATATATATATATATATATCTAAAAAATATATAATAATATATATTATAAAACACGTTATCCGAGATACATTTATTAACATTTAAAAAATTCTTTTTGTGTATTAATATTCGTTACTAATACATTTTTATTGTTTTGCGAACAGTGTTTCACCTCTAAAATCATCAAGCTTCCAAACTTATCAACTGTCATACTCTTATAAACACGAATAACTTTGTGAAGAAATGAATCATCCCTGGATGTTGCTTCTTTTTGCAGGTAATACTTTTTTTATTTTTCTGCTGTTACTTTAAATATTAAATATATTATTTAATGTATCTTTTTGTTTCATTTTTATTCTTTTAACTTATCTATTTCTTATTATCCCTTCATTATTAATAGTATATATATTTTTATATGATATGTTCTTTATATGCATTTTTTGCAAATGCTGCAAATAAATTGTTCACAGTTTTAATTTTAATGTTGCTATAAAATTGTGCATATTTGAAAGAGATATTAAAAAACGACATTATATGATATTAACATAATATTGACATTATTGTTTTGGTGAATGTATTTTTTATTGCAAAATGCTGAAGTAATACTAAAATTTTAAACAAAAATTATATTAAAGAGAGAATCTTTCTGTTTATTTTATATTTTGATATTTTATTATTTTTTAAATATTTTATTCTATATTTTATTTAAAAGTTTAAAAAAAGAAGTCCATATACTTTTTAAATAATGTATTATACATATTAAGAGTTTAACAAGGCTCTGTAATATAAATATAAATTATATTTATATTAATATATATTATATATTTTTTTTTAATAAATTTTATCATTTTACACTATTTTTAATATCACACATCTATATAGTATTGCGCATAATACTTTTGTAATAAAGTGCACTAATTACAAATCTCTGACACATCAAAGAGATGCTAAATGAAGTTGATAATCACGATGTCTACAATTTCTTTCGTGTTTACGGGATAATCCGATCAACCGCCCCATCAGCAAGACAAAAGTAAGACAAAAGTGTGTATCGCCGGATTTCGCGTTGATTCATCTTCTTTGTTAAAAACAGTATTAAAATTTATGCTAAGAATAGCTTTATGATTGTTCAGTGCCTCCTATAATTCGTGATATATTTTACAAATATTCACAGACAATGCGAAATTTAATAATTTTATAAAACTTGTTTTTAATGAGAAATTAACAGGATGTACAAATTGTTTTCCACACATTGTTTTAATTTGCAAAATGATATTAGATTAAAATAATGAATATAAAAAAATATTAAAATATTACAATATTTATTAAATGCAACACATTAAAAAATTGAGATGATTAAACTATAAAAAGCAAGTGATATATATTAATGATATTTTTGATAATTGTAACTTTAATTATTTCTTAATTTTGTTTTTCGTAATTTAATTCTGTAATTTTAATAACATATAACGCCATATTTTTTCGTAATTCGTAATAAAGTAATGCATATATAAAAGATAATTTATTTCATAGTTGTTTATACTAATTCGTTTTTATTGATTCAAAAAAGATACACATACTGTACAATTTTCAAAGATTATTAAAATTTTTCAAACAAAAAAAATAATGATAATAAATGTAATAAATAGAAATAATATTATTTCGCTAATTATTCTTATTTTAATTATTATTACTTACATGACACATACTTATTGATTTATATATTTCATTTATGCGATATAGAAATATATTAGATTAGATAAGAGATCACCTATTAAAGCTATCGGCTGATAATGTCAGTGCAGAATAAAAAATGCAAAAGTTGAAAAAAGTTTCGTAAAGATATGCATTGGTTTGCATAATACGAAGTGTAACTTGTAATTACTTAATTGACATTCATTACTGAGCAATGTCGATAGGGCCACGCCATCACATCCATAAATGCATCGTGTTGTGACACACTTTATATTAAATTTCTTTTTGCACTTTACTCTTTACTTTTTTTCATCCACCCCCCCGATATGTAATAAAATTAATTCTAATTTTACATATCGATATAATCACATCTATAAAATTTTTTATACGCGTTATTCGATGCTCTGTTTAATGTATAATTATTATTAATCTGAAAGTATACATTAATAATAATGTAAAAAGATTCAGAAAAAATTGAATGCTGCAACTTTCTGAAGATATATAAGTTTTGACTTAACATATGCAACATTATAATTTTCTTACATAGAAAGAAAATATATAAAATTAACGTATGTATATATATATAAAAGAGGAAAGAATTTATATATATATTTGTAATTTTTTATATATGTATAATTTCATTTATGCTCTTGCAGTATGCGCATTGTGGACTTTTGGCGAAACTATCACCTGCGATCAGTGCGGGCGAGAATGCGCCGATATCTGCGGCACTCGACAATTTCGCGCCTGCTGTTTCAACAACATGCGGAAGAGACATTCCGACTTTTTCGGTATGAAGTTTTGGATGAGACCACGAAGATATGCGATTCACCTGTTCCCGGCCTATGACGTTTAATCATCGCGTCATATATTATATAAATATGGAAATACCCTCGACAGAAACTATAGTTGTGTACTGTGTGCTTCAATGTTATTATCTTTGCATCGTTTAACTTAGAGTTGCATATAATGTCGCTTTTGTTTCTTCTTTAGCTCTTCTCTTCATTCCCGTAAGATAATTCGCTTGTCGATGCTCTTAATTGCAATTAAAAGTATTGCATAGCAAGATACCAGGATATAATTCTTTGTATAATACAAGAATCTCTCGTTCGATTTTATATGTATATTATTTATACAAGGACATGTCTTATCAAGTCTTTTAATTAATTTAACTTTATTTTAAGAAGTAGAATGATATATATACATGCAACATATAAAAATATTTTTATTAAAAAATCTTAGTTGTTTACATTTGAGATTATTTTTTTGACTAGATAGATATAGATCTAGTACTGTATGGATATATATATATATATATATATATATATATCTATATCACAGATTTAATATATATCACAATTTGAGGCTTATAACATCTTATAAAATCTTATAAAAAATGTAACAAAACTGAATCGATTTTGATTTCTTTGATTTAAGTTTCAGCTTTAGTACTTATATTTCTTGATTCTCTTTATTTTATTTTATTTTTATTTAACCCGTTTCCCCGTTGTTTCTCCTTGATTAGTAGTGTGCATATGTTTACGCTTCCTTGGCAGAGGAGTATTAGATTGCACATTCAAAAGACTTCTCCCAAAAGTCTCCCGAGCTATTACTTCTACAAAATGTAAAATAATATTAAATATATTATCGTATAAAAAAATTCTTGTTTATTTGTTATAGTAAGTTGTATTTTTCTTTGTTTATCTGTGATAGCAATTTTATCTAATAAAAAAATAAAAATTTACAGAATTTTATTTAAAAATAAGAAACTGCAAAATACAATTTTTTCAACAGAGATACGTTCTCTAAATAAAATACAATCAACAACACTATCGAATAATTCAATATTTAACTTGTCAAAACTTTGAAAGATTGCAAGGAGAGAATATGAAGTTTGGAACACAATGCTTATTATATTTTGGTGATTACAAAACTGTTGAAAACCTAAAATTGATTCTTTTTATAAAAAATATTAGATATTATTTGTAGCAATATTATAATACTACTGTGACCCAGAAATAATGATTTGATTTTATTATATTTATTAATTTATAACAACAATTCAATTATCTTTATTTATTATATTTTATCTGCTATAAATAAAATATTTAAAAATTTATAACTATATAACTATATTTCTTTTGTAAAATAATATTAGAATGAAAAATACTTTTAATCTTCGATAAAAATTACTTTAGTGTATAATTACTTTATACTTCATTTAAAATGTATATATTAGAAACATAAAATAGAAAGAAGTAGAAAAAATACCTTATAGATATTAAAAATTTAGATATATAACTCTAAGCAATACATACCTCCAATATCATTTGTATCATCACTGTCTGATTCAACATCTAATAATACATTATGGGTTGAAGCATTTGCTTGTAGTCTTGACTCAGAAGTATTGAAATTCGTATTATCAGATACTTCTGGCATGAATTGTTCAAATGTATGTTGCTTAGTTGAATCAGACATACTAAATTATAAAATTTTATTAATTTATTTTATAAAGTATGTATGCTTAATTAAAATATTAAATAAGCACAAACATACTTTGTTTCTGCATTGAGCCAGTCTAAAGAGAGCCATAATCTTAAATTGGATGGCAAGCTTTGACTTTTTGGAATCCAAGGTAGACCAACATACTCAAAGTTCTTGGAACAACTATATAGATTGTTGTACCAGCCACAAGATTTCTGGAGTATCAATTTTGAGCAAAACCTACAAAGTAATGAATATTATTATCCATTATAGAGGAAGAAAAAAACAATGAGTTTATAATTTATAAAAATCTTACCAAATCCTGCTCACAGTTGCATAAGCGATTAAAGCAATGTTCCATGCATGACCTAAATTTATTCGTGCTTTTAAAAAGTGCGCAGAATGTCTTGCTATGTCTTCTACTTTAGCCATAAGTTTCGCAAAGCCTTGTGTCCTCACAAGTACATATTCCAGCATTTGTTTACTAGGTAATATATGAATTTCATCTTCTATTTCAATGACAGACTGTAAGTCTTTATATTCCTTCAGCAAAGACATGTTGTAATAGTTAATCAATGCTTTATTCAATGCAACCATGCATCTCAATCCTTTATCACTACGAAATTTGTTCTTCATTCGATATATTAAGCGGCTTAAAGCTGTAGCCTCTGCATGAAGAATATCCATTGATTCTAGGTCCTTGATTGTTGTATTGAGCACATATTTGCATAAATCTACATTTATATCTAAAAAATGAGAACGAACAAATTGGATTCTGTGTGGATATAAGAACAAATTATATATATCTAACTTTAATTTTAATTATAGTTTATTTCTAAAATGATAAACTGTAATGATACATGCGCGAAAATGTGTGTATGCGATTATATAAATTTTTTCTAATATTTTTTCATACGCCTCCACGTATTCCGCGAATGCACAACCTTAAAATAGAATGGAATTGAAATAATACCTGCTTCCTTGGCAGATAATGACTTGATAGACCAAGTTGCATACGGCGGACGTTCTAGATAAAGCATATTCCAATACATATTCATTTTACAAAAATATATATATATGTTCTTATTTTCTTCTGATTCAACACGTGGTAGACCGGATAACATCGAATTGCGTCAGCCAAGAGTCTAGGCTAGTCCTAAAGCTAGACTCTTTCGCACAGAAAGTTGCTAGACAGAAAGGAAGCGATGTATCAGCCAATCAATCTTTCGCTGTTAGATAAACTGGAAACCGATTGGCTATTGTTAGAGAGAAGAGAGCGGTCACTGGGATTCAGCAACCACGTGTACTAACGCGCCCCCTGACAAAGTGAACATAAACTACGTCGTGACGCTCGATAAAAAGCACGATAAATGGTTCGATTCCGTGATATGATTCATGTCCGAACTATTTAGCTAAAAACCAAGTTGAAAACTGAACTTTTTAAAGCATTTATTAATTTTTTATTTTATTACTAATATTTAAATTATATTTACTTATATTTAATTATATGACACATTATTTGTACAATTAAAAATTTAATTATTTAACAAGTTTATATATTTTACTGATAAAAATTTTATATCAACATTTATTCATAGTTATTTCTTGGTATATAATTAATTCTATATCAATAAGACAAGTACATGTTTAAAAAAAGCATTCTACGAATTCTTTGTATACATTTTTTCAGCTATTTTACTAGAAATATAATATATTATCTAATTTTTTAATTTCTTTATAGAGTAGAATATAAAATTTTTTATATCAATATATAATGTATAATAATCAAATGTTATATATATATATATATATATATATATATATATATAGATATAAATGTTGGGATACAAAATAATTCTAAACTATGCAGAAATATAATTATACAATTATAATTTATAAATTTACATTTACAAGGCTTACATCATATAATATAATTTTAATATTAAAATAAACTTATACATAATGCTATATTAAATTTCAGCGGATCACATGTCCTAATGCTGTTAATCACTTAATAGATTTTAAAACAATAGATATAATTTTAATAGATTGTACAATTTTTTTTAAGATGATATACAGAAGATATTAAACTGTATATGCTGGAGCGAGAAGCTTATCGCGTTATTCTTTTTGATCTATTAACTTAAAAAAAGTGGCTTTTCATTACCTTGATTTATATTAATGATATCTTAAAGATGGTAATAACAATTGCGATAAGTGCCTTGCAATTATAATTACAAGATGTGCCCCTATATATACTTCACAAAGTTACAGTATTGTATACTTAAAACTAGTAAATATAACTAAGTTCCACTTCATAAAGAAATAAACCAAATCATAATAATAAGAAACCTACAACAATAAATTATGTAAGTGAATAAATATGTATCAAAATATATGAATATGAAACAAGACCATCTGCTTCGTAATAAAAAGAATTTTCTTCTGTTGGACAAATACAACTTTGGCTCTTTGCGTACGCCAGGTGAAAAAAATGCTGTCAAGTGTGTGTATAATATGTCAATCAAGATGAAGTTAAGTTAAGCATTGTATTGGTGTCTTCTAATGCTGGCAATGGTAACTCATTCTTCTCTTCCTCTATTCTGGCATCTGACATTTTTAGGAACTTGATTACCTTTTCGGTAGCAGCAATTCCACAACTGCTCACTTCGTTCTGCTAAAATAAATGTGCACAAAAAATACAGATCAAATTATATCATACTTTTACAAATAGACATAAAATATGAAATATTTTCGAAAAGTCAATATTACCGATACCGTTATATTCATAAAGTTGAAGAATTTCTGAAGTACAGATACCATAGTCTCGAAATTCTTGTCTGGCAATCTACTTCGTACCAATGATTCGTACTCCTAAAGAACACAGAAGGCAATTTTGTTAACAAAGAGAAATATTAAAAATCTAGGAGTGTTTTATTTCTATACAAAATGTAAATAAGATGTATGTAAATTTTAGTAAAGTTATTGATTATACATCTTCCATTATAACTTTTCATATAATTACATTTAACTTTTTACCTTATTATCCATTATTAAGTATCCAAGTAAAAGCACTACATATGCACCAATCAATGTATGCTCCATATGTCGTCCAGCTTTTTGCAATACTGTGAAAAATAATAAGTTTATGCTTCTTTATACATACAAAGAATGTATACAGATATTTATATATTATATCTCGTAATATATTTTTAAAATTTTGGATAATAATTTTGAAAGCCTTTGTGAGAAGTATTTTATAAGTCAATTAACTTTAAATAAAAATTATTATAATAAAAGTGATAGACAGATTATTAATAAATATAAACTTAATTTTATATATAATTAAAATATAATTAAAAAGTGAAAATTATTAAAAATGTAAAAATTTAAATCCATAAAAAAATACAATAGAAATTCATAAAAAATGTAGTCTTTTTGATATTTTTTTTGTTAAAACAAAAATTAATTCTATTTGTTGAAGAATTTGTACCCATTCATTCTGACACTACATAATTATGTATTATTATTAATATTGTAAAGAAAATCAAGAACATAGGTAGATATATATGCATGTATGTAGATATAACATGATACAAACATTTAGTGACGGTCTCTTCGATAAATTCCTCTTGAGTTTTAGTGGTAGTTGATACCGTCTCTGTTTGTTCGGAATCTTTTTTTCCATCTAAAATGGCATCAGTTTTTTGTTCCTCGGCACGCGCAAGTTCCTCTTGTTTGTAAAACAAATCGATTAAAGATCCCACGCCGCTTTCCTCTGCTAAAATTACATGAATAAAATAAAATTATATATATATACACACATATATAAAATTGTATACATTGAGAAACTGTATAAATTGAAACTATTTACCATCAAAAATATTTTCTAGTGATGCAGGTGCTTTCGATTCAATGAGTAACTGCTTATTATCATCACATTGCTCTACTAAATTTATCAATAAAATTAACGCCAGCATCATCATGTCAAATCGCTTTTCTTCCGGAAGTGATTCAGGCACACGTAATAAAAGAAACAAACTACAATCCAAAACGCCAACTTGTGCGCCAACTGATTTGCTACCAAAAGCTATATAAACATTAATAAATATTACTAATGTATTTTATGTATAGATTAATAATAAAAATTTAATTTGAGAAATGCATAAATAAATATGTAACTACAGTTTAATTTGCTTGCATTAATAATATGAAAAAATATTTCAAAAAATCATACATTGTCTGTTAAACCGATGAGTAAGGTTGATGAGAACTTTAATAATTGCAAAGAGACATTCTCTAACAACAGCACCGGTAGAACTTTTATCGCTTGGATCTGTTGTTGGATAAATGGGAATCTCTTGTCCACACAGGTGATATAAACTAGCTAATGTGCTTACTAATACTCCTTCCTCATACTTTAATAAATACACCTGATTCTCTTCATTCATATGTGTTACCTAAAAAGAATATTGCAATATTTAATTATTTTTCGCGTAATATGGAATAAAAGAAGAGAAAAAACAAAAAAAATTACTTACATTTTCTAATACACGTAAACATCTGTCAACTTTACGTAATTTATCTAATAAAGGATCTGTCCAGCCAGATCTTAAGACGTTCTGGCCGTTAATATGACGGTGGCATTCTCGAATTGTCTTTACAATATGTTCCAATCCGCCTAATTCTCGCAATTCTTCCTTAAACCATTCTCCAGCGCGCTTTGATGTAAGACTTAGAAGTGTCTCCATAGCAAGCTGACCAACCTGTTAAAAATAATACATTGTAAATTATTCAAGAAATAAAAAGTAATGATAAAAGAAAAATTTAGAAATATTATATGAAGAAATTGTTCTCTTACAGTAATATTATCTAGATTTAGATGTTTAGCGTGTCCTTGAGCTTGTATATCAGCGCACAATTGACGCACTTTTTCTTTATTTTTCAATAATTCAGCATGACTGAGACCACAGTCGTCAAGAGCATCCTTATGACTGGCATCAGATTCTAATAGACTTAACATTAATTCCAAACAATCGCGATCTAGATCCATAGCTAGACGATCTTGACTTAAAACAAACATTACTGTTGCTGTGCATAAACCAAGACTCTGTAATGAAATAATAATGTTAATTTATATTGATATTAGAAAGTCAAATCATATATATAATGAAAACTTTTTGCAGTGCATATGTAAATTAGATCATATTAATATCATATGTAAATTAGAGATGGATAAAAAACATTGATATTAAATACATGTCATTACTATGCAAAAGAAAAATATTTTTGTACTATGCTCCTTTACTTGTTTTCTTATTCTTTTTGCATGATCATTCGGTCATATGAAAAATTCATTTATAAAATGTTGAAGACATTGCTCTTTTTTGCTTAAACCAGATGCGAAATACAAGAAACTGTTCATATTTTTGTTTTTCTGTCGACATATATCTCTCGTTTACTGTTAGTATTTCATTATATCTCTCTTTGCTATTATTAATGCCCATCTCTAATTTAAGATACATAGAAATGGATGAGATTTTGTTATATTATTATAAGTATCCGATACCTGATCCTTAGTTGCATCATGAAGAGCTTTAAAAAACTTGGCAACAGTTCCATGAGCGCGCACATGCATGCGAAATGCAGGAGCCATACATTTACTTGCTAATCGTATGGCTGAAAGGCAACGAGTAGCATTTGGATTATTTTCTCTCAAAGTGTCCAAGATATATTCGACATCATCATTAAATTCTTGGAACTCTCCACTCTCTTGTATCTGATGAGCTTTCTTTACATTCTTTACTACAGTGTAGAACTGCAAAACAGAATTTAAAATACATAGAGTAGAATTAAATTGCATAATTGTGTATGAGCAAGTTTTTTTTACATTTAATTTTATATTACACATTATATGTAATTTATATATATATAATTACATGATTAACTAAAAGAGACAGAATATATGATTAATCTTATGTATTTGTGATCAAAATAAATTGATAGAAATGTATCGATGGAATCTTAGCACATATAATTATTTTAATTGATGCACATTCTTGGGGAAGAAAGCAATATTCTAAAAATATTCCACGTATCGCGCATATATATAAAATATACTCACTCCTTTAACTTTTTTACCGCAGCGGATACTCGTGATCGCGTCGGCCTCGTCCTCGAAATCCGCGTCGATCGCGGGATAAGTGACGACTCTCGTTAACTGTGAGGGTTCGAACTCCTCCTCGTACGCGACTGGTCCCGCGCTGCTGGAGCCAGACGCGGTGGTCGGGGTGCTGTTACCAGTGGTAGGCGTATCCGCAGCGGTCGACTCCTTGTCGCTGTCGCACCATTTGTGCTTGTACAACGCTCGTCTCTTGTTCCCATCTGTCGCTCCTGTTGACCGGCTCTTGAAGATGCTGCCTTTCTTAGCAGCGGGCTTGATCGACGCAGAGACCGTCGTTGACGGTGGATCCGAGATCTGCGACTCGGAGACCGTGCTCGTCACATGCAATGCCATCTCGCTCTCGACGTTACCGCTAGCACCTTCACTATCATCGCTGCCCGAGAACCAATCCTGATCTACCAGAGTCTTAGCGGCGGTGCTGGTGGCAGCGACGATGGTCTCAGCGATGGTGTCGGCGCCGGGTCTGATTCGAGCCGGTGGTTCCGGTTCCGATTCGAGATCAAGTTCTGCCTCCGGTTCCGGTTGTTGCGCTATGGATTCAGGCCGCACAACAGGTACCGCAACTTCATTGGCCAGGATATCTACGGAGCAATGTTGAACTTGGCTCCCGACACTTTCCGACGTTTCTGCAGTTGTAATTTCTGTATTATCATTATCATTGACAATCACTGATAGCGGTGGTGGTAGTGCTGGCGGTGGCGATGGTGACGGAGATGGTGGTGGTGATGGTGACGGTGGTGGAAGTGATGGTGGTGGAGCCAACGGTGACGACGACGGAGGCAGCGGCGCCGGCGGCGGCGGCGATGGTGCTGGTGGTGCCGGTCTCGTATCGGAATCGCTCGACAGGATATCGATCAGCTCCTGAGTCGTGGTCGGTAGCGGCTGATCGCGTCCGATCAACGGTTCGATTACCGGTTTGGAGGAATATGTTGAGCTGCAGTCAGTCTTAACGATATCGTAATGAGATATAAGGGTATTATTGGAGTCCGTTACGGATTTTCTCAGGGTCAAGGAGAGACCGGAGCCGTGCGAATTGGGAGTTATCGGTGCCGGCGGCGTCACGATGCTACTCGCCGCCGTCAGGTCCAAGTGCAGATTTTTCGCGCGACTACGAGTGGTTCTCCTCATGTCCGAGTTCTCCAGAGGAATCGACACGGTCGAGACGGCAGGTGGATGCGTACGCAGAGATCTATGATCGGATTTGAGCGGCGCCTCCGTGTTGAGGATCTTACGTTCGACGTCGACTTTAGATGGACTAGCGAGATTGGTGGAAATCCTGTAGGTGTCCGGCTCGAGGTCCTGAGTATCCACGTCTCCGCAAACCAGTCGCGCTGTACCTTTGCATATTCTTAACACGATCGGTGGTTTGCTCTCCTCTCGATTGGGGGTATCATGAGTACTGGTGCTATCTAAAGTTTCTACTACTTTCTTAATTGGAGCATGTGATACTTTCGTTACAGCTTGCTGTTGCTGCTGCTGCTTCTGCGTTGGCTGCTGCTTCTGCGTTGGCTGTTGCTTCTGCGTTGGCTGCTGCTTCTGCGCTGGTTGCTGCTTCTGCGTCGGCTGCTGCGCGGGTTGCTTCGTGGCACGAGCCCTCCCATATTGCGAATCAGGTACTTGTCTATAAATTGCCACATCCTGGCGAGATTCCTCTACCACAGGCGGGACGTTTCTGCTCTTGAAGAACTTTTTCGGTTTGACAACCGCCGGAGAAGCTTCCGGCTTGTTATCCGGATCGGTCTCGAAAGAGAAGGGATCCTTCCCGGAACTCACGCGATTCTGATTCCCATAATCGAGTTTCATTCTCTTCGCGCCGAATGTACTATGTATATCATCTCGTCTCCCTGAAAAGAAAATATTTTGTAAAGAATTTAGTGCTTTTACATAAGAATTTGTCATTTGATGTTCCTATTATCAAGATTGATAATTTGTCAAGTATATTATAGTATTTGTAAAAAATAACATTCTTGATATTAGCTGTAAACTTTCTAAAGTATAATAAAAGTAATTAAAAAGTAATTATAATATTGGCTGTAGAGAAAAATATTCAAGAATGATAATAATGTATAAGATGTACGTTTGTATATTCATTTATATATATTCGATTAGCAACAAAATAGAATACATTTGTATATAAATGCTAAACTGTGTGATATGCAATAATTTCATAATTTTTTATACTTTTGCTATTCATTTGATACTGGAAATTTTTATAACTTGCTAAATTGTTTTACAAAGTATAATCACACTGACTGTTATTTAATATTGAAATACCAAATAATACTAGTATAAAACCAATTAATTATATCAGTTTCTAAAAATAAATTTGTGAATCATTACAATCATCATTCTAAATAATAACAATGATAAAAATTGAATTTTGAAACCTGATAGCTATGTGAAAAAAATAATTTTGCATATATATAGTTCTAAAATTTATTAAAATTATACTCATGTTAATGTACCATTCAACTTGATACTTGCTATAAAATATAGAAAAACTTGTACACATGTAATTGTGTATTTTTACTTATATAATTAATTCCTTTAAACTTTTCTCTCACAAAAAATTGTATAAATTTATATAAAAAACAACAATGTTTCAGAAAATAAAATTCGACTAGAAATTGTTGTTTAAACACAAGCGAAAAATCTTGCTATGCTTGTAAAACTGAAGTAGACCTCTGCGATATATACAAATGCCATGTGATTATTCCACTACCAGAGTTTACTCTTGTGACGTAAACATAACAACAACTGTGTACCATTGATATTCGTGCTCCTGATGGAGGTGAAGGATGTTATGCCCCATTTTCCAACGGTGCCCGCCGACTTGGCAGCGGACGGCCGGTTGCTGTTCTCGCGGAAGAGCTTGTCGAACTGGATACTGCCGGCCGTTACACTGCTGACCTTACGGCTGTAGGACTTGGTGTAACTGCGGGACGTCATTGTGCGCTTGTCTCGGCGATCTTTCTCGGCATCTCAGGGGATCCCACGGATGGTGCAATCGATCTGTCCTCGTGGCCGAGTCCGGAGCATCAGAACAGCGCGACGCCCGCCCTCGATCGAGGAGGATGTCGCGAATGGGAATGAGATCGACCCCTCGAACACGAGGTCGGTCGCGTCCTCCGCCCTCCCGGTCGATTCGCAGCCTCCCGGCTCGGTCCTAATTAAGCTGGACACTCGCTCGGTGCGACAACGTGAGAAACAAACGCCATGTTTCTCTCTCTCTCTCTCTCCGCGCGCGGCTACCCACCTTCGACAAATTCGATTAACAATCGCGAGAGTCGATTACTTGATCCCTCGGCGGCCGATCGCTCCCTGATATTCGCTCGCGGTCTTTCTTAGGTTCTCACTCGTTTCGCCGATGATCTTTCCGCGCTTTTCCCTCGACTTCGACTGCCATCAATTTCTCCGACACTGGGGATTATTAATCATCAACATAGATCTCGAGCCATCTGCCGATGTTTTTCGTTTCGGGATTTAGACACATATATATATATATATAATATATATATGTGTATATATATATATATATACATATATATAGATATATATATATATAAGGAAAAAAAGAATAATGTTACGCATACATACAATGAGCAGAATTATGATACTTGTCGCCTTCGCCAGTAGATAGAGCTAAGCGTAGCTTCGCTACTTTGTAAAAATTATACGTACATATATATATGATGACATGTATAAACAACACCATGCACATTAATAAAATCGTTGGGAACAGCTCGAAGAAATATCAATAAAATGTCACGCCGATAGGACGGTTTTTCGATCGATTAGTCTTGTTAAATTTTTTTTTTTTTTTTTTTTTTTTTAAAAGAAAACTGAAAGTTTACGGATTTTTATCCCGAAAACTTGTCAAAATCGTACATAACAAACACGTAACCTTTTCTGACGCCGAATGGCGAGATTCGATTGGACAAGATTCGTAGCTAAATGATGGCGGGGAATCGAATTTGTCCAACGCGTCGATTGGCTGCCGGCTAGGGATATTTCTGGGGTTCTCCGGCAGCCAATCAGCGCGTCGGAAAAATTTTAAGACTACTTTATTTGACAAAGTGCGAATTCTATTATGTTTTTCAGTATTCATGCTCGGGGGCGATTATTATTTCCGTATTTATTTCGCGTTGATATCATGTAGCTGTCAAAAGCGCGATTATCGTCGACTGTCAAATATGGTCAGGTATATATAAATATTGAAATGTCAATCTTCGCGTGAAAGCGACTGACAATCCGATGATGACAGCCAATGTCGGACGAAAAAAATAGGCTATGTATATATGTATAAAGGAGAAATAATTTTCTTTCTTTGCGAATTACGAATGTTCAACACTTAATTCGGACATTCAACTTTCGTGCGACTATACTTTTTAAACATAGGGCGTATAGTGCAGTAATCTATGAATTTAGGCGTATTCAACAGAGTTAATCTCAAGGTACTTATAATTAAAAATTGAATTAAATCTGATTTTAATTTATAGTGTATTTACTTTTAGTTATGGAATCATGCAATTTATTTTATGTTTATTTGTAAACATACGATTTGCATTATTTTAGAGAGAAATGGAAGTAGGGGGACTTTTCACTTCATTACATTATGTTATTCATATTATTATTTATATTATTATTCATTCATATTATTATTCACATTACTACATATTCTTTATTAAAAATATGGAAATTATTATATGAATGTGCACATTTTCAGGACTCCCAAGGAGGAATGTATTCAGAATGGGCCTCGCTGAGCACTCTGATCCAACAAGGTTCGGAGGAGAGTCAAAGCGTACTCGAGAAATTTCCACCTGGCGCGGGAAAAGAAGTCGCATTGTCCATAGTACGCCAGCTCGCCGCAAATCTTGGTATCACTCAAGCAGGAGAGCCTAGTCTGCTTTCCACTGACAAGGAGGTCCAATGGTGTATGGAAGTGATATGCTTTGGGTTGTCATTACCACTGGCTGAGCACGATACTGTCAGAGATTGCGTGAACATATACTGCGAGTGGTTGTCCGCGTTATACTCTACTCCAAAAATTTCTGTACCCAGACCAATCATAGAGGATTCAAACTTTTATGCCAGAAAAATTATAAGTCACTTTCACAATTTGTTTGTACCGAGGAAAGGAGAAGGTAGGGCAAGATTCATTTTTATATTTGCCATTACTTGTCAATTTAATCTTTGTAATCTTTTTTGATAATGTTTATTTTCTTTCTCAAAGTCTGGCCTTTTTTGTATCAGGATCTAGGTAACTGATATCAACTCTTTGACATTTTCTCAATATTTATGTATATTAATTTATCTATTTGCTATAAGAGGGCTTATTAGTATCTATAATATTAAATCTTTTAATACATATTTTTAGGTACAGATACAATAAATCGACAAGCTGTATTGTGCCATCGAGTGTTGAGAACTTTACAGCAAATTGCGAGAGGCCCGGCTACTTTAGAAAGAGAAACGTGGGAAAGTTTATTATTATTTCTCATTGGTATTAACGATGCGCTATTAGCGCCACCGGCGACTAGGGAAGATGCAGGGGAACAATTGTGCGAAAGAGTACTTGGTGTATTGTTAGAGGTGTGTAAATGTATAACAAACTAAAGTATTATAATAATTTATGCAAAAATTTTTCTCTTAAGGTGTGGCTAGTCTCCTGTGAACGTAATTTTCCTTCCCCACCTTTATGGCGTACGTTACGAGAATCCTGTTTGCGATGGCGTCACAGATTAGCTCTGGTAGAACAATGGAATCGCGTTTGTCTCGCTCTTACAGCGAGATTGCTACAAATCATGTATGGGCCAATGTTTCCCGAATTGAAAATAAGTATGTATCTTTTGTATACTGATTTTGTTTCATTATGCAAACAATTTTGATTAATAATAACAATAGTTTGGACATTATTTGCAATGTACAAATTACAAATAAGATCCTATCTTTCTAGGCGACGAAGACACTCAATTGGTACCACCTACCATGTTGGACGAAGCGGTAGCACAAGCATGGTACAGATTATTGCGCACCATCGGCGATCCTGTAGACTTATGTAGACCCGCTGTTGTATCGCAGACCCAAGCATTTCTGCAATACGCTATCGCCAGTCCTAACGTCATAGATCCGTGCCAGCATCCGTGCCTGCAGAGTTTGCCGCAAATATTTTTGAAAGCTATAAAAGGCATAGCAGGCCAAGTCGATGCTTTTCTCGGTAAGTTACGTATCGCGAATCGAATATTAGAATAATTATGAAAACTCAATCTCTCATTTCAAGTACTGTAATACACAAACTTGTAAATTATACACAATGGCAGGGCGGCATTGAATTGTAAAATTTGTTTTCGTAAACTCGCACACACGTGTGTACTATCAGCTTGTTCACGTACGGTGGCGGTTGCACATTGTTTTTTTTAGGAGTTTCACAGGCATGCTGTTGGGAGGAATGTTGCGTATCCAACATTACATCGGGGAATAGCGGCATCGGCGGCGGGGGTGTTGGCTGGGACAGGTCGAGCAAGGAACAACCTCAGCCTTCCCCCACACCCCCGACTCAACGCAGACTCGCAAAAAGTTTTAGTGTCACTCCTTCTGCAGTCACCAAGGGTATTTCAATGCTATACTTTCTTTTGCTGATGATATATCTTTGATACTATATTGCTCAATCAATTTTACTCGATTATCTTCTCTGCAAAGATCTAAAGTTACAATTTTATTGTAGCAATAGCACTCGTTTTGTATTATAGTCTCTTCTTCTATATATTCTGTACTTTGTATATTATATTATTAAGTTATATCCTAAGATACACTTGTTGTAGCAATCAGAGTCTTTACTCGGATTTTGATATTTCATTTGTTATTATAACGAAATATTTTGTACACGTATTTATATGTATCTACACGCTCATAAATATTTTACAGGAATTCCGAAAGCGTCTTTAATTGGACTAACAACAAGCCGGATATCTAGTACACCACCGATATCTAATTCCGGACCATCATCCGCTTCGAGTACTGCATGTAATAAAAATCAATTTTACAATTACATTGCAAAAATATTTCTTTTTACTCACACAATTATGATTTGACAGCTATGACCTCACTTGGCCAGGATATCAGACCTCCTTTAGCATCAGGACGTCCCAAGTGTAACAGTATACTGCATCTTTTCGGGGAATGGTTATTCGAGGCTGCATTTATCGGTACCGATGGTTGGTCGCAGAATTTACCACGTAAGTATTCATTGTATATAATAAAAAAACAAGTTATTTTTTATATAAAATTCTGCCATTATATAATATTGTATTGTGTATAGAACCATCAGGTGCCTCAAAACGGCCATCTTCGGTGCTTGTGGACGGGCCAAGTTCTTTACAGGAAACCGTGAGTGATGTACCATCGACACTCTGCATAGATCGCTATGAATCTGGTAGAGCGGAAGCTTTGGGCGCTCTGTGCAGAATTTTCTGCGCTAAAAAAACGGGCGAGGAAATCTTACCTGTGTATTTGGCTAGATTCTATCAAGCCCTGTATCACGGTCTCAAGATCGACGAGGTATACGAGCATTTGTCGTCTCTTCGTAATAAAAGATCTCGCATCAAATACATAAGATTTTAACTTTCAGTGGAATTGGTTGATTTTTTCCTATGTTGTAGCTTATGATTTGCTGAAAAAAGATGTAAGTCTCAAAGCTAAATATTGGACAGTAGCAGAGCTCGAGTTTTTCATGTTTGATTGCTTGTAAATTAATAACCGTTTATTATTTAGCTCTGAGTCTATTATATTTTTTATTCTTTAATTTAATTTTGAATTTAATTTTATCTAGAATTTTATATATCAAAAACCACACACTATTCCTATATAAAACGGAATCTTGGTAAGATTAGTTGATTTTCTTAGAAAGTCAAATCCTATGTATTTGGTGCAAAGTTCTTTAGAGAAAGAGATAGACACATACAATTGCATGCTTTTTTTTTAGACCCGTGAATGTGGCGAAACGTTGGCGAGTATTTTGCTGAATTCAGCAGACTTGTTCCGTCTCGATTTAAACGGTGTACAAGTCTTGGTGCCGGCCGTGTTGTCCGCCCTGGAATTAGTTTTGCCGGAGAAAGAATTGAAGCTGAGATCTAATATAGTATCGAAGCCGGATTTAAGAAGGGCCTCGATACATCTGTTGATATCAATGTTAACATTGCCACTGCATTTTCAGGTAAATCAAAATGTAATTTATTAATTATATATACTATTGCGTTGTTGAAAATTGGAGGTTCAGTGTAATTTCGCAGGATTACGCGGAGAAATCAATGTGTTAAATCGTTCATTTTATTACAGAATCTTGCAATTAAGGAGCTTCCAACATTTCCAAGCACAAATTCTTTCGAGAAAACTCCTGTAACATTCGTACAGTTAAAATCAAGGCTCATGAATTTACTCATAAATGCTTTGCAAGTGGAAACTGATCCTCAAAATACGCACATGTTGTTAGGTAAGTTAATAAAGTTAAAAAATTGTGTAATTGTTTATAGTTCGTTTTTCGCGTTCTTGCATAACATATAGAGTTATTAATATAATATTTATAGTCGATTAGATAAATAAGAATAAATGTCATATAAATAATTTTTAGGAGCTTTATTACTGAGTGTACAAGATTCTGCAGCAGCGGAAGAAGTGGAACAAGTTACGCAACCTGACACTGTAGCTAATGATTCGTCATCTAATTTATTATCTTCAGGTTTGTTTTTTATTCTTAATGATTAGCTTGCATTCAATTAAATGCACTGTTCTGAATTCTAGTATTATAATTATTCTGTTTATGTCGAAATTTTATAAGTGATCATAAGCGTTATTTTTTATTGTCTATCTTATTTGAATGATTCGAAAAAAGAGAAAGTAGTATAAATA